GCTGTGGGTTAAACCACAGAGCCTAGGACTTGCCAATCAGAAGGTCGGCGGTTCGAATCCCCGTGACGGGGTGAGCTCCCGTTGCTCGGTCCCTGCTCCTGCCAACCTAGCAGTTCGAAAGCACGTCAAAGTGCAAGTAGATAAATAGGTACCACTCCGGCGGGAAGGTAAATGGCGTTTCCGTGCGCTGCTCTGGTTCGCCAGAAGCGGCTTAGTCATGCTGGCCACATGACCCGGAAGCTCCCTCGGCCAATAAAGCGAGATGAGCGCTGCAACCCCAGAGTCAGTCACGACTGGACCCAATGGTCAGGGGTCCCTTTACCTTTATCCTTGTTGCCGGCCCAGATCTCTCATGCATGCAACTGCATTTCCTGGAACCAAGCACTTTGTTTCAGTGCCTTGTAATTTCAAACGTTTTCCAATAAAAATATTAAGCTATTTAGACAGTAAAGTAGTTGCATATCGGCTCATGTGATCATCAGTTGTGGTTGCACAATCCTTAAATGAGTAGTGTAGTGAAAACATGTTAGTTACTGCGGCAATTACCTTGAGCTGTTCAGTATTTATCTAGGCATATGTTCTAGTCAGCCAGTGGAAAAAACCTCTTTTGACTCGTGCAGTAATCTAGTCAGTCAGGGGAATAACTGCAGGTTGGTTGCTTCCAGTTCAGGTTTGCTGTTGTTTTGTTAGCAATTTAAGAAATCAGACCACACTCAGACTTGATACAACCATGATGAAGCTGTCAACAAAGTGTTGTCAAAAATAGATTTCTGCTTTATTAGGGCTAGAAGAACAGGCAGGAAGTAACTTTAAATCCAAATGGGACACCGTTTCCAGTACTGTGCTTACTCAGGAAGTTTGGGAATCAGATCTTTATAAATGGCCCAGAAACTCTTTCCTTTTTGAAGTTAGGCTGAGCAAAATATGTTTTTTAAACAAGATAAAGCTGGCAGTGTGGTAACTCAGTAGCTGATTTTTCTTCTCTTCCTATATTATATTTCCACTCATCAGTCGTCACACTGAGGACTGAGTGTGGATGCATCCACAGCCCAGGAGGCCTTCCAATTCTTCCTTTGCTGTCACTGCCACCATTGGGGGTGTGTGAAGGGAATAAAGGGGAGAAGCTCTTTCTCGTCTTTGTCTGCGCCTCCTCCCTGCCTCTGGTCCTGCTGAGGGTGATGCAGGTGGCGCTATGGTCTAAACAGTAATAGTACGTAATTTATTATTTGTACCCTGCCCATCTGGCTGGGTTTCCCCAGCCACTCTGGGCAGCTTCCAACAAAATATTACAATAGTCTGTTAAACATTAAAAGCTTCCCTAAACAGGGCTGCCTTCAGATGTCTTCTAAAAGTCTGGTAGTTGTTTTTCTCTTTGACATCTGCTGGGAGGGCGTTCCACAGGGCAGGCACCACTACCAAGAAGGCCCTCTGCCTGGTTCCCTGTAACTTGGCTTCTCGCAGGGAGGGAACCGCCAGAAGGCCCTTGACGCTGGACCTCAGTGTCCGGGCAGAATGATGGGGGTGGAGATGCTCCTTCAGGTATGCTGAGCCGAGGCTGTTTAGGGCTTCTAAAATTAACCACCGAGCCTCTTGGGCTTATGGATCAGAAGATCGACGGTTTGAATCCCTGCGATGGGGTGAGCTCCTGTTGCTCAGTCCCTGCTCCTGCCAACCTAGCAGTTCAGAAGCATGCCAGCGAAAGTAGATAAACAGGTACCGCTATGGCAGGAAGGTAAATGGCGTTTCCGTGCGCTCTGGTTTCCCTCACAGCGTTCCGTTGTGCCAGAAGCGGTTTTGTCATGCTGACCCAGAAAGCTAACTGTGGAGAAACGCCAGTTCTCTCGGTCTGAAAATGAGATGAGCGCCACAACCCCATAGTCACCTTTGACTGGACTTAACTGTCCAGGGGTCTTTTACCTTGAGGATGACAAGAGAAGGAAGCCTGTATTTCGAAACCCTCACCAATACATTTAAAGCACCAAACACATTTAAAGGACACAACTTCTCCCAAAGAATCCTGGGAACTGTAAAGCTTGCTTTTATTTTATTTCATAAAATTTATATACTGCTCAATTGTTGTTTTTAAAAACACCCTCTTAAGGGTGCTGGAAACTGTAGTTCTGTGAGGAGAAAACTATAGTTCCTAAGAATTCTTTGGGGAAAGTCATGTTCTTTCAATGCATGCCAAAGGAGTTTTAAGTGTGTGGTGTGGATCTGCCCATAATTATGTGGCTATTATGTGATAAATACTTTTGTGACTGTGAACCAGGTCATACGCCCTGTCTGCTAAGTTGTTGTTTCCTGCTCTGTACTCTGTGCCTCTTTCTACATGTCAAAGTATTTTGCAGTTGCAAAAGTGGGTTGCATATTTTGCCAGAACTTCCATAATGTTTTTTGGAGTCTAGAGCCGTTACTCAATGAGAGTGAAATGCATTGCTTGATGTCTATAATGTTCTCAGCTCCGAGGGCCTTCTGGCAGTTCCCTCCCTGCGAGAAGTGAGGTTACAGTGAACCAGGCAGAGGGCCTTCTTGGTAGTGGCGCCTGCCCTGTGGAATGCTCTCCCACCAGATGTCAAGGAAATAAACAACTACAGTGGAACCTCGGTTGTTGAACGTAATCTGTTCTGGAAGACCGTTCGACTTCCAGAATATTCAACAACCGAGGCTCCATGGGCGGTCGACAAATCCCATTGAGAAAACTGAGAATCGCGCATCGGAAGCCGTTCAACTTCTGAGGCGCGTTCGAAAACGGACGCAATTACTTCCAGGTTTTCGGCGTTCGAAAACCCAAACGTTCAGCTTCCGAGACACTTGAAAACCAAGGTTCCACTGTATCTTACTTTTAGAAAACATCTGAAGGCAGTCCCGTTTTGGGAAGTTTTAAATGTCTGATGTTTTGTTGTGTTTTTAATATTCTGTTGGAAGCTGCCCAAAGTGGGTGGGGAAATGCAGCCAGATGGGTGGGGTATAAGTAAATAATAATAATAATAATAATAATAATGGTTCTCCATATTTGTCTGTTAATGCCTACTTTAAGTGCTGCTCTATTGCAATGCCATTCACCACTGAACCAATTGCTTGTCCTATAGTGGTTTATTTGCAAATTTTAAATGTATTGAAATCTTTTATTTTCAGGAGGTATTTCATGTGCAACATTACGGTACATTAGACCATTAGGCTATGTAGATAGGCTTCTGAATATTTTATTCTCATTATGAATACCTTACATCAAAGCCTCAGTGACCTGCAGTGAAAATAACTATCAAATGAGTATACAAAATATATATACACAACAATCTTGATATATTCCAGTTCATTCAGACTTTCATCATTGGTTAAGTGATCAGCATTATGGTGTGCAAATGTGTTGATTACAACTAATCAAAGCAGAAATGGAGTGCTGTCAGAACTTCTCTATTGTTTCAGAAAATGGTTTGAATTTACCATTCAGATATAAGCCCCCACCTACAAACAGCCAAGGGAAAAATTAAGAAGAAAATGACAGGCTGCTATTGTCTGCTCTCTACAACAGAGTTCCATTGTATGGCTTTTCAGCGCTGATTCTTCCATTAAAAGGGACAGCTTTAAAATCTTTCTTAATTCGGTAGGGGAAATGTTACATGGGTCAATACTGGAAGATTTTAGGTTTATGAAAGAACAAGTCTTTCCCATCCATCCCAAAATCTATCAGAGCAGCATTGATGGCAAGCAGAGCTGCTCTCCAGTATGTTGAATGATGTTCAGCGTTAGGCAATTACTGAGTGTGGGACTAACAATGGAATGACGTCTTCATATCAATGAGCCAACTCAAATTATCTAAAAGCTTAATCTTTGCTACGCCTTTAATCCATTCCCGTTAGATATGTAGTTCATAATTGAAAGGATCCTTACAAGAAGTGGGAGACTATCTAGAAACTGCCCCCTGCAAACTTCTCTTCCTAATAACGAACTTTGGACAAGCTCTGCTGAAACTAATGAAGTCTGCAAAGCCACCATAGCGCCTGATGAATTGCTCCCATAAGGTTTCAAGTTACCTGGTTGGATGGCTGCCAAATGCTTGAATTAGCTAAGTGGATTTCCATTTAAGCAGGTGGTCTATAAATTAGTCACTCAGTTTTCGATTGAAATCTATTAGCATAATTATTCGTAACAACAACAATATTCCCCCCCCGCTTTCCTTTTTTGGTAAAAGATTTTATACATTTCCTAGAAACTGCAAGAACAGTACAATAAGAAGAAGAAAAAAAGATGCTCAGAAATGCAAGCCAAACCATTGCTTCCTCACTGAAGGACCATTTAGCATGTGCCTCCAGACAGCTTCATCTGCAAATCTCCACTTCTTAAGAAGGAAAAGGAGTACTTATTCCAGCCACAGTCTTTTATCAAGAGCAGGGGTCAGCAAGGTTTACCTCGCCTGGGCCGGTTCACTCCAGCGGAGATCCCTCCGTGGGCTGGATCGCGCGCGCGCATAAGCATGTGCACCCACGGTTTTCTGGCGTCTGCACAGACGCGATTTTCAGCATCTGCACAGATGCAATTTTCGGCGCAGACGTGATTTTCGGCGCCGCAGAAGCGAGTCCCCATGCTGCGCTGCACCAGTTTAGTGCAGTGCGCGGGGACTCATCGAACGGAGGCTCGGTTTGGGGGTGGCTCGTGGGCCGGTTAAATGACCCCCGTGGGCCGCTTGTGGCCCTTAGGTTGCCGACCCCTGATCAAGTGTATCTCTCCACTGACTGCCAAGGTAACAGGAATGTGGTGACGGAAGCACTTAAGTGGGAGCACTAGCAGCTGGGAGGGAGGGATATTCTATCCCCCACCCTGCACCCATCACTTCTCCCAGAATTTGCTCCCCTCTGGGAGTAGAAGAAACCTAAAGGGGAGTAGTGGCAGCTTACTGGAGCGCTTCTGATGCAACTGGCCTGCCTAGGTTGTTGCTCATGGAAAGAAGGAAGAAAAAGAAACTGTTAAGTTGTGGGTGAACATATCAGACGACACAGCGATTCTTCAAACAGCTCTTGTTTATTCACAGGCCAGAACAGAACTGAACAGAAGGGTTCAGTCAGCCTGCTTATATACAGCTCCAGTACAACGTAACTGTAACAATTTTCTAAAACTATCCAATCACTGAACGTCACTTTCGATCCCTTATTTGCATAACTATCTACAATATCCCCCTGCTGGCCCAGGGTGAGAACTTCAGTACATAACAGAAACATTTCCCCCTTCCTGTACAGAGGTATCTTCCTGGAGCACAACTGGGTTGTGTCCCTATCAATATTTCAATTAAAACGTTCATTTAAGATCAAAGAGAGGTTTTTGTGATATTTACAAGGATTCCACTCCCACCTACCCACCCACAACTGTCAGTTTCATGGAGACCAGGGTTGGGAAGACAGTCAAATAAATGGTGATGCAGCACGGCAGGTAATGAAGAATTCGGGAGGGTTAGATTGTCAGCAACCGCATCTCCTCCAAGTCAGGGTGTGGGCCAGCAATTTGGCTGAAGGTCTTCTGCACAAGTTGGAGGAACACAGCGACTGTAAAGCAGGAAACGCATGCCTTGTCAGGGCATTAAGTGACGCAGATTCCGGAGTGATCATTAAAGCATTTGAAAGCGAATGTGTGATTTTGGCCTTAACCTGTATTAGCCCAAATGTGCTGACTCCGTGTGGTTTGCAGATCTGGCTGGCTGTGACTCAGTGAAAGTTAATCTGTTTGATATTAAAAGACTGCTGGTTCATGACACTATTTGATTCATTAGAGACATTATTGCTTAACTCCTGTGATGTTATCTTCCACCCACTACAGGACTGGATAATAGACACCCAGGAGCAGCAGTGTAAATACCTCATGTAAAAGCCACCTGAGGGTATGAATCGTCTTCATCTCTGGCGTGTGGAGACAGAGCACATCAAAATATTTAGGTGTTGGCTCGCTGCAGTCATGATGAAGAAATGTCTTCCAGCAGGAAGGAAACCTCCGGCAGACATTTCACCAAAATTCACTGACTGAATAAATCGTGAAAGCAACCAACTTGTGTTTGTTTCTATCCTTATCTGAAAGTGAGCATGACATCGATCTGTGCAAGGGTGTTTTGTCAAGAGTTCTGCATTTACACCTATTGAACGGAGAAATGAACCAACAGGACTTACCGTATTTTTCGCTCTATAAGACGCACCAGACCACAAGACGCACCTAGTTTTTGGAGGAGGAAAACAAGAAAAAAAATATTCTGAATCTCAGAAGCCAGAACAGCAAGAGGGATCGCTGCGCAGTGAAAGCAGCAATCCCTCCTGCTGTTCTGGCTTCTGGGATAGCTGCGCAGCCTGCATTCGCTCCATAAGATGCACACACATTTCCCCTTACTTTTTAGGAGGGAAAAAGTGAGTCTTATAGAGCAAAAAATACGGTACCCTTATTTCCTGATCCAGATACTTGGATGTAAACATTTAGGACATACATTTAAAGCACACGACGTCCCCGCAAAGAATCCTGGAAACTGTAGTTTGTTAAGGGAACTGTAGCTCTCTAAGGGGTAAACTAAAGTTCCTAGGATTCTGGGAGGAAATGTGCTTTAAACGTATGGTATGTTATGTAGCCTGGGACAATTTGGGAGTGGTTTCCATTGTGTTCATTTTACCCTGGAATTTCCCAGGGTTCTCCAACTGCCATCAACTTTGGCTAGCATGACCAATGGTCAGGGATGATGAGAGCCACCATCAAATAGCTTCTAGAGGTTCACAGGTCACCCATGCCGTTAAATAATCAGTCTGAATTGTGTATCAACGATGGACTGTTGGTCTATTTGTGGGGAAAACTCTATGATGTGCCCAAGATTCTGAGAAGACTGAAAAGAAGACCAAGAGAGTCTGTTCAAACCAGTAATTACTTGTAACAAAAATATTATTTTTGACACTCAGATTTTGAGTGCTGGGACTTACAGGGGGAGCGTGGAGTTCCTCTGGGAATTATTAACGTAAGAACTGAAGATAACTTAGAACTTGCTTTCTGTTAAGGTTTGTTCCAAAACTATGAGGATTAGTTCTATATTCCAGTAACAGTTTTCTAGGTTTTGTCAAAAAGGCCATTAGAGTAAAAGCTTAGGGAAGAGAATTATGGATGAGCAGTGAAAGAATAGAACCGCTACAAACCATCGTGTATTAATTGCTTCTCTTAAGACAATGGCTTTCCCGAATTGTCGTGAATGGGTCACTCAACCCCCGCCCATCGTTGGTGAGTCCTGCACATCAGTAATTAATGGTTGCTTTGTTACGACTTTGGCTCTAATGGATAAACTAGTGAATCACTTGAAGTCAGCGAAGCTCGCACAACTATTCCTATTGTCTGCCCTGATCCCATGAAACCCCTTATGCCAAACTGATTAGATTTACTGTTCACTTGCTAAGCTTGTCTGTTCACAACAGCATAATGCAATCAAGCATTTTGAAGAGCGAAACTGGAGCTCCACAGAGGAATGGGATGGCGGGGGCTTCCTTACAAAGTGTGTGTGTGTGTGTGTGTGTGTGTGTGTGTGTGTGTATACACGTTTATTCCTTTAGCCCTTTCCTCCTTTCATTCAGGACTGGCTGGAGGCTAATTTTAAACCCCTCCCCCCCCAAAAAAAACCACCCCACGCTCATCCACTTCCCGTCTGGCATGTCTCTTTATCTGGCAAAGTTTTATTCCCTTAAAAAAAGTTTCTGGCATGAAATAGTGAATGGGCTTTGCTTGGCAGGGGGCGAGAGTGGAAATAAGCACATTATAAAGGAGGAGAGAAATAAGAAAAAAGCCAGCATTTTGATACAATGGCTGTTTAAAAACGCCCTGTAACTAGGCCCCAACTCTGCAAAGAGTTAGGTAAGCGAAACCTTTTAAGTACTGTAGATCCATTGGCTGGAGTAAAACTGCTTTTAGTGAAGAAATGTTAAGAATAAATGGAAAACCCCTTTGGCCTTAAAAGTTATAGTTAGAAATAACTGGGTAGATAATAGCCAAACAAAGGTTAAGGTGGAAAATATAAACTGATAGAAAGCACTGAAAGCAAATGTACTTACAGAGGCCCCGATTCTTTGTTTGCATGTGTTTCACCAAAACAAGCAATGTTTGTGGTAAGGTATAAGTGAATGAGTGAACATCAAACAGTACTTTTTCTGTTTTCACTTAACAGCCACTTCTCACTTTAAATTATTTGAAGTATACACCTGAAAATGTAAATAACACAAATAAATAAATACTAGGCAAGCACCCCGATTGTACTGTTTTCGATGCCAGCCTTAAAAAAGAAAAAAAATGTATGGACAGGCAGACAGATAATTTTATTATATCTATTTGTATCTGATCATTTTATTATGCCTACTTGTTTTCAACATCTGTTGATTTCTATCTGCATATCCTTAAGATTTTATATTTATTTTGTATGTATCGTAAACTGCTTAGAGGTTGGTGTTTTTAAATTAACCGTGCTAGGCATATAAATATATGTGTTTGGACACATGTCTGTCATGCAGGTACACTCATCAAGATGCGAGAATGGTTGCAGCAGCTCCTAATTAAACACACGCACACAAAGTGGCAAAATCTAATTGTCCGACATGTAATGTGTGGGAGCAATCAGAGCTACTTTGTCAATGTTGAAATGGTGCTGATGTACTCATTGTGGCTGAATGTTATCAGATCCCCTCACAGGCTTCCTGTCTCCAGCCCAAACTCCTTGTCCTCACTTTAACATGACCTTGCCTCGTCTTCTGACCCTTGTTTCTCTTCAGATCCCTGCTTGCGACGTGTGCCCTTCCAGATCTACTACCTTCAGCGAACAAAAGGACTTCTGCTCCCTTAAACTGCTCCACCCATTCTCCCTCACTGCCCCCTATATGCATGCAGTGCCACACTGTCCCTCTCACTTCCTTTCAATTTGTCACGAGTTTAGACAGTCTTGATTTACTCTGAATTGATATATGCTACGGTTTTGCCTAAAGTGTTGTGGCTGTGGGTGAGTGTTGGCGTTTTGACTGAAGAGCCTTCATGCTTCTTAAAGGCCTGGTTCTCCAAAGTTGACTTTGGGGGACAAGATGACTTTCCCAGTCCAATCCCCAGCTGGGGGGTGAACCTGCTACCATCTGAATGAAAACCAAGTGCTTTCCTAACGAGCTACAGCCCCCGCCCCAAGCCACATAGTCCACATGCATTTCTGTAACTCTAACCCCACATCCTAGATGTTACTCCATCAAGATAACTAAAAGTATCTATAGCACCATGAAATTCTCCTAAGCTTGAACAAGCGTAGAAACGACCTGGAGCAGTGTTTTCCAACCTTGGGTCTCCAGCTGTTTTTGGACTACAACTCCCATCATCCCTGACCACTGGTCCTGCTAGCTAGGAATGATGGGAGTTGTAGTCCAAAAACAGCTGGAGACCCAAAGTTGGGAAGCACCGACCTAGAGATTTTCAGCTTGCACTTACTGTGCTGTCTAATACCTCAGTATTTTCTACCGAGGCTCTCAAAGGGACCCCCAAAACGAAACCCACTTCCACAAAACCCACTTCCACAAAATAATCTACGTACTGTAAACACAGAAGCGCTGAGAGGTTCACATAGGAGGTATCCGAGTACAGTGGTACCTTGGGTTAAGTACTTAATTCGTTCCGGAGGTCCGTTCTTAACCTGAAACTGTTCTTAACCTGAAGCACCACTTTAGCTAATGGGGCCTCCTGCTGCCACTGTGCTGCCAGAGCCCGATTTCTGTTCTTATGCTGAAGCAAAGTTCTTAACCTGAAGCACTATTTCTGGGTTAACGGAGTCTGTAACCTGAAGCGTATGTAACCCGAGGTACCACTGTACTTAAATCCAAATATGTATTGGTATTGTCAGTGGTTTCTGACAGTCCTGTGCTGAATTGTAGACCCTGAGCGACGCTTAACAGGGGCGATTTATTATCTCCCAGACTCTCGTCTCGTGTAACACGACTGCCCCAGCTAACAGACCTCTTTGCATTCTGGTAACTAACGGCAACTATGCAGAGGTTTTGCTTACATGGGGAAATGAAGCCATTGTCCGGGGCAAATAGCTCAGGCGTTCGTTTACCAAAAAAACACTCTCTGTGCTGCTGACTCAGTCCTTTGGCGGTTCTACTTTGGAAGGAGACGAGTCCAGTTGTCAGTGCGCTGTTCCTTTTGCAGCTTGCGTGCAAGGAAGAGAAAGAAATGAACGGAGCTTAGCACACTTTAAAAACAAACATTTTTACTGCGGCTTGACATGGTCCGCTTTAAGCTAGCATGAAGCAAGCACCGACATGCAGTGCAGAATGAATACCTAAGACGCACACTTCGTTTCAATGATCTTCTATTATGTGCTACCAAGATGCTCAACGTTATGGAGGGAGGAGCTGCAGGATCAGGCCAGTGGTCCATCGAGTCCAGCATCCTATTCTCATAGTAACCAACCAGATGGCTATGGGAAGTCCACAAACAGGACCCAAGCACAGGAACATTCTCCCCTCCTATGATTTCTAGCAACGGGTGTTCAGAATGTCCCTATTTTCATCAGAGAAATGTTGGAGGGTATGGAAACATACAGCCTCCAACCATGAAGGCAGAGCATAGCCATCGTCACTAATAGCCACTGATAGCCTTTACCTCCGCGAATCTGTCTAATCCAAGATGGCGGCCGCCACTGCTGCCTTCTGTGGGAGCCAAACATCCCACAGTGCTAAGATGGCTACAGGACTCCTACCCACGATTTGAATGGTACTTAAAACCCTGGACTGCCAGATTGCAATTACTGACATTCAGAACAAACCTATTCGGGTTTTTTTTACAGAGTTTTATTCTAAAATGCATTGATTGTAATCTAGGTTGGGGGGGGGAATCGTATATCTGGTTTACGAACTTGTTTCACCTGCTGCCTGAAAGATACACAGCTGTGTGTTCAACATACACCAACAAAATTATACACTTCAGGCCAAATACATGTGCAAATGTGCTTTTTTTGTGTCCCTCTGACAGATGAAGACTTTAGCGATGAAAGAGACCATTCTTAAAGTGTATCCAGAAGGCAGATTGGAGTGCCTCATTTGGCTCCAGCTCCCTACGCACCTTTCCCCCCTCTTTAAAAATGAACATTTCAGCTTCAACCCTATCATTAGGCAAAGAATCGTTACATTGATGAGGAGAGCATTGCTGGCACGGCTACAGCTCAATATGGAACCCCAGCAGGCCCACATCTTGCAGTGCGCTTGGCAGAGTCCCAGCATGCCATTAATAAACAGGCAGCTGAAAATCCAGCGATGGCAGGACACGTGTGAGCTGAAGAGACTCACAGCTTACATCTTGCCGAGAGACCATCCTTGGCAACAATGACTTCCACAGAAACGTATTTATTACTTTAAAAAAAACCAACCCCTGCATCCTGCCATTTCTTCCCAAAAGCAGCTCACAATAAAAACAAATAAATTATTATTATTATTATTATTATTATTATTATTATTATTATTTAGTCACTTTCCACCCAAAGGGTTTTCTAGCAACTCAGATTGAAAAACATATACAGAAATAAATTACAGTGGTACCTCGGAAGTCGAACAGAAACTGTTCCAAAAGTCTGATCGACTTCTAAAACGTTCGGAAACCAAAGTGCGGCTTCCGATTGGCTGCAGGAAGCTGCTTCAGCCAATCGGAAGCAGCGGAAGCCCCATCGGACGTTCGGGTTCCAAAGAACATTTGCAAACCGGAACAGTCACTTCCAGGTTTAATGTGTTCAGGAACCAAAACGTTCAACAACTCACAAGGCGTTCAGGATCGGGATCCAAGGTACAACTGTATGCCCTGGGAAGAAAGGGGGAATCATATAACACATTAATATTCCATACAACATATTGTATTGGAAAAAACAACCAACCAACCAACCAACCAACCACATTACAACCAGGTAACCACAACTTTCCAGCCTTAGCTCTAATCAATCTGTAACTCTTTATTTTCTATTGATAATTAGGAACATAGGAAACTGAGTGAACTCTAGCTGGCTTCCCCTGAACAGCTGATACGTTACAATTTTTTTTGCTGATACCAGGAAAGCTTTTTTTGTGGTGAAAACAAGCAAGAGCAAAGAAGCCGAGAGATACCTAGAAAGTTGAGGAGCAGCTCCACATTGGATGTGGCAAAGGTATTTGCTGTGGGTAGAACACATCAACCTGTCCTCCGGCAAATATACCAATTGCAATGGAGTCGGCCTTAAGTGCACATATAACCAGAGAGCTGTGGAGAGGATGTGTCTTGTCATTCATACTTTAGGTGGTTGTTTACGGAGGCACCAGGGCAACACCTGAAGCAAACACAATTGCAGGGTCAGGTGGTCCTAGGTCGTCCGACACATGAACCACAGGACCTTGAAACATTCATGCACTCATGTCACGCAGGCGCTGCCCGGTTAAGGCTCCTAGGTGCGTATGCACATAGGTGTGTAAGGGCATGTGCCCGTCATTCACACACCTCAGTTGTTTGCTGCAGGAAATGACAGCAGAACACCGTCTGCGGCGAGGAAGAATGGAGCCACTCATATTGGTTTAGAATTTTTGGCTTGGCACAGGAGCATGGAATGTGTGCAAGGCCTTCAAGAGGACATATTATTATGGCTTAGCTTTCGCGGACAGCCAGTGTGTTGTGGGCACTGGAATCTTGGTCTAGGTGTGCTGAAAACCATGTTCAAATACCAACCTACCAACCATGAAGTTCACTGAGAGGTTTTGGGCTATATGCTATGCTTTCTCTCTACTGAGCTGACAGGGTCCTTATGAGAATAAAATGTCTGTGGGCGAGGGGGAAGATTCATTGCCTATCGGTGCCTTGAACTCCTTGTAGGAGTGGGATATAAATAGATAAATAGCCACTACAAGTTGGGGCTCGTAGGGCTAACTGCATCTCCCTAGACCAACTCTATTCTTCCTTGGTCAGACCACACCTGGAATACTGTGTCCAATTCTGGGCACCCCAATTTAGGAAGGATGTTGACAAGCTGGAAGGTGTGCAGAGGAGGGCAACCAAGATGATCAAGGGTCTGGAAACCAAGCCTTATGAGGAGCTGTTGAAGGAGCTGGGTATGTTTAGCATGGAAAAGATTTTGGCAGAAAGCCAACCCGGGTTACACCATCTGTTCCAGAAAGTTGTCATCTCTGGTTTGGGGGGGGGGGGGCGGGATCTCACATAAGGAAGAATGGTGGTATATATAAATTTAATAAATAATAACAACAACAGCAACCCACTAACAACAGTGAAGCTGGACCGCATCCTAACACTGGAGAACAGTGAGTCTCTGGCTGTTAACCAGAAAGTTGGCGGTTCGAGTCCTGTGGGCAGAATTCCTGCATTGCAGCAAGGGGTTTGGACTACATGACCCTCGAGATCCGTGCCAACTCTGCGATTCTTATGAACACGCCCCAATCTGTTCCTGGAGAGCGGTCAGCCCGAGCGATTCCAGCCGCCTTGACTCAGATTTTCTGGGCAACAGGCAAAGCGGAGTTCCGGCAGGCCGGGCTGGGCTGGGCAGGGCAGGGCAAGAGCGCGGCAAGGCAGCCGTGCGCGCTCGGGAAGAGACGGGGCGGGGCTCCGCGCTTGTTGTTCGTCACTTGGTGCAAAGCCCGAGCGAGTCTCCGGAGAGAACAACGAGCTCATTCACGGAGTGGCAGCGAGGCGGGCAGCCAAGCCGGGCGAGGAGCGCGCCCCGCCAAGCCTGGATTTTCCTACTCGTCCTCCATCCAGCGACAAGCCCTTCCCTGGGATTTGCAGCCGCGCGTGGCGCACCCTCCCGGCCCCATGCCGCCGCTTCTCTACCTGTCCCTCCTGCCGGGGCTCGTCCTCGCCTTCAACCTGGACACGGGCAACGTGGTCATGTGGAGCGGGGACTCCGGAAGCCTCTTCGGCTTCTCCTTGGCGATGCACCGGCAGCTGCAGCCCGAGGACAAGAGGCTGTAAGTGGGTCCGTGGTGGGGGAAGAAGTTGCCTGCATCTTGATCCCGGCTGGGTTTTTGGGAAGGGGGCGAGTAAATTGGGGGGGGGATCCCCATAGGGTACCTCGGCTTGCCTAGCCCTAGATGCGCCGCGTACTGGCTCCCGAGAAGCCTTAATGCGGATCCTCTGTCTTGGGCAGAGCTCTTGGCTGGGCTGAAGCGCTGATCGCCAGATTCCGAAGTCGACTTAAGTTGTTTGCTTGCTTCTTTTGAGGGGGGGGGGGGGAGGATGCAAACGTGTTGCGCCCTCGCGGCGCGCGCAAGGCCCGCAGGTGCGATCGGGCAGAAGTAACCCCACTCGCGCGCGCACAGGCTGCCATGCGAAGCGGCGCGCTCGCTTGGATCAAAGGATCCGTCGCTGCCAGCCGCGATTCTGTGCTTTCCCCACTCCTTGGGGTCCTGTCGGGGATGGAACCCGGGCTGCACACGATCCGCTCAGCTCTGGGGAAGCGGAGCCGGAGGCGCTGCTTATTCGGAAGTTTGTTCGCCGCCTGTGCCCGCGTTGCGATTTCTCCACCAGGGGGATGGAGGTGTGGAGCCAGCAGGCAGGGTGAGGCTCCCAAGGACACCAACTTCCGCCGGTGTGTGTGTGTGGCAAATGCCTCCCTCTCCCCAACCGACCCCCGATCGCGGATTTGCATGGAGTTATTTTGTGCATGGGTGTGTGTGTGTTATTTTTGGCTAATACCCAAAATGGGGATCGAAGGACCCACCAACCACCTGTTATGGCGGGCTGTGTTATGATAGTGGGGAAATCAAGAGTTGCTGCAGAAAACGCGAGGGACGGATGGGACGGATCAAAATGTCGGAAGGGAACTGGGTGTTTTGAAAAAAAAGTGGCTGATCCGGGTTGTTGCTCCGGGATCCACTACCTGATGGAGAACTAGAGTTGGGGATCCATTAAGCCAAACGAGATTCTCGGAAAAGGCTCGGTTTGGAACAAAACAAAACCTGCCCCAGTGTGTTTGCGCATTCCTGATCCCTGCTAACAAAGAATGCCGACGGGGGTGTAGGGCAACAAAAGGACTTTCCCCCTCAGGGAATGCAAACTTTTCAGGTCGGTTGAGCAGCAACGCCGAAGGGCGGTGCTAAAATAAGCGTTTATATGCTCCCCTTCAGGAAAGCACGTTGAAAAAGGCAGGATGCCCGGTTTGAACAGCATTTGAACGGAGCCATTTTTTGAAGAAGAAGAGGAAAGAATCCTTTGGCATTTTGTGGGTGTGTGAGCTTTGCCCAGTCATGCCAACACACAGCTGAGATACATGTCTCTCATGACAATCACAAGATATGCTTGCCCCCAACTTTTCCTTAACTCTTCTTGCGGACGGATGTAGTAAACAAGCCGCTTAAATGAGGGAGAGGCTTTTAAATTGGGTTGCCACCTGGTTCAGAAAAACAAGCACAACCACAGTCTGGCCTTCTCTTCGCTGTTAACACAAGAGATTTAATCTTCAGAAATTGCCTTAAGTTCATGTGACTAAACATGATTATCTGCAGATTGCTGCAGCAGACCCTTCAAGTGTCCATATTCTCCAAGGACGTCCCTGATTTAGAGAAGCTGCTTCTGACTTGATCCTGGAATGTCCCACTTTTCCTTAGGGCCGCTGACCCTAATTTCATTGCAGAACTGAGCCCTCTAAAGGCAATCCTGTTTAGGGAAGTTTTAAAAATGTTTTATTATGTATTTATATATGTTGGAAGCCGCCCAGAGTGGCTGGGGCAACCTAGTAAGATGTGTGGGGTATAAACAGTAAAATTATCATTATGGAATGGGATGTCCCTACTTTCATTGGATAAATGTAGGAGGGTATGGGAGCCACCACCACCAAGGCCACCAGCTGTGTCACCTTGTGGAGAAGCAGTGTTGGCATTGGTGCTGATTCCCTGAAAGATCTCACCCAAATCTCATGAGGATGTAGGCCTGGCCAGGATGCCTTTCCTGCTATACCTTCTGGGCTTGACAAGGCATGTGACCCTCACCTGTTCTGATTCTACTCCAGCTGATGAATCACACACCTCCTCCCCTAGCTAGCAAGCCCCACCTGGGCTGTGGAAGTGCCACCCTGCTTTGCCAAACCACCTCACCACCACCACTCGTGGGACACTCGCCACCACTGTACCACTGTAGTGCTGGCCTAGGCGCCGATTCTCTGAAAGAGCATGCAAGATCTCACTCATATGAGATATTTTGCTCTCTTCAACATCTTGCAAGTCTTTGATAAAATCTCGCAGGAAATGAGCACCTATCCTGACACCACTTCTCTGGCAGAGGTGTGGGCATGGCAGGAGGCGCCCTTGAGGGTGCTGCCTCGGGGGCTTCTGCTGCCTAAGGCAGTTACTTCACACCACTTCCTAGGTGGGCTGGCCTTGCTGGATGTCATTATGGTTATGCACACTGGTATCTGTATACCTGTGAGCACACACCTTTAGTGTGTGGTTTTTTTTAATTAAAAAAATACAAGTTTCTCAGTCTACCAGATTTGCACAAAACAGCAGCCGTGTGTGTGTGTGTGTGTTGCTTCAAGCCAGGAAACCTGAGATTCATGGGTATGTGTTTACATGTACACATAACACCTGTGATCTACCATGCTTGCACAAAAGAGCAGTCCAAAAATAAAAAATAATCGATGCCTCATTCCAAACTAGGTAAGGATTTGTTCACATTTGGAGTTGTTGGCTGTCACTTCATTTCCTCCCCCTTTCCTGCCCATCTCCTGTGCCCATGGGCGTAGCGGGGGGGGGCAGAGGAATCCACAAATATTATTGAAAAGCAATGAAAGTACTCAGTTATTACCAAGTGACCCTATTTTCCAGGGACGTCCCTGATTTAGAGAAGCTGCCCCTGTTTCTGATTTGATCCCCTTTTCCTTAGGATGTCCCTATTTTCACTGGAGAAATGTTGTGGGGTATGGAGTTATCCGACCCTCAAGCTGTCTGAAGGCAATCCTGCATAGGGAGGTTTGTTCAATGTTTAATGCTTTGTTGTGTTTTTATAGGTGTTGGAAGCTGCCCAGAGTGGCTGGGGCAACCCAGTAAGAAGTGTGGGGTATAAATAGTAAAATTATCATTGTGGAATGGGATACTCCTATTTTCATTGGAGAAATGTTGGGAGGGTATGCTGCTGATGAATCAGCTGTAAAGGGGTAGAGCATGAGACTCCTAAGCGCAGGGTTTGGGGTTTGAGCCCCACTTGGCGCAAAAGGTTCATGCATGGCAGCGGGTTGGACTAGATGACCCTTGTGGTCCCTTCCAACTCTACAATTCTGTGATTCTAGGTGCAGGTTGAAAAACGGAAAACGCTCGTAGTTTAAATTGTATCATTGCTTGAAAATTTGGCATAAGAGAAAGCTGTGCGCAGGGACCATCTGGGTATATTTTTTGAAGGACACACTTTTGGTCAAGACTAAATAACCAATTTTGCGCTGGGGAAGAACCTGATAAAAGAGCATGGGAAACAGGTGAAGTGATGCCACCTTTAAGATCAATGCAACTGTGTTGTGTGGCTTGCTCATCTATAGATAATTGGTGAGATCAGAATTGCTGTATATAACACCTCTTAACCTGAACATGTTAATAACTGGTGGGAAACCTTTGGTCTGTGGGCCAAATATTTGGCCTGTGAGTTGGTTTTGCGAAGCCATGTCCACTTGTCTTTTACGTGATTCATGAATTGGAGGGGGTTGTACTAGATGGCCCTTGGTTTCTGTGATTCTATATGATGACCGGTGTGGGGCTGGTGAAGATACTGCTGGGCCAAAATGGGGTTTGCAGAGCCCTGCTGATTGTACAATTCTGGTTGTCAGCTGGTCAGTGCTTGCATTTGAGGGGGGGCTATAACTCAGCTGATTGTCAGGGCTTCAGAGCAGGGCAGTCTGCAAACCCCAAAGATCATCTCATTCAATAATTTACATCTAGTCCTAGGTTTTCACAAGTGCAGCATTTTTATACATTTAGCACAGGCTTCCTCAACTTCGGTCCTCCAGATGTTTTTGGCCTACAACTCCCATGATCCCTAGCAAGCAGGACCAGTGGTCAGGGACGTCTCCAAACATCTGGAGGGCCAAGGTTGAGGAAGCCTGATTTAGCACTTTAGAATGGCGTGTTTTTACATACGTTATCTTGTATTCCTTACACCAACCTTGCATGATCACCCAGCATTATCCTAATTGTAGATGTACAGTTAAGGCTGAGAGTGTTGCTTACGGCCGCTTGCTGAGCTCATGGCACAGCTAAAATTCAAACCACAAATTTCATATTCTCAGCAGTGCAATCCTGTGCATGTCTACCCAGAAGTAAGTCCCTTTGAGCACATCGGGGTTTATTCCCAGGTAAGTGAGCATAGGATTTCAACTTCATTCTCTTAGTCTGTAGTCCTATACTCACATTTCTTGGGAATAAGGTAAAGGTAAAGGGACCCCTGACCATTAGGTCCAGTCGTGACCGACTCTGGGGTTGTGCGCTCATCTCACTCTACAGGCCGAGGGAGCCGGTGTTTGTCTTCAGACAGCTTCCAGGTCATGTGGCCAGCATGACTAAGCCACTTCTGGCGAACCAGAGCAGTGCACGGAAACGCCGTTTACCTTCCCGCCGGAGCGGTACCTATTTATCTACTTGCACTTTGACGTGCTTTTGAACTGCTAGGTTGGCAGGAGCTGGGACCAAACAACAGGAGCTCACCCCGTTGCAGGGATTTGAACTGCTGACCTTCTGATCAGCAAGCCCTAGGCTCTGTGGTTTAACCCACAGCACGACCCGTGTCCCTATTCTATTATTCCCTTATTCTTGGGAATAAGTCCCATCAAATGCAACAGGGCTTATGCACTGTGCTAGAGAACTTCATTTCAGCAAAACTTTGTTTCGTTCCAGGAACTGAGATGAAACAACTCTCATTCAACTCTTGAATATTTTATGTGAAATAAAGTAATGCATATATTGGAATGGGGAGCCTAAAGTGAAGAAAAACTGTGTTTGCAATGGACTTAACAATATTTAAACTGCACCTCCTATTAAACATTAGCTTCTTTTCGTTCTGGAGGAGCAGAACGGAAGAGAACTCCCTTTTCTTTGCCCTCAAGGCTCGGGTGAGCTGCCACAAGTACGAACATGTGCTTCCTTTGGGCATGGCTGCCTTATGCCATTGCTGGCGTCGACCCAGCATTTATCAACTTGCCTTTTGACTGTGCATTGTTTGTTGAGCTCTCTCACTTTTTGAGGGGTAGAAATAGACATAGCATCAAAAGCGTTCTTCACAAAAGCTTGGCTCCAGTTATGAGTGTAGAAACACACACGTTTAATATAAGATTGGAGCCCTTAACACACCTATGTGGAAGTCATATCCAGTTAAATAAATGTTTAGGACTGGGGCGTAAGGCTGTATTACTGTTTATAAAATGAAAGCCAATGGATCTCAGGCAAAGGACATCAGATATATTTACAGGGGCTCTTGGAGACTTTAAGAACATAAGAGCCCTCCTGGATCAAACCAAAGGTGACTAGTCCAGCATCCTATCTTCATGGTAGCCAACCAGATGCCTATATAGGAATAATAGTAATAGCAATAATAATAATAATTTTAAATATATATATATTTATTTATACATACATACATACATACATACATACATACCCTGTCCTTCTGGCTGGGTTTTCCCAGCCACCCTGGGCAGCTCCCAACAAAATTTGAAAAACGTGAAAAAACATCAAACATTCAAAACTTCCCTAAACAGGACTACTTTCAGATGTCTTCTAAAAGTCAGATAGTTGTTTGTTTCCTTGACATCTGATAGGAGGGCATTCCACAGGGCAGGCACCACTACCGAGAAGGCCTCTGTCTGGTTCCCCATAACCTCACTTCTCTCAGTGAAGGAACCGCCAGAAGGTCCTTGGCGCTAGATCTTAGTGTCCTGGCTGAACGATGGGGGTGTGGACGTTTCTTCAGGTATACTGGGCTGAGGCCATTCCTATGGGAAGCCTAAAAGCAAGACGTGAGCACAATAGGGCTGGGCAATCTGCTTTTCAACGTCACGATATATCACCAGCTAAACATCACTATATAATGATATATCGCGATGTGTGAAATAAGGATGGAGCAATGTAGAGGCACTGGCTGGCTTCATGGTTTTCCCCACTTTGTGATTTTTGCATAGTATTTTGTTGTTTAGTTGTCTTTGTTGTGTCCGACTCTCTGTGACCCCATGAACCAGAGCATGCCTTGGAAACTCTCACTTCTTCTCAAAGCTTCTCCTTTTTTATGTCCATGGAGTTTTCTTCGCAAAATACTGGAGTGGTTTGCCAGTTCCTTCTCCAGTTGCATAGTATACACACACACATATCACGATTTGCAATATATTGCCAGGTCAAAAGTTATGAAACCGCTATCACGATAGGGACTTCAAACTAGTTTTGGACAATATATCAATATATTGCCCAGCCCTAGAGCATGAGAGTTCTCTTCCAACTTTAACTGTCTTGAGGATTTTATTTTATTTTTACAATCAACTGGTATATAAACTTTATTAAACAAACAAAAAAACTTGAACAGCAACTGGTATTCAGAGGCACACTGGCTCTGACAGTGAAGAGTAGAGCATAGTAGTCATTGCAGCTTGTAGTCTTTTCTCCTCCATTAATTTGCCTAATGCAAGCTGGTTTCAAGATTCATATAGTTCTGACAACCGCAGAAAAAATATCTAATTAAATTTGTATACTGCCCTTCATCCGAAGATCTTGGGGCAGGTTCACGGCATAAAAATACAAAATGCATAATAGAAACAAGAACAAACCAAGCCCATAATCCCTGCCTCCCACCAACACATTTAAAAGGACATCGAGTGTTAATCAGCCCAAGGCCTGGTTGAAGAGGAATGTTTTCACTTCCTCAAATAGAAGAAGTGCTATCTTAAGCTGGCAGGGATATTTATACACCCATAGTTGTGGAAGGCTAAACATTATAAGGAAGGGAAATGAAATGCAAAAATGGGGGCTGTGATAAATATGTTCTTAAATGCATGCCAAATTATCCCTCTATCCAATTGTAGCTCACTCAATAATGGAACGTTTCCATATTAAAGACATGTGAAACTTTCTTTGGAATAGCGAGTTCAACCCAGGATGTGCATCAGGTGAGTTGAGGTGAGGTCTACATGGACTTAGAAAAAAAAATATATGCTCGTCCCTTGTGTTGATAGGGAGCTGGGAAGCCACATTTGCTTTTGTTTCTTACTTTACATCTTTATCTCACCTTTCCTACAAGAAACCCAAGGCCTTGTATAGCCATGGTTCTTCCCAATGAACCACCCATATTTTATTATCGCAACCACCCTGAGAGGTAGATTGACCCAGGTTGATCTGGCGAGCTTTGTGGATGAGTGCGGGCTTGAACCTAGGCTTTCTCGGTCCTAATGTGGCACCAGTCACATGCACACAATACATTTGAAGCAGTGCAAGATGGGGTGAGCTCCCATTGCTCGGTCCCTGCTCCTGCCAACCTAGCAGTTCAAAAGCACGTCAAAGTGCAAGTAGATAAATAGGTACTGCTCCAGCGGGGAGGTAAATGGCGTTTCCGTGCGCTGCTCTGGTTTGCCAGAAGTGGCTTAGTCATGCTGGCCACATGACCCGGAAGCTGTACACCGGCTCCCTCAGCCAATAAAGTGAGATGAGCGCCGCAACCCCAGAGTCGGCCACGACTGGACCTAATGGTCAAGGGTCCCTTTACCTTTACCTTTAACAGTCTTGGCTTCCCCAAAAGCAGTGGTGGAGCTTTAAGCTTTTTTTGGGGGGGGTGAAGAGCAGGCGAGATCATGGCTGGCACACGTCCCAGTGGCGTGGCACACTGCCCACAGGGGCATGGCGCACATCCCTGTGGCGTGGCACCCTGCGCAGGGGGGACAGCTGCGATGGCACCCCACTGGGATCGTGCCGCCGGGGGCGGTGCGCTCCCCCCGCAACCCTGTTCCTCCGCCAGTGCCCAAAAACATTATGGGAGTTGTTGTTAAGAGTGATGACAATTGTTAGGAGACCACTATTCCACACACACAGCAGCAATTCCGGAGTGGTTTAACAATCGGGTTCTATTCACAGGGAGTTCTGTGGGGGGAATAGAGGTTTCCTCACAACTCTTAACATCTGTAACAAACTACCACTCCCAGAATTTTTTGGGGGAAGCCATGACCGTTTAAAGTGGTATCATACTGCTTCAAATGTATTGTGCGAATGTGGTCACTCTAACCGTGACACCACACTGGGCCTGAAAGTTATACTTGTCCTTGCTAAGTGTGGCAATGCTATACAGATATTAAGTATTAATATTACTAATTCAAAAGAAAATATCAGAAACTGTTTGCCAGTTAAGAATCTTGGGCAATCTTGGTAGTCAGAAATATATATTGGCTAGTGTCTCCCAAATATTATTGTTTCCTGGTGCATTAGACATTAAAAAATTTCCTGATACAGGGTTGCCTTCAGATGTCTTCTAAAAGTCAGATAGTTGTTTATTTCCTTGACATCTGATAGTGCATTTGGGGTGAGAGTCATTTAAACACTAATGTGAGCACCTTAAATTGTGCCCAGAAACGAACTGGCAACCAACACAAACCAGTGGCCCGAAGACGAACATTTGGTTGATGGTTTGAAATCAAAATCTCTAGTCAGCGTTCTTATTGCTGTCAAGGGGCACCAAGCAGGTTACAACGTGTCCTCACAGCCACCCTGTGAAGTAAGGAAGGCAAGGAGATAGTGATTTACTCAAGGTTGAGAGAACTTAAGGGCTTGTATTCACAACAATGTGTTTCCCCCATCCAAATCTTAACATCCAGTCTCTTCTCCTCATAGACACACCAAATGTTAGCGACATTATCCTTTTCTCCTTCAAGAGAATCAGGATTAACTCTGTGACACACTGCAGTGTTCTCCACAAGGCCCTTGCTGGAATGAGTGGAAATGTTTGTTAATCTAAAAAAAGTACCAAATGTAAACACAAGTTTAAGGTGCAATCTGTCTAGTTCAGCTGCTCTGTCACCTCCATTTGTTTCCTTGTGACTTCTTGTTTGCAAATCCCATGCAAGTCCCACAGAAAGTTTGGAGTGGGGATGTTAAGAAAGTGTGTGTGTGTTAGTGTGTATGGGAAGCAATGTTTGGTGTGCAGCGATTTAAGTGCTATGTGTGTAAAGCACTAGTTGACATATGGAGACTTCAGTTGATTTATAAGAGCAATGAATTGTTTGCAAACGGATTGCTTGCACACCCTGCCTTAAAAGAGTTCCTAGACGCAGCAAATGTGCATATGCTGAATTACCGGTAGATAAACTGGTGGTTTCTTTGTTTCCTGTTAAAAACAGCTAGCTAGGTCTGAGCCCGCCTAACAACTCTGTGGCCTGAAGAACAATATAGGGGGCATTATTTGGGTTAATTTGTATGGCGGTGGTTGTTTTTTTGGTCAGGAATCATTTCCTCCCTCTGTGTAACTGAAGAAAATTCAGTACGTGCTCTGGTGATGCACAGATCTCTCCCATGGTCAGATTTGGCTTTAGCATACATTTCTAATTGTGGGCGAGATTTGTGCGTTAGTACTTGCGCTTGTGTTTTTCCAGATATGCAAAAGAGCAGAAGTCGTTCTTGCACCTGCAAAATCTGGAGAGCGGGCAGGAGAGAGTAGAATGTGTATCAAATATCTCTTTGCTCTTCAAAAAAAACAGCCATCACGCCCATCTCCCCAATTATCTTTTGTAGCTGAAAAATAAGACCTGTGAGGCAGCTGGAAATTTGTCATAGGTGACTCGGTGGGGGAGGGGAAGGCAGTCATGGAGGCACAAGAATATGGCCAGGGCGAAAGTTGAAACTGCACATTTGTGGCCTTGTGTGACGTGACTGCGCCACACAAGTAGACTTTGTTTCTAAGAAAATGAATTCCAGTTGTTGGGAATCACAAATATTGCACTTAAGTCGGGCCCTAAATGCAGGCTTTCCGTAGGCCACTGTGAGAACAGAATACTGGACTAGAAAGGCCTTTGGCCTGATCCAGCACATTTTTCTTATGTCCTTAAAACATGTACAGATGTTCAGTAGGTTGCTGTGTATCCATGGTGCAGTTGTGTCATGTGCTTGGGCATACCAAAAGATAATTTTGTTTCTTGTGCTTCTGTATATTTTAACTTCTACTCATAAACACTTAAGTGAGTCTCACAGCTCTGAAGTATTGGCCCGTTAGGGGAGGTCATGAGATTTCTTTAAAAACAATTAGTTTCCCTTGTAATGCACTGCTCATAGATTAGTTTTATCTTCACACAGGTTGAGTAGTCTTAACGCATACATGAATCTTTTAAAGTGTGTATAAAAAGTGTGGTGTTGTATAAAAGACCGGCTACTAAACACCAAATACAGGCAGCAGTCGATTTGTGTTCTGAGGCACTGTGCACTGGTGCAGTAGAATTGAAACACCCATTGAAAAAACCTGCAAACCGCCTGTTCTGTGGTGTAGTGGTTAAGAGCGGTGGACTCGTAAGCTGGTGAACCGGGTTCGAGTCTCCGCTCCTCCACATGCAGCTGCTGGGTGACCTTGGGCTAGTCACACTTCTCTGAAGTCTCTCAGCCCCACTCACCTCACAGAGTGTTTGTTGTGGGGGAGGAAGTTAGCCGCTTTGAGACTCCTTAGGGTAGTGATAAAGCGGGATATCAAATCCAAACTCTACAAACTCTACTTTTTGTGACATTTTCAGGTCACTTCTGGGTTCGGTGTAATGCGCATGTGTGCAGTTGCACACATATTGGATGTGCCTAAAATGGTCATTGCCTGTAAGCTTTTTGAAAAATGGACTTTATAATATCTTGGAATATCAACTACGTATTCAGCCATATCTTTTACTTTGTGTTACAAATTGTTTTTTATTTTTGTTTGTATTTATCACCTTACTTTTTCTACGACTCAGATGTTTCTGCGACTATGTATAGATTTTTTTTTATTTTTTTAAAGATAGGAAGCATGGGTGGTGTGACAAATATAACCAATGTGCACAACTGGGAGGATAATTCTGATCCATGTATCCTGAATAAAGTAGTAATGAATACAGGTATTTGTGAAAATCCTTTCATAAGCATGTATCAGATGAAAATAAAACAGTGTTTGCTGCAGTTCATCCATCTTGCTTGTGGAAAATAAAGTGTGGCATATGGCTGCAATCCTAAACACACTTACTTGGACTCAAGTTCCATTAAAATCAGTAGGTCTTACTTCCAAGTACACGTGCACAGAATTGTGCTGTAAAGCATGCTACTGGGTTGTAACTATTTTGAGTTTAAGTGAACTTGAGCATACCTTAATTAAATGTGTAGTGATTCTAATCCACTTTATTTTGTTCACTTACTTAAAAGATTTAAACTCCATTTTTCCATCTATGGTACCCAAGGTGACTTACAAGCAAAATAAAATAATGCAAGGAGCCATCTATAGTCACAGACTCAGGCGGAATCTGAGAATCTTTTAGCAGTGCTAACAAGAGAATAGGATTGGTGTTTCGGGATTAATTTGATTTTGTGACCTTGAGAGCTTTAATTCGAAGAAGATTGTATTTCAGGTTCCCAGCTGTGCTTGACCTGTACAGTCTTCCATTCACACCCTAGCTTTCCCCCCATTTTATTTTTATTTTTGGAAAGGATCAATCGCTCTTCCTAATTTCATCTCTATACACCACAACCTCATTGAGTAAGAGAGACTTGATAAGGGTAGAGGCATTTGTTTCACCTATCAGGATGAGCGGGTGTAGCAATCCTCAGAGCTCATTTGTGGCTTTTGAAAAGTGACATTATTTATTTGTTTTAAAAAAAGAGTTGCGTCAAGATGTCAGAGTCCAGTTCTACCGTGGGGGTTTAATTCAAGTGACAGCTGGCTTCTGTATTTGGCATGAGCTTTCAATCTGGGAACCAACCGCACCTGTTTTTTTGCCAGGCAATTGGATCTTCACAATAAATAAAACACATAGAGGGGAAAATGAGACACAAGGCCTCCTGCAAGAGTAAAGAGGAGCTTGGTGGAAGTCTGTATAGATTAGCAAGACTTTACCGAATATGCACTGATCATGATTCAGAAACTTGACGCCATGCTTCTTCATACTGATATTTCATCCAAAGCCCCATGGATCCGCTGAGAGGCCCAATCATCCGGCCTGGAGCTGGTGCAGCAAAAATAGATAAATAAATCGCACAACAACATCAACCCTCCCTCCAATTTTCCACCCTGGCCAGCGTGAGCTGGTGGAGCTTTGGGTGCAGCAGTTGATCTTCCTCACTGCTCCGCAGCTGGAGTTTTGGATTATTCGGCCTCAAAGTATAGAAAACTGCTTTACACTGAATCAGACCATGGGCTCCATCTAGCTCAGGGAGCAAGTGTTGAGGCTGGAGACATTCCCTGCCCCTACCTGGAGATGCTGAGGATTAAACTGGGGTGGGGGTGGGGGCTTCTACATGAACCATCTGCCCTATCACTGACCTATAGTCCTTCCCCTTTTGGTATATTTGGTTTTGGTGAGTCATCTTGTGAGTGTTCCACTCTGACCGGCGGAAAATAATGAAGAAATGTGCTCGCTCAGCACTGGGTAGGAGCCAAAGTCTTGCCACCACTTTGGCATGTCGTGAAATGGCCATTGCGGCAGGGAGCATTGGTTCATTTGTTGCCTAAGCATCATGCGCACTTTCGCTCTCTTCCCCCTCCACCCTGCCAAACAGCAGCAGCAGAATGTTGGCGATGAAATGGCTGCTCTTTGGGCAAAGGCTGGGCCTCAAAAATAATTCGGAGCAGCACCAGTCTACTTTAGGCTTTAGATTGTGACAGAAATTGTCCACTCGTCATGTCCCAGAAGCTGTTTTCACTAACTGCTTCTTGGAAGTCTTGCTAAGACAATGCTCTCATTCACCCCACACTCTGGACGAGGGCTCAGCAATTGGTTTCATTTTTTAAAACCATGGTAATCTCTAGTTCTCTCCGAATTTTCACTTAATCTTTCCTGTAAAGTTTTACATGCTTAAGATTCTTCAACATTGCTGGTGAGTAACTCATATTTGAAATCCCGAGTTTAATACTGGGATCAAATAAAGGGACAGCCCCCCACAGTCCCCCCCCCCATTTCCTCTGAGAAAGGAGAAAAGTGTACAGAGAAAAGTGTGATTTTGAGCAATAAAAGGAGAAGGTGCTTAATTCTTTCCCAGCCAACTGATTTCCCTTTCACAATTCCTGCTAAGCTGCTTTCCCTCCCGTGCCATTCCAGATGCATGTTTTACATAAGAGCAGATAACCCAAAGAAGAGCCTTGCTAGATCAAGCCTAGCATCCTGTTTCCGGCAGTGGCCAATTAGATGCTTCTGGTGAGCTCGCAAGCAGGATATGAGGGCAACCGCCTTTACCCTGCAGATGTGGCAGTTGCAGTTAAATGCAGAGCTGCAGGATAGAACCAGCTATGTAGATCAGCTCTTTGAGAAACGATGCTCCTGAAAATCCTTTCTCAGAAATACTTGAAAGCAGAGCAATTTCACTCACCTCTCCATGTATTCAGGCCAAAAATTGCATGCAGTGTTGGGGGTGAATGGTCGCGGGCCAGTTGGCTTTAATACTACAAGTCATGGCTGGGTTTATCCTTGCTCTGAAGCTCTGCACAAAAAGAATGTTACAGTGGTACCTTGGCTCTTGAACTTAATCCATTCCGGGAGTCTGTTCGACTCCCAAAACCATTTGAAAACCAAGGTGCGGCTTCCGATTGGCTGCAGGAGCTTCCTGCACTCAAGCAAAAGCCCTGTTGGATGTTTGGCTTCCGAAAAATGTTCGCAAACCGGAACACTGAGTTCTGGGTTAGCGGCGTTCGGGAGCCGATTTGTTCGGCAACTAAGCCGTTCGAGAACCAAGGTACCACTGTACTCTTAAACTGAGTAAAGGATCTAAAATATGGAGATCTTCCACCTTCATTATAAATTTTAGAAACGCCGGAGATTTGAAATAGTTCGTTGGATTTTCTACTTCAGTTCTTGCCAGACATCACCTTGGTTCAGATGTCATTCATTTATGTATGTATGCCATTTATTTATGTAAGCCACTCTCTGTGTGGCTTACACAAATCAGTGCTGAGATGGTCCCTGCCCTCAGGTTCACGATCTAAAAAGATATAACACAGCAAAAAAGAAATGGGAGGGAGGAAAGTTCATGAGTAAGCCATGCTTTGAACATTGAGGTCTAGGGCCTCTCCAATTGTCTCCTGCTCTTCCTGGTTCACAATAAATGTAGTTTGCTGTGAAGTCCAAATCAGGCAAAAGGCCATTACCACTAACTGTAGCTCCCCTCTTAATCGAAAATAGAAACCATGGTTTGGAATGGGTTTTCAGTTGTGGTTTGGAGGCAAACTATGGTTTGTGGCAGCAATAGTTTGCTTGATTCAGACATTGTGGTAAACTAGATTACCATGGAATTGTGGGGTGGGGGTGGAAATCAGAGTGCATGAGGAGAAGAGGAAAGGTAACGATGGCGCATGTAGGGCATGAGACATGATCCTGATAGTTTGACCATGACATCTAAACAAGGTTACTGTCCTGTGTTTGATGCCTTGACAGTTTTAAAGCTGCCTGTAATTTTATTTAAGACAGGCAGGGTATTACACTGTGGTGACAAAGTGGAAGTATATAATCCTTACTGGAATGCAATTCAATTATAACGGCTAAGTTAAGTAGCTTTAGGTTATTATACATTGGTTCTGTCATCTTCATTTGGGTAAGGAGTTGGCAGAGGCAGCACTGAGATCAGAGATCAGTGTACAGAATATCAATGCACATCTTATTTTATTAACATATAAATCAACCTCATATATCCTGATAAAACTTAAAGCGATGTTCTCATCGTATGAAAAGTGGCTCCGAGGGGGGAAAGTGTGTCTAGAAACTGCACTGCGACGTGCCTAGACGGAGGACTGACTTATAGAAGGTGTGCTACCAGTTTGATGGCTGCAGGTATCCTGGCCATTGTAGCAAAGACCATAAATCGTCAAGTGGAGATAAGCATTTCCACCTGTTAAGGGATCTGTGACTGGCTATTGCATGTCCATAATTACAGACTTACATCTTTTTTATGCTGTGGTCTTTGAAAACCAGAATCCACCTTTAGCCTAAGAGTGCATTTGTGGACCCCCATCTTTACTTATTGCACTGCTGTTCTGTCTTAGATCAGGCTGTGACGCAGGGGGGTAGTCACGACCCACCTGCAGAAGCCCAGTGTACAATGTTGTACAGCAGGGATGGGAAACCTCAGGTCCACGGGCTCAATTGCTGCTCTCCAAGCTTCACCCCTCACTGGTCTTGCTTCACAGTCTCCTTCAATGCTTTTGGGAGTGGCCACCGAGACCATATAACACCTGTTCTGAAAGATAAAGGTAAAGGGACCCCTGATCATTAGGTCCAGTCATGACCGACTCTGGGGTTGCGGCGCTCATCTCGCTCTATAGGCCATGGGAGCTGGTGTTTGTCCACAGACAGCTTCCGGGTCATGTGGCCAGCATGACTAAGCCGCTTCTGGAGAACCAGAGCAGCGCACGGAAACACCGTTTACCTTTTCGCCCGAGCGGTACCTATTTATCTACTTGCACTTTGATGTGCTTTCTAACTGCTAGGTTGGCAGGAGCTGGGACCGAGGAACGGGAGCTCACCCCGTTGCGGGGATTCGAACCACCAACCTTCTGATCAGCAAGTCCTAGGCTCTGTGGTTTAACCCACAGCGCCACCCGCGTCCCCTTTCTGAAAGATAGCAGAACAGTAAAAACAGAGAGTTGGGTCAATCAAAGTGTTTACTGAATCAAGGTCAAAGTTGTGTGTGCAGGCGAATCTAGATTCCTAAAATGAAGACCTCCAGATTCTAGATTACATTCTGCAATTGCAATGCACAAGGATGCGTTTCAGTCCAGTTATGAAACCTGAAGGACAAACGAAGCATTACTTCGTGGAATTATGTGCAAGTAAGGCTGCAAGCTTTGGTCGACTTACTTGGAAGCAATATCCGCTGAATACAGTGAGACTTGTCTCTAAATAGAAGATAGCCCTTCAAAGCCCCAGGGGAAAGAGTGCAGAGTGGAGACTGTGCTAAAAAAAAACACACCCCTTGATTCTGTGCATATTTGATAGGTTCCAAAATGCATCCCTCTGTTATAATGTACTCCCCCCGCTGGGCCTGACCAATAATACATTTCTTTTCAATTGGGCTGAGCGCTAAAGGAGCACTGGTTCCTAATTCAGTAGTCTCTCTTGGAACTATTAAAAATAGCTAAATCCAAGAATGGGTGCGTACAAGAGATAGTAAAGAGAGAGGCCAGGGAAAATGAAAAACCAGCTGTTCTGTTCTTCCTTTTCAGACTAGGCTGATGTAGACACGAAGAGACAGATGGGCAGACCTTTGCCATGCAGCCAGAGACAGGCAACACAATCCTGTCTCTTCCTTAAATGTAAACCTTTTGTCTTCAGTGAAGTTGTTAATGAATGAATCATTCCTTTGTATAAAAGGGTCATCATTTCTTTAAAACACAAAACAATAGCCAGAGCTAGCTAGCCTAATAAGGAAAGCATCTGAACTGAGAATTTGAAATTTAATGGGATTAGCTAAAATTTAACTAGTTGTGATGAAACTTTTCTGGAAAGGTTAGTTAATCAACCCACAGTCAGTGATGGTGTTTCTCTTTAGCAACCCTGCCTGGCCACCCTCATTCCTCTTTTTCTATGCCTTTTTGTTCTCTGAAAGATAGAAATGTTGTATTAGCTGTCAGCTGCCAGCTCCAGGGCAATCTTGCCCTTGTGTTGTTGCTGTTAAAAAGTTATTCCCCTCTTTCCCGCTCCACAAAGGAGTAGGTCAGAGCAGCATATAAAAAGCAGACTTTTAAGAACGATCTAACCTTGAAAACGTAGGTCAGCTTCAATAACAGCAGCAAAAAGCAAAAAAACTCAGAAAGAGCAGCATTAACAAGCACCCTACTCTTTCAAACACTTCTTTTATTTGTTTTGCTTTTATTTGTTTTGTGCTTGGAAAACCATCATAGTAATGGATGGGCAAATTGACTTTGGGGAGAACCACCACCAAGAAGTCTCTGTCTCCGTTAGCCAGCCACCTTGCCTTGGAAAGGGGTAGGGAGAGGAAGAAAGTACTAAAAGTTGGACCCTGGTGGGAATTTTTAACAACCAGGCAGGTTCATATAGAGACCATTTAATGCTTTGTGGGTCACAACCAACATACTGAATTGTGCCAGAAAACAAACTGATAGCCAGCAATGCTGTTTTACTATCATATATTGTTGCTTTGCTGTCTCATTTCAATATGGCGTTGACAACTTATTTCAGCATCCTCTGTCACTTAAAAATGTGAGTGGATACCAAAGTTTCCATTGAAATAGGTGTAGAAAAACCAGCTGTCCTAGCAATTCTAAGTGGAGGTAGAATTCTTGTGGACTATTGCTTGTTATGACGGGACGCAGGTGGCGCTGTGGGTTAAACCACAGAGCCTAGGACTTGCCAATCAGAAGGTCAGTGGTTCAAATCCCCACAACGGGGTGAGCTCCCGTTGCTCAGTCCCTGCTCCTGCCAACCTAGCAGTTCGAAAGCGCGTCAAAGTGCAAGTAGATAAATAGGTACCGCTCCAGCGGGAAGGTAAACGGCGTTTCCGTGCGCTGCTCTGGTTCGCCAGAAGCAGCTTAGTCGTGCTGGCCACATGACCTGGAAGCTGTATGCTGGCTCCCTCAGCCAGTAAAGTGAGATGAGCGCCGCAACCCCAGAGTCGGTCACGACTGGACCTAATGGTCAGGGGTCCCTTTACCTTTACCTATTGCTTGTTATAGTTTTGGGACCATTCACTCAACTGAACAGCACTAATTTTTTCCCCATATAATCATAGACTCCAGAGAAATCAAGAGTGTGACTAAATATCTATGTACGTATGTATGTATGTATGTATGTACTTAAAAGCAGTTATATAATTTTTAAAATTTCAAAAAAAATCTCTTACGTGATTGTATAACTAGGGAGAGCTGCAACAAGGCTGCTTCATAAATGTTAACATAATCAACTTCTTTTTATCATTTCTCGTATGTCTAATAACAGAACAGAGTGCTTTCTAGATCCAGCTCCATCCTGTCAGGGTCCCCCATCGCAACAAAAATAAAACAGGACATTGTCCGCTTCACTTTCTCAGTTCTTTGGCAACCTAATATAAACTAACATTCTGTAAAGCCACAAAGTGTGGCAATTTCCACTATTCCTTTTTCTTTCTTGTTAAAAATCTAGCCAGAGAGGATTTACCAGGCAGTCCCATTATAACTGGGAAAAGAACTAGTAAAACCAAAGTGAGATGGAAGCAGAATAAAAATGAGGTAAAAATAAAAGAGGTCTTCTCACAGCGAGGGAGGAGAGCCATACCGAAAGCACAAAAGTATCAAATGAATGGTTTGGCGCCGAATATTTCACTCTGAAAGACAGTTCCAGCTCAGGCCTTGCTATTGATTTCAGTGGGAATTTAGCTACCAGCCTTTGGTTTGGGTGTAGAAAGCCCTACACAGTTTGGAACCAGAATACCTGAAAGATAGGCACCTCACCCTTTATATGCCCTATTGATCACTGTGTTCTGTGTTCCTACCAATACTGCCTTAACTAGGAGGTCCATTGTGCACAATGTAGGAAATGGGGATGGTCAAAATGTAAACGAAGGGGACATTGGTCAGGTGAAAAGGGAATGTGGAAGAAGGGAGGGTGGCAAGCAGGAGTGGCAGCCCTTAGTCTTATATATTTGTGTTTCTCTTAACATATAGGTCTTCTTAGAGACTATCCTTAAAGACAGCATATCCCAACTCTGGACTGCTGTTGCGAATTGGAACGAACCTTTTATGAGTTCCGTATCTGTGTATACCTGGTCGGGGTTTTGTGTCTCACGGTCTTTCCAATGAATAGTCCAATAAATAGTCATTGAAAGTTGTTGTCGAAAATGAACCTGTTGCCTTTGGGTTTCATAAGGTGGTGTAGCAATGGAGATTTTAACGCTTGCAAAAATAAAAGCTGTGGGTTTTCTCAATTCTCTTTCCGCCCTGCCACCCAGACAGGTTTTCCGTTGACCAACGGTGGTGGTCCAGAGAAGTTTAAGTCTACTTAGGTTAAGCCAGCGACGAGGTGGAGCTCGATAAAATTTTTGAATTGTCCTGAGAATGTTCCTCAAGACAAACCCAAGTCAGTTAGACACACACACTGTGTGTGGGTGGGTTGAAGTTCAAAAGGAAATGCATATTTGCTTAGGGAACACCCAGTCCTGTCAGCCAACAGCTACTAGCGTGCTTATCAGCGGCATGTGATAAATTTCACCTTGATTCCTCTTTTATTGCCCTTTAAATATACGCGCTATAAAAGAAACTTGTAGGCATATTTCATTTCCTCCCTTTCTTAAAAAGTAAAAGGAAAATATATTTGTATGCACGTATTACACACACACACACACGCTTATACAGTGGTACCTCAGGTTACATACGCTTCAGGTTACAGCCTCCGCTAACCCAGAAATAGTACCTCGGGTTAAGAACTTTGCTTCAGGATGAGAACAGAAATCGGGCTCCAGTGGCGCAGCGGCTGTAGGAGGCCCCATTACCTAAAGTGGTGCTTCAGGTTAAGAACAGTTTCAGGTTAAGAATGGACCTCCAGAACGAATTAAGTATTTAACCCGAGGTACCACTGTACACATATATATTTAATAACTTTGGTTTCTTCTACATTTGACTTCTTTCGGTCTGATCCTGTGCTTTCTGTCTTACAAGTAAATGCCACTGAGTTCAGTAGAACTTGAAGGTAGAGCAGTTCCAGGGAATCTTTTTTGGAGAAGAAGTTTTTACTTTCTTTCCAAGGAGCTGAAGAGGAAGATGATTCAATGGTTATTCATAATAATACAGGTTGTGAAAAGTCTAGTGAAATGGATTGACAGGCGGTACAGGACAAACGAAAGGAAGCACTTCAGACAGTGTTGATTAATTTATTGAATTCACGGCCATAAAATATGGGCATGACCTCTGGCTTTTAATGACTTTTAAAGAAAGGGATTAGATTAGACATTTCCATGGAGGACGGGTCTTTCAGAGACTGCAAGTCAGGGCAGCTGAATGAAACAGGCCTGTCCAGAGAGAGAATATGCAGAGACAAACACCCAGTAATGACATTACCAAGGGTAGTTGGGAGGCCACCTTGGATATACATTTGACCCTGATTGTCTACATATTTCTCCCCCCACTGACCCTTCATAGCAGAAGTGGTGAGTCCTGCTTCAAAACTGGGACCGTTTCTAGCAAGTAAATGTGTGGTGCTGCCATATTCAGGATTGGGCTCGTTGTTGACATCCATCTTGTCTCAAAAGACAATGGAGTGCGCCTCTGGGGTTGAAGTCCAATGGCTGCATTAGCAGCACTGAAGGGACCTCCCTGTGGCACAAGCCTGGGGCTCCGTACAGTGGTACTTCAGGTTACATACGCTTCAGGTTACATACACTTCAGGTTACAGACTCCGCTAACCCAGAAATAGTGCTTCAGGTTAAGAACTTTGCTTCAGGATGAGAACAGAAATTGCGCTCCGGCGGCGCGGCAGCAGCAGGAGGCCCCATTAGCTAAAGTGGTGCTTCAGGTTAAGAACAGTTTCAGGTTTAGAACGGACCTCCGGAACGAATTAAGGACTTAACCCGAGGTACCACTGTATATGGAAGTCCAGGGCTTCCCAGATGACAAGACTCCTCCCTGGTGTGGTGTAGTGGTTAAGAGCGGTGGACTCGTAATCTGGGGAACCAGGTTCGCTTCCCTGCTCCTTCACATGCAGCTGCTGGGTGACCTTGGGCCAGTCACACTTCTCTGAAGTCTCTCAGCCCCACTCACCTCACAGAGTGTTTGTTGTGGGGGAGGAAGGGAAAGGAGAATGTTAGCCGCTTTGAGACTCCTTAGGGTGGTGATAAAGCGGGATATCAAATCCAAACTCTTCTTCTTCCTCCCCTCTCGGCCTCGCCAATGTGATCCAAAGGAAAGCAAAGCAATACGTTTGGCACCTGCTTGATGGCACGTTTTGCCGAAAGGAGGCGTACAAGGCATCATCCAGCCGTCTTATGGACGCCCCTCCAGATTTGTGTAGGGCAGTGGTGTCCAAACTTTTTTCAAAGAGGGCCAGATTTGATGAAGGGAAGGGCCATGAGGGCGTACCAATCCATGTTGTTGACCTTTTTTTAGGATTTTACCCCAAGAAATAAACTGCCACAGGAGCCGGATTAAACCAACCGGCGGGCTGGATTAGGCCCCCAAAACGGACTTTGGACATGCCTGGGGTAGAGTGATGGGGTCTGGCTTTGGGTGGGGGTCAAAAGCAGCCTTCAAGGCATCTCTTTCTGCCCTTTAGGACTCTCACCAGTCCACACTTATCTTAGTCCTTTTTCTATTCAAAACCTCATTCCAAATAAAAAAATCCATTGGAGATAGAAAATTAGCTCACCAGGGCTCACTAGGCCTGCTCTGCTGGCTTTTTATTTGGAGAGAGTTGGAGGAGCATTTAAATAGCAACGGGCGTAGTTACCTGCTGTCTGAAGTGGTATGATCCATACTGCTATCATACCATTACTCTTACCACCTTGTTCTGCTGAACTTGTAGATAAGACCCAAGTTCAGTTTTAGGACAATATGTTATTTGTGGGAAACAGCCGGTGCCATCCAAAGTAGACAGAAGCGGAATTGTAAAACAAATAAATATAAAATGTATGCATACAGTTGTACCTTGGAAGTCGAACGGAATCCATTCTGGAAGTCCGTTTGACTTCCAAAATGTTCAGAAACCAAAGCGCGGCTTCTGATTGGCTGAAGGAAGCTCCTGCAGCCAATCAGAAACTGCGGAAGCCCCGTCGGATGGTCAGCTTCCAAAAATAGTTCACAAACTGGAACAGTCACTTCCAGGTTTGCGGCATTCGGGAGCCAAAACATTCGAGAACTAAGCTGTTCAAAAAACAAGGTACGATTGTATCTATTGCATTTTATTTTCTTCTGCAAATTTTTGGAAGTTCAGCTTTCCTCCACCTCGGTTTTGGCATTTCCTTTTGCGAAATTCCCCCACTGTCCATTCCTCAGACGGAGTTCTGTTTGTCTCTCAACAGGTTGCTGGTTGGTGCCCCTCGGGAAAGAGGTTTCCCGTCACAGCTAGCCAATAGAACTGGAGGGTTGTATAGCTGTGACATCGCAACTCCAAATGCAAAATGCACACGGATAAAATTCGATGAGAAAGGTGAGCTCAGCAGTATCTAGGCTTCGTTCTGTTCTGTTTTACGCAAGGTTCAAACGCTCATTTTTTAAAAAATAATAATAAACCATTTGGGAGGGGTGGAATCTTATTTGTTGCTTTAATTTATGCTCTGGGAAGTTATTTGACAACAGTGCCATGGTGCCTCTGACTAAGACATGGGCACAGAACCCATATTTACCTAAATCAGCCTGGTATGCTGTTGGGCGACTCTCATTCATTTCTAGGAAGGTTACGTCAAAGTACTTTCTGATGCTTATGTCCTTTTTAATAAAGCAAGTTTTTATTAAAGCTTTTTCGTAATACAAGAAGATAAATAACACAACAAATGTTGGTGCTGACCTTTAAAGTCCTAAACGGCCTCGGCCCAATATAAGGAGCATCTCCACCCCCATCGTTCAGCCCACACACTGAGGCCCAGCTCCGAGGGCCTTCTGGCGGTTTTCTCCCTGCGAGATGCGAGGTTACAGGGAACCAGGCAGAGGCCCTCCCATCAGATGTCAAGGAAATAAACAACTATCTGACTTTTAGAAGACATCTGAAGGCAGCCCTGTTTAGGAAAGTTTTTAATGTCTGAGGTTTTATTGTATTTTTAATATTCTGTTGGGAGCTGCCCAGAGTGGCTGGGGAAATTATTATTATTATTATTATTATTATTATTATTATTTCTGTTGGGAGTCACCCAGAGTGGCTGGGGAAACCCAGCCAGATGGGTGGGGTATAAATAAATTATTATTATTATTATTATTATTATAATACTAAAGAAAAACATACAAAGGGAAAGAAAAAGAAAAACTCCCTCTCTCAAAAGGTAGCTCTTAACCTTTGTCTCACCCAGAAAGTGGTGGACACTCCCAGCTTTCACTTGGAAGCGTTCCTTTTTCTTCCAGTCTCTCATCCTGGGAGGGCTTCCCTTCCCCTCACTGCCATTACGTTTGGATTTCCCCAGACATTACTGGGATTTCAAAGGCCGAATTGACATGGGGGTGTGTGTGTGTGGAAACGCAACTTTCCGGTTTCTGGGGGGGGGGAAGCTTAACAATTTTTGGGTCTTTCTTGGGGAAAAAAAGCTCAATTAAGGCACTAGAGGAGTCACAGCTTCATTATATAGCTCTGCAAATCACTTAATCCTCTCAAAATTGAATATAATATTAATATTCCCAGACCGAAATGTCCGTAGTGATGCTCATTTGAACCGTCCTGTGTGAATATTGTAGGCAAACACTGCCATCTAAAGACAGTTTCAGGTACTGAATGAATATATGGTTCAATCGTATGCATGCTTACTCGGAAGTAAACCCCACTGAGTCCAATGAGACTTTCCTCCGGGTAAATTGTGTATAGAATTGTAGCCTTACCTGTCAGCGGAGTCGTAGTTGAAATAATATGTTTGTAAGTCACTAGAGAAATGTTATTTTAGAAGTTGGGTGTTTTTTTTAAAAAAGCAAAATCACCTTGTGATAATTTTTCAGCTGATCTGAGTAAAGAAAGCAAGGAAGACCAATGGATGGGTGTTACTGTCCAGAGTCAAGGGCCTGGGGGAAAAGTCGTGGTAAGTTCTCCATGAATCACTATTCGGCAAACATTTTGTTAATGGTATTTCTCACTACATTTTTTTTAAATTATTCAAAATTATAACAAGACATATTATCCAAAAACATATTATCCTTGTTTCCCCCCCCCATTTTTCCGCCCACCCCCCACCCACACCACCCCCCCCCCCCCGGCTTCCCTCAGTTCCAGTCTTTGGTTTCTCTAGGAATGCTGTTTTCTGCATGTTACAAAGTTGTATAGATCCTCAAACTATTTAGCTGATTATTATCAATAAAAGGTTTGTGAATGTTTATTCAAAACCTGCCAAGGAGTCCAGTTCGCTTTGTTGCGTCTTCAGATACTTTGTAAAGGGTTCCCATTCATCCTTAAAGTCACAGTTATCCTTGTCCCGTAGCTTATATGTCAGTTTTGCCAGTTCTGCATAGTCCGTCAATTTTTCTTGCCATGATTCTTTAGTTGGCGTTTCTTCAGTCTTCCATCCTTGTGCTACCAAAACTCTCGCGGCCGTTGTCGCATACATGAAGATGTTTTTCAACTTTTTTGGCAGGTCTTTCCCTACAATCCCCAACAAAAATGTTTTTAACAAAGGTTAAATGGAACATTTTCTTCAATTCGTTGTAAATCATTTCCCAGAATTTTTTAATTACCTTACAATCCCACCACATATGATAAAATGTCCCCTCCTTTTCCTTACACTTCCAACATATATTTGAACTAGTTTTGTACATTTTCCCTAACTGCACTGGTGTTGTGTACCATCTGTACATCATCTTCATGTAATTCTCCTTCAATAGGGAACAGTCTGTAAATTTTAAGTCAGTTTTCCATAATTTAACCCAATCTTCCATCATAATGTTGTGCCCTACATCTTCTGCCCATTTAATCATAACTGATTTTACCTCTTCATCTTTCGTCTCCCATTCTAATAGTATGCTGTATGCGGCCTTCAGTAGTTTCACTTTCCCTTCAATCACTTCCGTTTGAAACCTAGATCTAGTATAACTAAATCCTTTCTTGCTGTCTTCTTTATGTGTTTCATATAGTTGTCGATAATGCAACCAACTTTGAAAGAACATTTTTATTTATTTTTAATTGAAAAATACTAGGAATCGACCTGAGAAATAATTTCCTCTATTGGAAAACAAAACCCCAAGGTGGCTGTCACCGATGGAAGCGAAAGCTCTGAAAAAGCTCAATATGGAGGTCAAATGGCCAAAATATTGGGAAATTTTGGAACAAGATGGAGATAGACTGAAACTGCAGAGTTGTGAGACATTAAAAACAAAGTGTGAGACTGGCTTCATTATTATCAGATAATGGAGGCATATAATTTGGACAAGAAAATTGGCTTCCAGGTGGAAAAATCAAAATTAGAAACAGAACTGCTAGAACCCAAAACTAAGAATCTGTCAAAGATGTATAACTTGCTGTTGAAATGGAATACACAGGATGAAACGGTGAAATCAGCTATGATTAAATGGGCACAAGATGTTGGACATAACATAATGATGGCTGACTGGGAACAGTTATGGACCACAGGTATGAAGTTTACGGCATGTAATGCCTTAAGAGAGAATATTATGAAAATGATATACAGGTGGTACATGACACCAGTCAAGCTTGCAAAAATCTATCATTTGCCCGATAATAAATGTTGGAAATGTAAGGAAACTGAAGGTACATTCTTTCACCTTTGGTGGACGTGCCCAAGGATTAAGGCTTTCTGGGAGATGATCTATAATGAAATGAAAAAGGTATTTAAATATACCTTCCTGAAGAAACTAGAGGCCTTTCTCCTGGGCATAGTCGGCCAATTGGTGCCAAAGAAGGACAGAACTTTCTTTATGTATGCCACAACAGCAGCAAGAATACTTATTGCAAAGTATTGGAAGACACAAGACCTACCCACTCTGGAAGAATGGCAGATGAAGGTGATGGACTACATGGAATTGGCCGAAATGACTGGCAGAATCCGAGACCAGGGAGAAGAGTCGGTGGAAGAAGACTGGAAGAAATTTAAAGACTATCTACAGAAATATTGTAAAATTAATGAATGTTAGAATGATGTTAGAATGAAGTTAAGTGGTTTAAGCAGCAATGCTATAAAGGCATATGTAAAAATGGACAGTTAACAGGTGAAAATCCAAAGTTATAGTATATTAAGTTAAAGGACTAAGAGAAAATAAAGAAAAGAAATTGCTGAATTAACTAATTGAATTGGAATACAAAAAAGGGAGGTATGAGGAGGTCAGGGAAGTAAGGAAATGAATGTAAGGCATGGAAGACTGATGTATTTTTAAGTGTTTTTTATTCTTTTTTTCCCTGTATTTTGTATTTTTCTTGTATTTCTACTTTTGTCTTTTTTTCTTCTCCTTTTCTTTACTTATGTAATTCTTCTTTTTGAAATCTTAATAAATATCATTTTTTTAAAAAAAGAGAAATAATTTCCTCTATTTCCAGTTTTTGGACCATGAATGCCATTGGTTACGAGGTCAAGAATGGCTACTATTATATTACTATCGGCCACCATTATGTAGCCAGAGCAGGCTTGAAGGAAACCTGGAAGCTACAGAAGCACAAAAATATTTAGTGTGGGGGTCCTAGCGGGGAGGAACCCACGAAACAGCCCAATGGGGAGTAAGCGTGCTGAGTGGTCATGGAATGGCAACTGAATGTTGTGGGGTGGAAATGGAGTGGTTGGAAATCGGAACAACAGCTCTCCACACCGCAACATTTTATTACAGGTTTCACTTGCATCCTATGTATACTTCTCTTGATTATTAGTCACAGTGGTCTTCAGGTACCATCGCAACATTCATATTCTAAGGAAAAGAGAACGCATGCACAGAACCTTTAAAAAGGTTCTTTTGCTAGTGCAGAATTCAGCAGCCAGGTTTGAACATATTACACCGATCCTGGTCCAACTGCACCGGCTACCAGTTAGTTTCTGGGCCCAACTCAGAGTGCTGGTTTTGACCTATAAAGCCTTAAACAGCTCAGGACCGCAATTCCTCAAGGACTGCCTCTTTCCATATGAACCTACCCGGACCCTGAGATCATCTTCTGAGCCCCTCCTTCGTATGCCCCCTCCTCCAGAGGTCCGGAGGGTGGCAACACAAGAACAGGCCTTCTCTGCAGTGGCTCCCCGTCTGTGGAATGCTCCCCCCAGGGAAGTTCGCCTGGCGCCTTCATTATACATACACCTTTAGGCACCAGGCAAAAACGTTCCTTTTTAAGCAGGCCTTGGGTTGATTTGATTTACATCCCTTGCCCTTTTAAAATGTGTTGTTTTTTGAGGGGGGGCTGTTGAGTTGTTTTTATTTTTATTATGTATTTTGTGGTTTTATATCTTGATTTTATCCTGTGAACCGCCCTGAGACCCCCAGGTATAGGGCGGTATAATAATAATAATAATAATAATAATCATAATAATCATAATGCCATCAAACTGGTGAATGCTTCACTGATACCTTCCCGTAACTGTCCTAATGAAAAAATACTGTGAGGCAAAATAAAAACGCATACTTCCAGATGATTTAAAAGTCATCTGTCCTTTGGTATGGCAGCATGTTGGCTATTCAACGCAGAAGCATTCCATATCAGTGAACTTGATGTCAGCCAGTCTAGGATTGTACCCTCTTAATTCCTCAGCCCTGCCAAACTCCATATAGTTGCCCTGTTGAAATGCCAGTGGCCCCTTTTCGTTTCTCTTGCGGATAAGGCAGCTCAGCTTTGCTTATTGCCTACGGTGTTCTTAATGCCTTGCAGACTTGTGCCCATCGCTATGAGAAAAGGCAGTACGTCAACACGATCCAGGAAACTCGAGATATCATTGGAAAGTGCTACGTGCTGAATCAGGACCTCTCCAGCAGCGAGGAAATGGGTGGCGAGGATTGGAGCTTTTGCGATGGCCGGTTGCGAGGCCACGAGAAGTTTGGCTCCTGCCAGCAAGGCGTAGCTGCCACTTTTACCAGAGATTTTCATTATGTTGTGTTCGGGGCACCGGGTGCTTATAACTGGAAAGGTATGGCTTGGATTTTTCTTCAAATATCACTCCTGCGGGGTAGCTTAGTCAGTAGAGGATGAGACGCTGAATCTCAGGGTTGTGGATTCGAGCCCCACGTTGGGCAAAAAGGGGATGGATTAGATGATCCTCGTGATTTCTTCCAGTGCTACGATTCTGTTATTTCTGTTGTCTGTCTGTCTGCTGTTTCAGTATCGACAACTTTGTTATTTGTAGATTCTTGATCTGTATACCCCCCCACCTACATTGATGCTCTTTCCCCCAAAATCAAAACGTTAGGTGTACAGTGGTACCTTGGTACTCAAATGGCTTGGCTCCTGAAAAAATCAGCTCCCAAACACAGCAAACCCAGAAGTGATATCTGGAAGTTTGTGAACTTTTTTTGGAATCCAAACGTCGGCTCCCTCTACCTGAAAAGCAAGATGAGTGTCGCAACCCCATAGTCGCCTTTGACTGAACTTAACCGTCCATGGGTCCTTTATCTTTACCTTTACCTTTTATAGGACGGCCATACTCACTACAGGCATGTGGCCCTCAAAGGGTTGACCAAGGGTAAATGTGGCCTCCGGAACAAGAAAGGGTTAGTTGCCACAGCCTAGATCACTGTTAATTTTTTTGTAGCCAAGTGAAAATGCACTCAGTTGGGGGGAAAGTGTTTGAAAAATAAAACGACAGTAATAGTAGTAGTAGTAGTAAATAAATAAATCCTGTTGAATTTTGTGGCCTCCAAATTAAATAAAAGCCGATGGATTGGTTTGTGCTTACTTAGGCTAAAAAGCTTTGAAATACCACCTTTCTTTTTTAAAACAACAAGGTTGTTGTTGTGGCCTTCTATTCTCCTCTGACCTTTCTCCTTTGCAAAAATAGCAGCGTGCCCCTGTGCCCGGCACGTGAACCATGCAAAACCCTTGACCCTTGGTGTAAGGTGTACTTGAGTTTACCCTTCCAAATTCTGAAAACTGGACCACCCTGGTGCGGTGCGTCAAATAAAGAGCCATTGCTTTAGTTGAATTGCAGGTACTTATTGCCGCTGCGCTTAGTTTGAAGAGTGCTCTTTTACAGCCCGGAGGAAAAACACACACGTTTGTTTAGTTGAGAGTGTATTGTATACCTGTCAAAACCGAAGTGCTTCCTTTCTAAATAGTGCAGAAGTGTGTTTTCATAATTAGGGGACGGCTCTTTACCTAAGCAACAGCAGCAGCAGGGATTTAACATAATGGACATTTTTAAATGTTATGGTATTAGCGCGTGGAAAAAAAAGTTTATAACAAACATCCACGCTGAAGAGTCTTTGCGAAATGCCACCTGTCATTTGCAGATGCAAATAAACAGGATCCTCCCTGTTACTGCAGCCCCTCCCAATTTGTCCACATGTTGTTGCAGTGCATGTCTGTTGGTCATGCTGGTAGGGGGCCGATGGGACTTATAGACCCAAACAGCTGGAGGGCACCACTTTGGGAAAGGCCATGTACTTTTTAAAAAAAATCTCCCCTTGACCCAGTGTTCCACATCACTTGCCTTCTGTTTTAGCTAAGACAATTCCTGGTTTTAAATGACTGTCTGTGGACTTTGGACTCAGAATGTGACTTCCTGAGTAACTTAGCTTTTCATTATCAGCACAAATCACTTAGTTTTTTTGTATCAACCCTCAGGGTTGTGGAAGTAAAACTGGAGGATGACTGAGGGAACATAAGGTGCCGAGGACCTCCCTCTTGGAGGATGATTTGGCGCACCGGAGGAAAACTCCTTTGCCTTTGTTGTGCCGTTGCCAGTTCTGTGCTGTTTGTACACTGGGGCTCGGAAGAGGCCATTTTGAGGGTGGGTGGGTGTGTCAAAAGAGCACCCCAAGCTCCCTTGTTCCCCTGACAGCCACCACATGGTCCAAAGAAATACCTTACCTAGAGTTGGTGCTCTCAGTTCCATCCCATTAGAATTGAAGGTGGTGTAGTTGAGAGTAATGCAAGAGAAAAGTTATGTCTTCTCTTTCTCTTCTTACTTGGCCAATTTTCCTTGGTTACCGCAGCTTAGGACCGCAATACCTCAAGGACCACCTCTCTCTCTCTCTCTCTCTCTCTGAACCCACCTGGCCCCTGAGATCCTCTTTTGAGGCCCTTCTTTGTGTGCCTCCTCCCTGAAAGATCCGGAGGGTGGCAACACAAGAGCAGGCCTTTTCTGCAGTGGCTCCCCACTCGTGGAATGCTCTCTCTAGTGAGATTCTGCCGGCGCCTTCGTTATCCACCTTTAAGGCAAAAACTTTCCTCTGTAAACAGAACTTTGCCCGATTGATATCTGACGCCCTTTAAACAGGTGTTGGGGGAGGATTATTGGAATGTTTTTGTTTTTATTATGTATTTTGTGTTTGTATATTGTGATTTTATGTTGTGAACCACCCTGAGACCTGCAGGTATAGGGCAGTATACAAATTTAATTTAATAATAATAATAATAATAATAATAATAATAATACGTGGGGCTACCTTTGAAGGTGACCCGGAAACTACAACTAATCCAGAATGCGGCAGCTAGACTGGGAGCGGCCGCCGAGACCATATAACACCGGTCTTGAAAGATCTACATTGGCTCCCAGTACGTTTCCGAGCACAATTCAAAGTGTTGGTGCTGAGCTTTAAAGCCCTAAACGGACTCGGTCCAGTATATCTGAAGGAGCATCTCCACCCCCACCGTTCTACCCGGTCACTGAGGTCCAGCACCGAGGGCCTTCTGGCGGTTCCCTCACTGCGAGAAGCCAAGTTACAGGGAACCAGGCAGAGGGCCTTCTCGGTAGTGGCGCCCTCCCTGTGGAACGCCCTCCCACCAGATGTCAAAGAGAACAACAACTACCAGACTTTTAGAAGACATCTGAAGGCAGCCCTGTTTAGGGAAGCTTTTAATGTTTGATGTATTACAGTATTTTAATATTTTTTTGGAAGCCGCCCAGAGTGGCTGGGGAAGCCCAGCCAGATGGGTGGGGTATAAATAATAAATTATTATTATTATTATTATTATTATTGCATCACATATTTGCTGCATCCTGCAACTTCAACCCAAGTCTAGAATGGGGCCCATTACACAGTGTTGCGTCAATGTTCCTCCCTCCCTTTCCCACAAGGATTATACCATAGTTGCTTTGTCTTCTGTTTGCGTTAAAGTTTATTTTATTCCCCTCCCACTCCCCCTTCCTTTGTCATTCATCCCACTTTTTTTTTTTGCCATTTCATATTTTTTTTCCCCTAGGAGTGGTGCATGCAGAGCAAAGGAATCAGTCATATTTTGAAATGGGTATCTATGACGATGGGCCTTACGAAGTTGGCGGGGAGAACCAGCTTGATGAGAGCCTAGTTCCTGTTCCATCTAACAGTTACTTAGGTAGGACGAAGCTCTTCAGAGATCTCGAGGAAATTTCACTACCCAAATGTGGAGCGATAAAGTGAAACGCTGTTGGAAAGTAATTCAGTTACAGACCCTCCCCACCCGCTTGCGTTTAAACCAAGAGCTTTTTGTGCGTGCCCTCCTTTGCCATTTCCACCACTGCTTTGAAGTGTAAAATGGTACTCTTGGTTGAGGTACCTCTAAGAGCTGCTAATGTAATGAGACATTTCAGAGCACCGATGAGGACTTGCAGATTTTTATATCATGATTATAACCTCTCTGTGTCTCTCTCTGTGTCTCTCTCTCTGTCTTTCTCTCTTTCACACACACACTGTACTGTACTGTATGTGGATTAGTAGCCCTAAGCCATTTTACCTCAACATGTTTGATACTCAACAAGATTGTGATGGCTAAGAAAGGACGTTCATGGTGTATCTCCAGCGTATAGGGACCCACAATTTGTCAGCTAACTTCTGAGGCCTCTTTGCAATGCTTTAATGGCTAACCCCCCAAAGATGGGTGTGTCATATGGCAAATTGTCGAGATTGCATTTTTGTTCGCCCTCGCTTTCTGAGTGCCAGTTGATGCAATTTGTGTGGCGTTTTGCAACAAACGGTGAAAACAATTCCTTTTTAACGCAAACGGTGAAGAACGGCAAACAACTCACTGGCGTTTGCGCATGCCTCCTCCAAGAAGGGATAGGGGCCCTTAAGGATTGAATAGCGACCCATCTGTAAAAGCACACTTTGGGATGAGATTTTGTGGGGAACGTTTGAGGCCAAGGATGATATTTTGCCATTAAAACTGATGAAGGGGATGGAAGGAAAAGTCTGTTCCTGTGTAAGCTGAGTTAATACAGCGTTATTTTTTTTAAAGCTCTGAGGCGGGATCCAAATTTACCGTATTTTTCACTCTATAAGACGTACTTTTCCCCTCCTAAAAAGTAAGGAGAAATGTGTGTGCATCTTATGGAGTGAATGCAGACTGCGCAGCTCTCGCTGAAGCCAGGAGAGCAAGGAGGGATTGGTGCGTGCCGATCCCTCTTGCTGTTCTGGCTTCAGGGATAGCCACGCAAAGGCTCTTCAGTGCAACGGGAGAAATGCTCCCCCTGCCCTGAAGAGGTTTGGCACGGCTATCCCAGAAGCCAAAACAGCAAGAGGGATCGCTGCTTTTGCTGCGCAGCGATCCCTCTTGCTGTTCTGACTTCGCTTCGCTGAAGAGGCGCTGCGCAGAGAGAGAAAGCTGCGCAGTGCCCCTTCAGCAAAGCAGGAGGAGAAATGGAGCCCCTTCCGTTTCTCCTCCCGCTTTGCTGGAGAGGCGCTACGCAGAGAGGGAGAGAATTTTTTTTCCTTGTTCTCCCCTCTAAAACAGGGTGCGTCTTATAGAGCAAAAAATACGGTACAGTGGTACCTCGGGTTACATACGCTTCAGGTTACATACGCTTCGGGTATACACACGCTTACATACGCTTCAGACTCCGCTAACCCAGAAATAGTGCTTCAGGTTAAGAACTTTGCTTCAGGATAAGAACAGAAATCGGGCTCTGGCGGCGCGTCAGCAGCAGGAGGCCCCATTAGCTAAAGTGGTTCTTCAGGTTAAGAACAGTTTCAGGTTAAGTACGGACCTCCGGTACGAATTAAGTACTTAACCTGAGGTACCACTGTACTTTACAATCCAGGACCTTTTTAACCCTCACAGCAATCTGATCAGCGGGGAGGTTTCCACGAATCTGATTCCCATTTGCCATGAGTAAAAATCTGTAGATGTTAATGGGCATTGAAGGGTAGGAGCGCTAACCCCCAACTTCTTGTGTGGCAACAGGTCACGGGCCCTGTAGCTTCAGGCAAGGCCCTAAAGGATGTAACTTGCCTATATTTCCATTGGTAAAACTTCTGCTCTCCTTCAGGTTTTCCCCCTAAGTCTCCATGTTGTTATGCTCTCTGCTTAACCTGTCCTTCTTTCTTTCTTTCCTTCATCTTCTTCCTCCACCCACATTTGCAGGTCTCCTTTTCCTGACAAGTGTGTCTTTTGGTAGCCCCGATCAGTTTGTGTACAAAACACTGCCTCCCAACGTCAGGGTAGGCAAGGCCACCGATCTGATGATGAATAGCTATCTAGGTTTGTGACCTCTGAATAGCGGTTGTCCATCTCGCTTCCTTTGTTACATTCCAAACATTCCAGACATCGTTCTTTGTTTTCCATTTCAAGTTGGTGCGTGTTGTGGAAAATGCTCAAATGAGACGAGGGGACTTCTGAAAGTTTGGGGCGAGAAAGAATCCTCAGGACTCGAGCTTTCGGGGGGCTGGCTTGGCTAGGGGCCTGCAGGTCAAGGATGGAGAACCTGTGGACCTCGATGACTGCTCCACCAAAACGGGGATAGAGGGGAACCAATAAGATGAAGGTGGCCGCACCAAAGAGGGAGTGCTCAAATTGTTTACTGTACCTGTGTGAGCTGAATGTAGAAGTTCAGCATCAGTACCTGGGGGAATCGCGCCATAAGCATGATACATTTTTCATGAGGTCTTAACATTCCTTTAACATCATGGGAGTGCTCTGTTAAAGCAAGTGAACACTTGAATAGATTTTTATTTATTACAAAGTCTGAAGAAAGCACAACGAAATTGCTGTGAATGTGGCTCTTTGAAATCAGCACTGTATACAGTGGTACCTCGGTTTTTGAGCGACTCGGAAGCCTAACGTTTTGGTTTTCAAACGCCAAAACCCCGGAAGTAAACACTTCTGTTTTCGAACGTGCCTCAGAATTTGAACAGCTTCCGCTGCATTCCCCCCAATTTTCTTCACTGACGTTGCAGACCGCCCTTTGCGCCTCGGTTGTTGAGCATTTTGGAAGTCGAACCATCTTCCGGAACAGATTACGTTCGACAACCGAGGTACCACTGTATGTGCTGCTTTGAGTCTGCTTCAATGTCTGCTGGGAGAGGACAGGTTTAAGCTTTTAATGTATATGTGTAGACCCTGTTAGGTGGGTTTCCATTGACCCTGTGCTTCCAATCACCCCTTTAACATAGCAACAATCACAGAGGCTTTGCCCTACAATAGCACCACACCTTCAACTGTTCGTCTGTTTTATGTTGTGCGGTAGGTTTTTCTCTGGACTCTGGAAAAGGCATCACTTCGCAGAACGAGCTCACTTTTGTGTCTGGAGCTCCGAGAGCAAACCACAGTGGAGCGGTTGTCCTTTTGAAAAAAGACACTGTCATTCAACGGGCATTGTCTCCTGAGCACACATTTGAAGGCGAGGGGCTGGCCTCCTCTTTTGGCTATGATGTGGCTGTTGTAGACCTCAACAGTGATGGGTAAGCCTGCCCTCTGGCTCCTCTTTCTTCTAGTACCATGGGGAAGTGTGATCGTATCTTTCTTTGTTTGCAAAGTGGGAGAAACATAGCTGTGAACGTTTCCCCTTTTTGAAGGGAAATTCCCTTATTCCGGATAGGATTCCTCGCAAGAAAAGGGAAAAGTTGACAGCTATGGGGAGAAATGAGGCTGTTCCTCATTAGGTTATGGCAAACTCAGAAAAGCATAAATGCACCATTGCTTTTAAGAAAAGCAACCTGCCCATTTTCATAAAACGTAACTGGCGGACCGGTGAATGTTTTCACACTTCCTGCTCCCCTGACCCTCCATTTTAAGTGGTTTGAGTAAGTAAGCTTACTCACTGTAAAAAATTCAGCAAAATGGATACTTTAAAGAAGTATCTCAGGAAATATAGACCAGGGAAGGTGAACTTGAAAACCTCCAGTTGTTGCTGGATTTCAACTTGTCAACCCCAATGAACAGGGCCAATGATTAAAAATAATAAAAAAAATAATAATGATAATAATTTATTTATACCCCAACAGAATGGCTCCCAACAGAATATTAAAAATACGATAAAACATTAAAAACTTCACTAAACTGGGTTGCCTTCAGATGTCTTCTAAAAGTCAGATAGTTGTTTATTTCGTTGACATCTGATGGGAGGGCGTTCCACAGGGCGGGTGCCACTACCGAGAAGGCCCTCTTCCTGGTTCCCTGCAACCTCACTGCTCACAGTGAGGGAACCACCAGAAGGCCCTTGGTGCTGGACCTCGGTGTCCCGGCTGAACGATGGGGGTGGAGATGCTCCTTTAGGGATGATCCAGCAACATTTGGAGAGCCACAGGTTTCTTATCCATGACCTAAACAAACTATAGTAAGTCTAGAGACAATGGATAAAACAATCACCATTAGCTGTACTGCTGGATAAGTGTTTAATGGTTATTGTATTGTTTAAACCAGGCATGGCCAGACTTGGCCCTCCAGCTGTTTTGGGACTACAATTCCCATCATCCTGACCACTGGTCCTGTTAGCTAGGGATGATGGGAGTTGTAGTCCCAAAACAGCTGGAGGGCTGTTTGGCCATGCCTGGTTTAAACCAACCAACCATAACCCCTTCTACTGTGGTCCAGAGGATTAAACAGAACTTGAATTTGGGAAATCCCGATCATGAACTTTGACTTGAGTCACTCTTAGGAGCGGTACAATCTTGTGCATGTTTACTCAGAAGTAAGTCCCACTGAGTTAAAAGAGGCTTACTCCCAGGTGAGTGATTATAGGACTGCAGCCCAAGTTCCATACATGCAAAAACTGGACGAGCAATGACCAACTTGGCAAGATGGTCGTGAGTTCAGTGAGAATAAAACACCGTAAAAAAAGACAGCAAAGTACTGTAGAAATGGCCAGGGGGGGTGGAAATCTAGCCGTTTATCACTGAACTTCTTAAAACTGAATTCAAGAGATCTCTCTGAGCAGCTGTATTATTTGGAAGCCTTGTGTTGAATTGTGCACTCTGCTGAACATGTTGTCTTTCTGAGGTCACTTTTATCACCTGCTTCTCACACTTGTCTTAAACACAATGAACTTGTTGTTTTCTCAGTTGGCAAGATATTGTTGTCGGAGCGCCGCAGTACTTTGACAGGGAAGGAGAAATTGGCGGTGCTGTGTACATTTACATTAACCAGCAAGGCAAGTGGGAAGGAGTCAAACCAGTTCGGCTCACAGGACCAGCAGACTCCATGTTTGGAATCGCAGTCGAAAATATTGGTGACATTAACCAAGATGGCTTCGAAGGTAAGCCGGAAAACGATTGGCCTGCTCTTTGATGATGATGATGAATTTCATTTCTATACCACATTATATTTTTAAGAACAATATTTCAAGGCGGTTTGCAACCTACATCAAAACATCATATAAAACAATCCAGAATATTGTTATTATTTATTAAATTTGTATACCGCCCTTCATCTGAAGATTGCAGGGTGGATCACAAGATAAAAAAGACAAAATGAGGACATAAAAGAAATAATAAAGCAAAAAACAAAACAAAACCCCAATAACCTGCTTTCTGGAGAAAGTCAAATAGAAAGTATACATTCAAAGCAACATGATTAACGGGAAACTAAATATTTCAAGATGAAATATTACAAAGGAGGTTCGACTACAAAAGCACATTTAACACAGCAAAATTAACAACAACAAAAACCACATGAACATTTCAAAGGAAAACACTACTAAAGGAAGTTGTCATCATTCATTCCATCTCTATACCGCTTTATATTTTAAAGAACACATCTCAAAGCGGTTTACAACAACATGACAACGTCAAATAAAACAATCCAGAATAAAACAAATTCAAGCTCCAAAGAAGAAAATGTTTCAGATCCTTCTCTAAGTGAACATTTTGTTTTCCCCAGTCGCCTGCCTGGCATCCAGAGATCTCCACGTGGTCGCCATTGGACCTGCACCAGCCGCAAAATGTGGCTAATTTCTGATTCTGGGGCCTGGACAAACTCCATGGGCCCTGCCTTATTTGAGCAATCCATGTAGCTTTGAAAACCTGCATGTTCAGTTTGACTGTTGTTGTCCTTCTCTCTTTTTTTTATGCAACAGATATTGCTGTAGGGGCTCCATATGACGACTCTGGCAAGGTGTATATTTATCATGGCTCCAAGGACGGGATAAACACAAAACCAGCACAGGTACTAGCTAGTCACGTTCGCTTCTCCTTCCAATGGAACTGAAATACCGTATTTTTCGCTCTATAACACGCACCCGACCATAACACGCACATAGTTTTTAGAGGAGGAAAACAAGAAAAAAAATATTCTAAACGAAACAGTGGATGTATGATTTTTGTGGTTCATGTTGTGGCCACAGACATGTGATCTGACGGTGAGTTTAGGGTAGCCCAATGCAAAAATCCTGAGGATCCATGTGGATCCATGCTTTGTAACCACGTTTTTGCACCACTGCGGCCCCAGGCAACAGTGGGTGCGTGATTTTTTTGGTGCAAGCTGTAGCCATGGACATGCTATGTGATCTGATGGTGAATTTGGGGTGACCCAGTGCAAAAATCCTGAGGATCCATGTGGATCCGTGCTTTGTAACCACGTTTTAAGTGGGGAGAGAAGGAAAAGCACTCAAGGGACAAGGAACACGCGTGGGGTGGGTGGAGAAGGATGCTGTTAATAATGCAGAAGAGGGGTATAAGAGGAGAAGCAAGCAGGCTCTGCTTCTCTCCCTCCTCCCCGGCTCGCTAAAAAACTTTGCTACTATTTAGCCAGCTGAGTGGGGAGGAGAGAGGGACAGAGAGCCTGCTAGCTCCTCTCCTCTCCCGCTTTGCTCCTTTAAAGCAAGCAGGCTCTCTGTCCCTCTCTCCTCCCCACTCAGTGGCTCTTCTCCCGCTTTGCTGTTTCAAAGCGAGCCACGGAGGAGGGAAGGAAGGGGAACCATGGATCCTCTGCTCACGACTGCACCAGATCCCCCCCGCCACCCATAGGCATTCGCTCCATAACACGCACAGACATTTCCCCTTACTTTTCTAGGAGGAAAAAAGTGAGTGTTATGGTGCAAAAAATACGGTATTCATTTGGCTTGTTTCCTAAGCTTCTCCCAGGCAGCTGCCCACTTATAGCTCTCTGCCACCTGCATCTCTCTCTCCTTTGACCTTGCACGCCACTCTCTTCTCTGCCTAATATCTTTTCATGTAAAACCCCATCTGCACTATACTTCTAAAGCAATATCATACCACTTTAAACAGTCGTGCTTTCCACCAATGCATCCTGGGAACTGTAGTTCGTTATAAAGGCATTGAGTGTTGTTAAAAGGTAAAGGGACCCCTGACCATTAGGTCCAGTCGTGACTGACTGCGGTTGTGGCGCTCATCTTGCTTTATTGGCCGAGAGAGCTGGTGTACAGCTTCCGGGTCATGTGGCCAGCATGACTAAGCCACTTCTGGCGAACCAGAGCAGTGCACGGAAACGCCGTTTACCTTCCCACAGGAGTGGTACCTATTTATCCACTTGCACTTTGATGTGCTTTCGAACTGGGATCCCTATTCCCCTAATAGAGCTTCAATTCCGGAGTTTCCTGGAAAGAGGGGTTGATTGTTAAAGCACGCTGGAAATTGTAGCTCTCTGAGTGGAACAGTTTTGTCCTACGTTTCCTCAAGCTGTTCCTCTTAAGAGACGCTGCTTGCTAAGTCTTTTGCCTTCTGTAGAAAATAAGATAAAAGCCTTTATCCTGTTGTTGCAGAATTCAGCTCTTTCTTCAGATTTGTATTATTATTATTTTTTGTATTATTATTTTTTTGCATGTGTGGAGCATGGCCTGCCTCCTAATAAATGCAGACGTGATATTCTTTTATTGTTTTAATTGCCATTGATTTTTCTGTTTTTATTTATAAGCTTTATGCAGACAAGAAATCTTGGGGGGGAAATTGACTATGTGTCCCGATGGCTTTTCAGTAGACTCTTTTAACTGCATTAATCAATAATTCTTATAATGACTTATGGTTCTGGAGATTGGTGTTGATGAGATAGCTGCTTGGCTAGTTCTTTTCAGTGGGAAGTGCTCACCTAATTTCCATTGATACCGTATTGGTCTGAATATAAGCCTCACTTTTCCCCCAAATTCCGACCGTGAAAAGTTGAAAATGCGGCTTAAATTCGCAACCTTACAAAAATGGGCTTTTATACGATATCACCGCTGAAACAGACATACGGTAAAACGGAACCAAAAAATGTTTTATTGCCGATTTGCGAGCTTGAGACTGTTCATTTGCCGTTTACGGGAGTCAGTGCCTGTGGAATTGCAGCCAACTGAATAGCAATTTGCGATTTCAGCGATTCTACGGTAACTTTTGCGGGCTTGCAAGATCAAAGGCTTAAATTGGCTCGGAGTTGCAATTCCACCAACCGCAGCGATTTTCAGCCTGTAACCCAATTTTAAGGGAGGGGCTTATATTCGGCTATTGTCTCCCCCCTGCCTTGAATTTTAAAGGTGCAGCTTATTTGTCGGTGCAGCTTATATCCGGGCCAATACGGTAGCCTATAATTCTGTGACATTTGACAGCACCCTCTTTCATAGTGTGTACCCCATTGCGGCTCCTTTCTGACTTCCTTTAGCTGTGCTCCCCTTTTTATGACCCTTTTCTATGTCTGATTTACTCTCTGCCTTTTTCCTAAGGTGACGTTCTACTAATTGCAGGGTGAATCTTTGACCTTCCAAGTTGTTTGACCCTCCAAGCCCCATCAGCCATAGCAATCCTGTTCAGTGATTAGGGACGTTGTAGTTTAGCAACATCTCAAGGGCCAAAGGTTCCCCACACCAGATGAAGCTGCTAAATGAATACATTTATTATTTAAATGTTTTTAAACCACCCTTCATCTTTAGAGACATGAGGACTTTATATAGGGGCATGAACATATCAGAATATTCCAAAAATCCAATACACTGAAAACAGCAAAGACAAGTGTATATGGATGGCAGTCAAGTAGCAAAATACAGCATAACAATTTCCATTTTTTCGCACTGTTTCAGATTCTGGATGGTGGGGCAAACGGAGTCTCGTCCTTTGGTTATTCTATCACCGGAAACATGGACCTTGACAAAAACTCCTATCCTGATATTGCTGTTGGGTCTCTTTCAGATTCTGTAGCTGTTTACAGGTGTGTAGCGCCTTCTTGATTTAACCTTAACTCTGGGGTCCTTAATGTGGCACCTGTTGCACCCTGGTTGTTCTCAGACACCTCCTTTGTCAGCCTTAAAAAATAACTGAGGGTTTGGGGCATTGTTTGTTTGGAAGGTTTCCTGCTTTCTTTGGGTTTTTTTTAAATTTGTTATGGGTTGTGCACAGGCTTTTTGTTTATTTGGAGGAGGCGGGGGAGTCTGAGCATCACCAGTTTTCTTCTGTGAAGTGGGTATTTTGTGGTGCCCTAACAGTTTTTTCCATGGGGTCACGAAGAGTTGGACTAAACAACAACAACAGTTTCTTAGATTTCCAAATGTGCCACTGAGCCCAAACATTTTTGAGGAGACTAGACTTAGCAGTTGGCCTGAGTTTCCACAATGTATTTTTCATCTTTTAAGAACGGTGAGGCCCCAAACTTTCATAAATATTAAAATGAGTGAGTCCTTGAACAAGAGCAGTCACATGGGCATAATTCTCTCAGACATAGGAATGATGATATAGTAAAGACATAGGAATGATGATATAGTAAATGTGCCTTGGACTAAACCATTTCAGACTGTTGGGGGCCTAGAATCCTCCCCCCTACAATCAATCTTTCAGTGTTCAGGGAATTGTTTTCCAGTGTGGAGGGCCAAGCCAGTCATGTGACTCTATCTGCTGCCCAGTGGTGTAGCGTGGGTTGCCAGTGCCAGGGGCTCCATGGCGGGAGGGAAACAGATGGGTGTGCATTCAACTGCCCAGTGACATCCATGTCACCCAAGAGATCACAGCCGCAGAGATAAGAAAATAAGAGCCGTTCCTTTTGTCCTGGTTCGCATGGACAAGCTGTTTTCAATGGAGCCCAGTGGCAGAAGCAAGCAGCTGTGTTGAGGCAGCAATGGGTGTTGAAATTTTGTGCCCCTAACAGTTTTGAGCATGGGGAAACCGCCCCTTTGGCCCCCATCCCACGCTACACCACCGCTGCTGCCTGAAGTAGAACAGTCCAGACACAGGAGAATGTAAGTTGCCACTGTTGTGGGAATAATTGTGCATAAAAACAGAGACAGGCGGAAAGAATGACAGACAGACTAGGACTGAGGAAGAGAAGTCAGTTTTATTCTAAATGCAGTCACCCAGCCTTTGTTTATCAGATGTGTAACATATTTTGATGAAATGTTTTACTCTAAACCCTCTTGTGCTTTCGGTGCTAACACACTGCAAAAAACTAGGCCACTCTGTCAGAGCCTCTCCCTCCTACAGCATGAAAATAGAAAGCCCAATGGGGCTTTCCCTGTTTATTAGCCTAAGAATTCCTTCCTCGAGTGCCATTCATTGAAATAACAAGTTTCTTCCCCAACCTCCTCTTCCCTCCTGACATACAAGATCGCGGCCTGTGGTGAACGTTAAGAAAACTATTAAGATAGACCCCGGCAGAATAGACCTAAAGAAAAAGAACTGTGAAGTCCCCAGTGGGATTTGGTAAGCCGTTGAACTCCTAATATTTGTTTCAATGTTTTGGCAAACGTTCATGTGTTTCATATGCACGAGAATTTCCACTATATGGTGCACCGCATGGGAGGTTACTATGCCAGCCCGCAAATACACTGTTACCTGTTAGGTTGGATTGTTGATGTTACTCCTGTATTGTTGGGTGTTAAGAGCTACAACAATGCCTCTTCTTGCCATGTTGCCTTGGTAATGTTGGAAGCAAGGGACCATTGTTCCAACCCATCCCTTTCACTTATTGAGGCAGCAGGGCCTCATGGGTCTCTTCCTCCTCGCCGTCTTTACCAATATCTACTCTCCTAGCCTGAAGGCCGCAGCTCTTAAAGATCTGGCCTGAAGAGGAATGTTGCTTTGCATTTCTGTGGCCGCTCAACAGGCACACTTCTTCCCTGTGCCGTTGGGCAAGTGTTGTAATATGGAAGGCACCCAATTCTTCTGGCCAGCCGTGCTTAGGGGACTGTGAGGGTCCTGGCTCAGCTCTGAAGGGTCCAACCCTCAAGTTCTGTGAGCTCTGAACCACCAGCCTCTGATTCTATGGGCTTTGAACCACCAGCATGGCAGTCCTGGTCTCAGCTGGCTTCTCCTCCTTGGAGCTCAAGGCTGGAGCCCTACAAACCTTTTATGGTGGAGACCACGCTGCCAGGTTTTTGAAGACCCTTGGGCAAGGTGTCCTCAGTGCGCCTGCTCCACAAGTCACCATTTTTGCTACAGTCACTATTGCCTTTTCTCTTTGGGACCAACCCCTACCGTTGCCCAGAACACCAAGCAAGCACTTATTCTCATTGTTCTTGCCCCTGATCATTAGGGTTGGGCGACATCCGGTTTTCAACATCGTGGTATCTCAGCAGCTATATACCGCAATACGGTGGTACCTCTGGTTACAAACTTAATCCGTTCTGGAGGTCTGTTTGTAACCCGAAACTGCTCATAACATGAGGCCAGCTTTTGCTAATGGCGCCTCCCGCTGTTACCGCGCTGCCGGCACGCGACTTCCGCTCACATCCCGGGGCAAAGTTTGCAACAAGGGGCATCCTGGTTAGCAGAGCTCATAACCTGCAGCGTTTGCAAGGAGGACAGTATGTAACACGAGGTTCCACTGTACGCTGGTACATCACAATGTCTGGAATGTATCGCAGCTGCGTCTTCCTATCCCCACTACCTTACGGGAAGAAGAAACAGCTGAGATACATCACCCAGCCCTACTGAGCAAGCTGGAGGGACATCAGGACTTCGTTAAACTGCTCAGGTGGGGGGCAGGAAGCGTTCTGTCTGAGCAAGTACCAGTACTTGCCAATACTGAGCAAGTACTCAGGCTCACACAAGCGGGAGGGGCGGGGGGCTTCCTTAAAGACGCAGGCAGGCAGAGCCCAAGAAGGTGCTCCCCCAGAACCTTCTTCAGCTCCGCCTGCAACTTGAGTTGGCGCAACGTATTGCCAGCTCAAATTGTCTGAAACCGGTAACGCGATCTGAACGCCATACCAGTTTCAGACGATTTATCAATATACCAACTAGGAGAAGGTCGGCTGGAGCCTGCCCTTACCTGCCCCTCACTCCGCCCCCCAGCCTGCATCCGATTGGCTAGCCGGGGAGGGGGCGGAGCGACGGTCCAGCAAACAAGGTGGGGTGTCACCCAGGCTCGGGAATTCTGGGCCGAGTCGCAAACCCCGCCCATCGCTTAGATGGATGAGTGGATGAGCTGGTAATTGCCAGCTAAAATTGTCTGAAACCGGTATTGTGATCTGAACGCCATACCGGTTTCAAACAAATAATAATAATAATAATAATAATAATAATAATAATAATAATGTATTATTTATACACCGCCCATCTGGCTGGGTTTCCCCAGCCACTCTGGGCTGCTTCCAACTGAATATTAAAACCAATACAGCATCAGACATTAAAAACTTCCCTAAACAGGGCTGCCTTCAGTTGTCTTTTAACTGGTATGGCGTATATATCGCCCAGCTCTACTGATCACTTGCTTAGAGCAGATGGGGTAGTGGCAGCGAAGAGGCAGAGGAGCAGCCAGGATTTCAAGGGGTTGGCCATAGCAGTCTCGTTCCCTTTTCCTTCTTGGGACAATGCAAATACCAGGCCTCAAGACGACAGAAGATGTGTTTATGGCACCAAGTACCTGACTATAGAGGGTGGGCACTGAAGCAATGCATTTACTCTCGAGATTCCAGCAGCTTTTGGTGAAATGTCTCCGGTGCTGAACTCTTTGAAGTTTATTTCTGTGCTCTTGAATTCTTCCAGCGTGAACATTGAAGCTTGCTTTGAGTATACAGCTAGTTCCAGTGACTTCAACCCCAAACTAAGTAAGTTGCTATGATATAACGATACTTGCATATCGTTAAGTGTAGCTCCCACAACAATTTTTCCCATTTGCAAATGTGTCCATGGACCCCAATATTTTTTTATTATTTTTACTTTTTGCAATCCCCTGTTCTGCATTGTTTTAACTTCACGTGTTCATGCAAAAATGCCTGACGCTTGACACTTGTATCCTTTCAAAGCCAGCTCAGTGGCGCATCTTGCAAGGTGACCAGGTCTTAAAACTTGTTGCCTTCCTAGGTGTGTAGGTATGTTGATATGTATAGTATAGGTAGGTATTATATAGAGTAATGTAGGTATGTTTTATGTTATGAAAATAAGGTAGTGTATTATGTATGTGTACTGTGTAAATATATACAGTATTTTTCGCTCTATAGGACGCACCAGACCATAGGAGGGGGAGAACAGGGGTGGGGATTCTCCCTCTCTCTGCTTAGCGCCCCTTCAGCGAAGCGGCAAGAGAAACGGAGCCCCTTCCATTTCTCCTCCCGTTCACTGAAGGGGCGCTGCACAGAGAGGGAAAACTGTGCAGCGTCTCTCCAGCGAAGCGAAGCCTGGAGAGCAAGAGGGATCGGTGTGCACCGACCCCTCTCGCTCTCCAGGCTTCAGGCGGCTATCCGCAAGCCTTTGGAGTGCAGCGGGAACTCCTGCTGCACTCCGAAGGCTTGCGGATAGCTGCCTGAAGTCCCCAGAGCACAGCAGGAGTTCCCTGTGCTCCGGGGGCTTCAGGCAGCCTCAGCAAAAGCAACGCGAAGCCTCTGGAGCGCAGGGGGAGCTCTCCCTCTGCGCTTCGGAGGCTTCGCATTGCTATCGCTGAAGCCAAGGAGCCTGCATTCGCTCCATAGGACGCACACACATTTCCCCTTCATTTTTGGAGGGGAAAAAGTGCATCCTATAGAGCGAAAAATACAGTATGTATGTGTTTGATATGCTTATTAAAAAAATCTAAAAAAATAAAAATAAAATAAAACTTGTTGCCTTCCAGGGCAAGGCAGGGAAAAAATGGGCTAATGTACAACATCTGTAAGATAGTATACCAGCCTTTCCCAACCTGGTGCCCCTCCCCATGTGTTATGGACTACAAATCCCATAAGCCCCCAAGGCAGGGATGGTGGGATTTGTAGTCCAGCAATATCTAGAGTGAGCTAGGTTAGGAAGGCTGAACAGCGTTGATTTCTAGCACCATTTAAACAAAGAGCAGTGAATTAAACATGGTACAACTTGTCTTCCCTTATACTATTTCTGAGGGTTCTTTTTCTTTTCACTCCAACCCCCTCCCCCCCTCCCACTTCCCAGTTCTGAACTATACAATTGAAGTAGAAAATGAGAGGAGGCGATCGGGCTGGCCGTCCAGAGTGCAGTTTTCCGATCGACTCTCTTCCAGAGGGCAGTCTCTTGAGCGACTCTCCGATCAGCTGAGTGGGAGTGTGACTCTCCAAGGGCAGAAGAAAGAAGAGTGTGTGACAAAAAAACTCGTGTTGCAGGTATGAGAAGCACAGAGGCTTCTGTGTTTAATGCTGCCCCATTCAGGTCTAGTTTCGCCAACGATACGCTTTCAGGTGAACTTGAGGTGGCCTCCAGCTTGTGGGTCACATATGAGATCCGCTGTGATTAGAAAGCTGGCTTAGGAAAACCTGTGGCCAAGTTCCTACACAGCCATAAAGCCCATTGGGCGACCTTTGGCAAGTCCGTCTCCATCAGCCTTAGCCTACTTTACGGAGTTGTTGTGAACATACAGGTGAACAACATGTATGCCAGCTATTGCGAGCTCCGTGAGTTTGCATGTTCTAATCTTTGCTCAGAATAATAATTTCATGTTTGTTTCTTTACTTCAGGCAAAAGGAGTTTGCATAATATAATAATAATAATAATAATTTATTATTTATACCCCATCTGGCTGGGTTTCCCCAGCCACTCTGGGCGGCTTCCAACAAAACACTAAAATGCAATAACCTTTTAAACATTAAAAGCTTCCCTAAACAGGGCTGCCTTCAGATGTCTTCTAAAAGTTTGGTAGTTATTTTTCTCTTTGACATCTGGTGGGAGGGCGTTCCACAGGGCGGGTGCTACTACCAAAAAGGCCCTCTGCCTGGTTCGCTGTAACTTGGCTTCTCGCAGCGAGGGAACCACCAGAAGGCCCTCGGCGCTGGACCTCAGTGTCCGGGCAGAACGATGGAGGTGGAGACACTCCTTCAGGTATACTGGACCGAGGCCGTTTAGGGCTTTAAAGGTCAGCACCAACACTTTGAATTGTGCTCGGAAACGTACTGGGAGCCAGTGTAGGTCTTTCAAGACCAGTGTTATATGATAGAAATATCAAAACATTATGCATGTATGTAAGCACCCTGGGAACAAATTCCTTGCTTGCGTCCTTTGGTGTTACAAGCAAGGAATTTGCCCACCATTTCATTTGACTTAAATGTTTTTTTTAATAGTCCACTAAAGGCCTCCATTCCGCTATAAAAAGTTCGTCATTTTGAATGCATAGTCCTTTACTTTCAAAAGCCACTCCTCCTTCATTGGAACCTCTTCTTCTTTTCATTTCTCCGCATTTAATATCCTAGCTGCTGCTGTCACATACATAAATAGTTTGGCAATGCAAGTAGTTACTTTTAGGTTAAGTATTTGTGGGATGGCCCTAGCCTGTTGAACTAATGTGCCAGTGTTGGAAACCGAGATGTTGTCACAGTGATGGAATTGTGCAGGCTAGGACCTTTGTGCAAGCTCAATGCACAGTAAGTTTGAAGCCAGGATATTTGCTGCCAAACCCAGCAGGGGGTTATTCTGTGTGCTAATAATTCAAATGTATGTATCTCTTAGGAAAATATCAAAGATAAACTGCGTCCAATTCCTATAACAGTTGGCGTCGCAATAAACGGCTCCGAGTCCAGCTCTCAGTCAAGGAGGAGACAAGGACGGTCGCTCCCAGAACTTCTTCCCATTCTAAATTCCAATGAACCAAGTACAGTTAATGCGGAAGTAAGTTTTTCCCTCCTTCCCTTTCTAATCCTGAGATCAGTTCCAGCCTGATTAGTTCATTTTGCACCATGTCTCAGAAACACATAGAAAGAAGGAAAGGTTTGTCTGAGTAACAATTCAGAAATCTGCATTTGTAACTGCCTGCATGCTTGTTGATGTGTGCTGTCTGTTAATCCAAAATTCACAGGGAGCCAAGCTGGTTATGAGCTGGTAGACAGATATACCGTATTGGCCTGAATATAAGCCGCACCCAAATATAAGCTGCATGTTTAAAATTGGAGGGGGGGAGAGAAAAAAAGAAAAAATACCCCAAAATAAGCCACTCCATTCCTCACTGCTCCTGGCTGCATGGGTGGGGGGAGAGCTGCGTTGAGGGCGGCCTTTCCCCTTCTTTGCTCTCTCGCTTCCCAGCCTTGCGGGGAGAGGACAGGGAACTGCACACGGGGCGGGCGCCACTTTGCTGCGCTCCTGGCGCTGTTTGCCCCGCGCTCCTGGCTGCATACTATAAGGTCGCAAATATAAGCCGCACTTTTCACAGTCAGAATTTGAAATAAAAGTGAGGCTTATATTCAGGCCAATACGGTATATACGCACAAGAGTAATAATAGGTACGTTGTCAGGCTTTTCAAACTCCTTGAAAGCCAATTCTGCACCTCGTAAATATTCGGGTGTAGAAATTTGGCACGGCACTATTTGGGTTGATTGAACTTAGGTGTCGTGCGGAAAAAGACCGAAAAAGTGGCTCGTGGCACAGGATTTCTATACCTCCTCTGTTTCCTATGTGGCTGTAATTCTTTAAATTCGATGCTGTGTCAAATCTAAACTTGCGTTCGTTGTAGGTGCAGTTCCTGAAAGAAGGCTGTGGAGAAGACAATATTTGCCACAGCAATTTGAAGCTTCATTACAGATTTTGCACCAAAGAAGGGAATGAAGACAGATTTTCCTATTTACCAATGTAAGTCTTTAAGGATACCAGTTTTGAAAATAAAGTCGCTTGTGTTCCTTGGAGGCTTTTCTTCCCGCCAGTCCCTAAAACCTGACTCGTTCTGTGTCCTTAGTAAGAACAACATTCCAGTGCTTGTCCTCAAAGACCAAAAAGACATTGCCCTTGAAATCACAGTGACAAACAATCCGTCGGACCCAAGAGATCCTGAGGCAGATGGCGAAGATGCCCATGAAGCTAGACTCATAGCTACCTTTCCAGATAGCTTGACTTACTCTGCTTTTAGGGAGCTGAAAGCCTTTCCGGTAAGTTCTGTTTCCATGTAAAAAAAGCATTTCAGGAAAACGCATTGTAAACTTTATCATGGGAAATCATGTTGGTGAAAGACTGGACTCCACAATGTCATGTCGTGTCGCCGTGTTATAACACACGTAAAACGCTTTTTCTTTGCTAATGTAGCTGAGTCCCAGGTGATGCGGACGTTCAAAGAACCTTTTCGTTATTTCATTTAACTCTTTGCATTGAAATATCGATCTCTTTTAACTCAGGAGAAACAACTCACCTGCGGGGCTAATCCAAACGGCTCTCAAGTAGACTGTGAACTTGGAAATCCTTTCAAGAGAAATTCTTCCGTAAGTGGTTTATTCTTATAGAGCCAATGCCTCGCGTACAGTGGTACCTTGGCTTTTTAACGTAATACGTTCTGGAAGACCATTCGACTACCGAAGCGTTCAAAAACCGGGGCACAAAGGGCTGTTGGCAAATTCAGTTGAGAAAATTGAAAAATACGCAGCAGAAGCTGTTGGACTTCCAAGGCGTGTTCGAAAATGGAAGCATTTACTTCCGGGTTTTTGGTGTTCTGGTTCCAAAATGTTCGTCAACGGAGACGTTGGAGAACCAAGGTTCCACTGTATTTTAAAACCAGTGTTTACTCAACACCTGATAACTGAAATGTGCTCCTTTTCTTCCAAGCTAAAATCACTCCCCCCAAAAAGCTACTGTATTTTTCTGTGTATAAAACGTCCCCATGTATAAGATGACCCCTATTTTTTTTAACCCAAACGTAAGAAATTAAGTTGTTTAGCTTTTTGGGGTGGGGTGGGGGAGGTCACTTCTGCCAATTGCTCACCCGCCTGCCTGCCACTGCCGGTTGCTTGCCACAGCCACTGCCGATCGCACACCTTGCCGCAGCTGCCAATCGCCTGCCCACTTGCCACAGCCAATCGCCAGCAAGCCTTGCCGCAGCCACCAGTCACCCGCCCAATCGCCGCTGCCAATCTCCTGACTGCTGCTGCCATTAATCACACGTCCCCCCTCTGCATTCACTATATAAGACGACACCCAATTTTTGCCTATCTTTTGTTAAAGCAAAAAGCATCGTCTTATACACGGAAAAATACGGTATTCATTAACCATCTAGTCAGGACAGAAACTTATAATAGCAATCAAAAGTAACGTGAAGGAGCATCTTACAGTTGATATGTCAAAGAAAAGATCGGAAACAATGAAGCACAAAATTAGGGCATTATATTTATACCATATGGGACGTGGGTGGTGCTGTGGCTTAAACCACAGAGCCTAGGACTTGCCGATCAGAAGGTTGGCGGTTCAAATCCCCGCTACGGGGTGAGCTCCTGTTGCTCGGTCCCTGCTCCTGCCAACCTAGCAGTTCAAAAGCACATCGAAGTGCAAGTAGATAAATAGGTACGGCTCCGGTGGGAAGGTAAACGGTGTTTCCATGCGCTGCTCTGGTTCGCCAGAAGCGGCTTAGTCATGCTGGCCACATGACCCGGAAGCTGCACACCGGCTCCCTCGGCCAATAAAGCAAGATGAGCGCCGCAACCCCAGAGTCAGTCACGACTGGACCTAACGGTCAGGGGTCCCTTTACCTTTATTTATACCATAGTAAACAGAGCAACCCAAACCCCGGCCAGGCATCGGGGGGCATGATGGATTGGCATAGCCATCACTGCACCTGCAGCCCTGTTAACTCATGCCAGCCAAAGTGGGAGGCAGGAGAGACCAAAGCTGCCTCTGGGGCACATAGGTCTGGAGCTGGCATGGTAATCAAGTGATGGAAGTGGGACTGGCTCCTGGGTCTGTCTCCATCCCTGGAATGCCTTGTAGGAAAAACAGGGATTCTCCACCCTTGGAGTGATGGCAGAGCTCTTCCCTCTACTCCAGTTTGGTGGCCCCTGAACACCATTTTTTAAAAAAAATATAAACATCTTTATTGAAAGTTCATAAAGTACATAATTATATGTGTACTAAACATGGTGAGACATAAATAAAAGAGAGAGAAAAGAAACAGAACCCACGTAGAAAGGAAAATAAAGGGGGGGACCCAAACTATACTATAAAGGTAAAGGAACCCCTGACCATTAGGTCCAGTCGTGGCCGACTCTGGGGTTGCGGCACTCATCTCGCTTTATTGGCCGAGGGAGCCGGCATACAGCCTCCGGGTCATATGGCCAGCATGACTAAGCCGCTTCTGGCGAACCAGAGCAGCGCACGGAAACGCCGTTTACCTTCCCGCCAGAGCGGTACCTATTTATCTACTTGCACTTTGATGTGCTTTCGAACTGCTAGGTGGGTAGGCGCAGGGACCGAGCAACGGGAGCTCACCCCATCGTGGGGTTTCGAACCGCCGACCTTCTGATCGGCAAGTCCTAGGCTCTGTGGTTTAACCCACAGCGCCACCCGCGTCCCAAACTATACTTTACAAGGTTGTTCTTGTACTTCACCAGATCTTAACCTATTACAGTATTTGTAAGAATGGATTCCAGATATCATTGAATTTGTCCAGGGCAAGTCTGCGTTCATATGCAAGTTGTTCATATGTTGTGAGTTTGTGTAAGTCTTCAATCCAATCGTAGAAGGGAGCCGCATTTTTATTTTTCCAATTATCAATATCAGTCTTTTTGCTGTGGTAAGGGCACGGAGAGTCCATTCATATTGCCCTTTCGTAAGGTTCCATGTGCTGGGTATATCATTCAAGAGGGTATTTTGCTCTGTAAATGCAAGGCTGTTCCATACAGTTCTGTTGATAGTTTCAGTTACCTTCTGCCAAAAATATTTCAGTATAGGACAATGAAAAAACATATGTGGCCTAAACACCTTGCTGAACATTTCAGTCAATTCAAGTATCTAGCCAATGACTGCCAGCCCCTTGAAACATCTATCAGAATTACCTATCTAGTACATAAAGCAAAAATTGATATGTCTCTAATATATATTAATCACTTTGCATTTATCCCATTTCTCAGGTTACATTCTACGTGATTTTAAGTACAACTAAAGTCAATGTCGATACCAAGGACTTGGACATTAATCTGAAATTGGAGACGTAAGATTTTTTATTTTTTTTTAAGTATTAGTTGTTTTTTCAAATGCTTGTAAATATTCTGAAATGGTTGTGACTTGGTTGTGAATGTGGCGTAATTATGACATGGAAATGGTTAGTGGTTTTAAAAACAAAGCAGAAAAAACAAGTGTCCTTTTGTTTCCTTTTTGTTACAGAACAAGCAATCAAGTTAATTTGGATCCAATTACCGCTAGTGCTAAAGTAGTTATTGAACTGCTTTTGTCACTCACAGGGTAAGTGTCTTATATTTAGCATAACAAATCAATGCTAGAGACAATCCTTTTGTGATGGCCATTAAAATGTGATGTTTCTTTTAACAACAGGGCGGCTAAGCCTGCCCAGGTCTACTTTGGAGGCAACGTCATCGGTGAAAGCGCTATGAAATCTGAGGAGGACATTGGCAGCTTAATAGAATATGAATTCAGAGTAAGTTTATATATATATGAAGGAATAGTTCTAGCACCTTCATTATACATCTTTAGGCGCAAAGCGAAAACGTTCCTTTTCAACCAGGCCTTTGACTTGTTGACATCTGATGTCTTTTTAAATGTGCAGATGTGTGTGTGTGTGTTATTGGTTTGTTGTTGTTCTTCCTTTTACAACGTATTTTGTTTTGTAATGTTATCAGGGCCAGATTTAGGTTTGATGAGGCCCTAAGCTACTGAAGGTCATGGGGCGCTTTATATGTCCAGCTGTCCTTTGTCAACAACAAATTGTTGCTGTTTTTGTGTGTTGAATATATGGTAATTTATGGACCTAATAGGTATCCAAAGCTATTTGGACATGTTGCCGTGCAACCAGTCCATGCAGAATGTAGGCACCCTATATATAGAAATGAGCAAACCAGTGATATTTTAGGGAGCAGGCTAGCAGGCGGGGCCTATTACTTACATCATAGGAACCCACACAACACAAAACACTGTTGCTGTATGTAGGTTTTATTTTATTTGTTTTTTATCTTATGTTTTGGAAATGTACATCCATATTTTTTCCCTTTAACTTTTTGGGAGCCTGCCAAGAGAGTGGGGCCCTAAGCTATAGCTTGTTTTGCTTATACGGAAATCCGGCCCTGAATCTTATGTTGGGAACTGCCCTGAGATTTGCAGATGAAGGGCGGTATGCAAAAAAACCACAACCAATATCGATAATGTCTTGTTGCATGAGAAAATGCATGTTTGTTTTGTTTTTAATATTCTTGACAGATAATTAACTTGGGCAAGCCGCTGAAAACATTTGGCACAGCTTCCTTGGACATCCTGTGGCCAAAAGAAATCAAGGGAGGCAAATGGCTGCTGTATTTGGTATCTATCAACTCCAAAGAGTTAGGAGAAGTCCAGTGCGAACCAAGGAATGAAATAAACCCTTTGGGAATTAAGGTAAATAAGCGTTGCCTGTCCGAACATTGCAGGGATTTATTGCAGCTCTTTGGCAACTGGAAGAAGGCTGTATGTTGTTGTCTTTGCAAGAGTGCCTGAGAAAAAGTGCATATAGGAAACTGGGTGGTGATGCTGCTGCTGTATATACTTTTGACAAACCTGCAGAATTCAGTTCTCCTTCATAAATCCTGCTCCAGCTACTCAGTTGTGTTAAACTTTTAAATCTTCTGTAGCAGGGGTGGCCAACTCCCAAGAGACTGCGATCTACTTACAGAGTTAAAAATGAGCAGTGATCTACCCCATTTTGGGGGGTTCAGGTCATAGTTGCTGAGCTTTTTTTAGGGGAGCTAAAGTTGTTTAGTTTCTTTGTGGGGAGTCTGTGATCTACCACAGACGTCCCGTGATCTACCGGTAGATCACGAATCTACCTGTTGGACGTGTCTGTTCTATAGCACACTTCTTTAAAAAAAGACCCGACTGCATTTATATCCCTGTTCATTTTTATAGATGTCTCGAAGTTCAAGGACAAAACGTCAAGTCGCAGAGAAACAGACAGAGGGTGGCAAAAGCTTTTCTTTGTTTTCAGAAAGAAAATATAAGACTTTGGTAAGCATTTGCCTTAACCTGTTACCAGCTGCTTTGTATGCCTCTCTCTCCCTTTATTTTCCAAATTAGTCCCTTTATTTTCCAAATTAGTCATCAAGTATTTATGCAGGGAGATATTAGGCATAAAGATTTTGAATTCCTGTTGAATAATTTTATTGAGTTACATGTAACACGTATTTTAAAAATAACTGTTGTTTTGAAATTTAAAGGATTACAGTCGCTTGTCACCTTAAAGATGACCACTTTTATCTGGACATAAATGTTTGCAGATTAGAGGCCAATTTATTAGTGGGCACTAGTCTGTGACAGTTTACGTCCTAATAAAATGATCCACAAAGTAACTGGCTGTGTTTAACTATATAAATTCTTTATACATCATATAAACATAACTCTTTTCACATTATCTAACCGAGTAGAAGCAATAAGGACCAACATTTAGAACAGGAAATACAAATAGATCAGTTCTTATATACGTAATGTCCAAATAGAAGCTTTTGTGTTCCACGTATGTACGAATGAATCAGATGTGAACCATACTTTCCAAAGGCAGATGTGGAACATTACAAAGAAAAGTTCGTCTTTTGCAAGTACTGCTCCTTAAAGTTGTTACGTTTGACACTTGTATTCGCTAAGACATGCGTGGAACACAAAAGCTTCTATTTGGACATTACGTATATAAGAACTGATCTATTTGTATTTCCTGTTCTAAAAGCTTTCATTGTTCCTTTTGGCTGCAAAACAGCACATTTGGCAGAAACATTGGGTATTCACCTTAAAAGTATGCACTTAAAAAAAAGTTTTGCGTATTTAATGCAGGAATGTAACAAGGAGGCAAACTGTGTCACCATAAGATGCCCACTACAAGGACTGGACAGCAAAGCATCTGTTGTGTTGCGTTCAAGACTATGGAATAGCACTTTTCTAGAGGTATGCTCTGTTAACTTGTCTTAGATAGATTCCGTGTTCAGGGAAGTTTTTAATGTGTGACATTTTAATGTATTTCTAATCTTCATTGGAAGCCGCCCAGAGTGGCTGGGGAAACCCATCCAGATGGACGGGGTACAAATAATATATTGTTATTGTTATTATTATTATTTGGACCACCTCTTTTTATTTTACCTAATGCAAATCTTTCTTTCTTTCTTTCTTTCTTTCTTTCTTTCTTTCTTTCTTTCTTTCCTACCCCGCTTTACCAGGAGTACTCTAAAATGAGCTACCTAGACATTGTCCTCAGAGCAACCATCAGCATAGCTGCGGCAGATAACATTAAGCTGGCAAACGAAGCTACTGATGTGAGTCTGTGACATTTCTTTTGACGATGGAGGCCATACGTTTTCGTAGGCAGGGAGGGAACTGTTCCTTCGGGCACGAGGCACGCAGCATGTTCAACAGGGAATATACATCAGTAAGGAATCCTCTTTCAGCCTGAGGGCGGAATTCCCTTCTGGCTGATTTCCCAGGGGCCACATATCCATGGTGGGTGGGGCCAGGGCAAAAGTGGATGGAACCACAACTGTAAATCTCAACTTTTTACAGTGGGCTGATTTCTGCACACACGCCTTGGACCATCTGACCATCTGGGTCCCTTCTAACTCTACAGTTCAGTGAGTCTGTCCAACTCGGCCCAGGCAAGCAGGAAGCACTGTTGGTAGTGCGAGGATACAATCCAGCCTGGCAAAAACACCTGAGGAGGCTGCATAGCAGGGGGAGTGAGAAGGGTGTAGCCTGGAGAGAGGGGGTGTGGATGGGGAAAGCCAGATAGAGCTGCTTTCCCCCCCAAATAATATTTATTATTTTCAGTAAATAAACATAGTAAAGAAAGAAAGGATTAACAATAATAAAGACAAGCAAAAAAGAAAAGAAAAAGAAAAAAGATACATACAACATATTACCAATTAATTAATTAAAATTAAGTACCATCCATCTTCATAAACATAGTATTTGACTTCCTCGAATCTCTTCCATCCGAATTTCTGAGTAATTATATGTAGCAGTTTCCAATATCAATGTTTCAAAAGACCATATCACAGTCTTAATCATATTACATAGCTTTCCTTATTGTACATTTTCTTATTTATAAATTTAATTCCATTTTAACCCTGGCCTAATTGTTTCTTTCAAGTGATTACATATCTTTAATATTACAATATTTATTCAAGTAGTCTTTAAATTTCTTGATAGATCTGCTTTTCAGGGCTGCATTTGCCCCCACCCCACCGAACCTAAGGTTTTCCACTTTGTTATTGACCACGGCTTCCCAAACTCGGGTCTCCAGCCGTTGTGCGGACTACAATTCCCATCACCCCTAGCTAGCAGGATGCAGTGGTCAGGGATGTTGGGAACTGTAGTCCAAAAACAGCTGGAGACCCAAGTTTGGGAAACCCTATTGCAGACGATACTGAGCTAGGCAGCCCAATGGACCTGCTTGGGTATAAGATAGCCTTCCTACGTTCCTACTTTTAGTTGCTAGTAATAAAACATCTGAAAAACGGTTTAATACTGTCCACTATGATTCCATTGCTCAAAAGGATGCAGATTTTTGAAGTTCAACACATTGTGCCCTGCTATCTTCTCCACTGACATTTATGTATTTTCCCGATCTGTAGGTGCGAGTGACTGTCTTCCCTGCAAAGACGGTAGCTCTGTATAAAGGGGTTCCTTGGTGGATCATCTTAGTAGCTATTCTCGCAGGCTTGTTAATGCTTGCTCTGTTGGTATTCTTGCTATGGAAGGTGAGTTGTTTTACTAATATGCTATTTTAATATGTGCTCCACACATCATGGGGGTTGTTGTTGTTTTTACAGATGGAAAGATACCACCATCCACTTAGTATAGGGAAATGTCTTTCCTTTGGTTGAGATGTTAAGTGAAACAACTTGCCTAAACAAGCAAGTAGTAGGGGGTAAAAAACCAGTTTTGATCTTATAATTATTTGTGCTGAAAAATACCTGGTGATAATTTTAAACTCATGTGCATTTTGTTTTTTGTAGGCTAGCATTTATCTTCATAAGATGTCAAAATAGTATTTAGAACATGAAAATTAATTTTGAGACTGTTATTAAATGGGGAATCAATTCCTAATTTTAAAATCAATATGCATAGACATGACTCAATCTCATTAGGATTGAATGTTGGCACTGAGGCTATTTTTTTTAATAAAGGACAGAATTCTGAAATCAACCAAGATCATAAAGGACACCACATGTAACGCTAAGCCAAACCATAGCTTAGCACGACCAATCAAATGTCCAGATTCCTGGAAAGAATATCATGACTGCTGTGTTCCTCTAATACTGCTTCTGCTGCACTGCTGTGAGATAAGCTATGGTTTGGCTTAGTGTTACATCTAAATCAGACCTGCGGTTTATCGCCCCCAAACCACAAGTAGCAAGCCATAGAATAAACCTTGACTACTGTTCATGGTTTATCTGCAGCATGATAAATCTTGAGTCTAGATTTGGATGCAACCAAGCCACACCATGGCTTATTTCACCGCAGCATAGTAGAAACAGAACTGGAGGAAGAACAAAGCAGCCACAATCTTCTTCCCAAGAAACCCACAAATTTTCCTCATTCGTGCCAAGCTATGGTTTGGTTTAGCTTTTTTCTGTATGAACTGGGCCAGTCTCTTTCATGATCTCGGTTCGCTTCAGAATCCTGTCCTTTGTAGATATGTAAAAATAGCCTAGCATTATGTGTGAACCAGGTCACCATCTTGAGATGTTTTTCACATATCTACATCTAAACACGCTCTGTGTGTGTATGTATACATGAATGTGCTGCCCCTTGCATCAAAGGATAATTGATAAGGATTTCAGCTCACTACCTAATGGACCCAATCATTCTCTGTGTGAAGCGTGTTGCCCAGGTGTATGGGGATTCCCATAGGACTCAATATGCCACCCTTTCCACTACCTCAGTGTGCAGGATGATGCCGTGTGCCAAAAACCTTACAGGAAATGGGAGGTTCATGAACACCTCCCACAGTTCTTCCTCTCAGTGCTGTTCAGATTAGTTGAGGTCAAGGTGTTGAGTTGCCCACACAAAAAATGGGACACAGAAATTCCATCAGAAACCTTTTTATACATAGGCCAAAAAAAGGGGTCTTCACAGTCACTCCCTCTTTAAAACACCCGTTTGATTTCTCAGAAAAGTGAATCAGGTTTTGTTTTCTGCTAGAGAAAACAAACATTATGTGATTTCAACAGTGCCAGCCTCATACACGGAGCATTTGTATCCGGTTCCCCGTATTTTTTAAAATTAATGTTTGCCAGCCTGCTGATAATGTATAATGTATATAACTGAAGGGTGAAAACAGCAAGTGACAAAGCCAGCCATGGAAAAGTCCTACTGCAAGCAAGTCAGCTTCAAAGGTTATTGTAGAACTGTGACATAATTGGATGGATATTCTACCATGCACATACATCTGGTTCACCTTTTTTTTCTTTTTTTCTTTTCACATTAGTCCGTAACATTGACTAAATGCCTTGCTTCCTTATAGTGTGGTTTCTTCAAGAGAGATAAGAAAGATCATTATGATGCCAAATATCACAAGGCTGAAATCCATGCTCAGCCATCTGATAAAGAGAGGCTTACTTCTGATGCATAGTATTGATCAACTTCTGTAATTGGTAATTGATCAGTTTTTTTTGAATTTGTTAGCTGCTGCGGGACATGCTTTTTGGTTGTGGTGGCTAATGACTGGAAGCTTGCTGCATCTGTTTCCATTAATTGCTGCGTTTTCAAAATATCAATTTGCGCTTGCTTATGTCGTTTATAACCGTCTCTCCCTCTCTCAATGCACGAAGACGCAAATCCTTTCGTCAATTATTTTTAACAGCTGTTTACTTGTGCGTTCTTCCTTGAAATTCTGAAGGCTTTCTGCCTAAGGATGGCAATCCAGCTTCTCAACATGTAGGCTCATGATCCAGGTGACAGATTGTGCCCATGGAGCTATGTTATTCTGCTGTGGAAAAAAAGGAAATGTTCTAAGGAGTCCCCGGGCTCCGTTCTTCATTGAGAAGATGGGTTCTATCAGGAGCAAACTAGACATGACATTAAATGCATCTGCACGCTTCAATATGCAGATTGTAAAAAAATGGAAATAGAATCATCTGGAAAGAAGAGGGGATGATAGATAGATAATTTATTACGGTCAAAGACCAGGCCGCATAACACAGTAAAAACAGCGTTCATAAAGATAAAATATTCAATCAAAGCAGATTGCAGCAATAGCTCATGAGTTAAAACTGAGATATATACATACACCCGTACAACTGAGATTTGGGCTACCATAAAAATTGACCCTGAGGCACCCCAAAGGGCGACTTCAGCATTTCCCTAGTAAGCTATTTTATTCTAGAGGATGATCTGTGCCTACAAATCTGGGCGCAGAATCTGGCTACCAGCCAGGTCGTCTTGTGATCTTTGCCTAGATCGGTGAGCCTCTTCAGCAAAGGATCAATGGTGTCTCTACGAATCTCAACATAAAAAGGACACCTAAAAAATATATGTTCGGGGCTTCCTATTTCCCCTAATGGAGAGGGGATGATAATTGTCAGGATCCCTCCGTTCTCCGAAGTTGCTGTTCACCTTGGGAGGAAATCCCTCGCTGTGATTCCTGCACCCACCCTGGCCAAAGCAAATGTGAGCTCCAGAAGAGGGATTTTCCACAGCAAAGGAGGAATTAGTTAAATTACCCCTCCCCACATGCTGCAATCCCAATAATGATCAGTCCTAGCCCTATGGCTGATGCTATATAATTTTTAATACCTTCACATTAAACTAAATGCAAAAGCTGAATGTCCTATATAGTTTGGCCCAGTGGCAAGCTTTCCCGAAGGCCACCTTGCCCAACTGCAACGGATCTTTCCCTGCAATATGCAATAGAGGGTTGGATGTGCCCTAGATTGAACTCTGGATTCACATGGACCTATGAGGATTTGACATCCTGCCCCATGTTAATGCGTGTGGATCCTAGGACATGTCTGAGAATCCTCTGCAAGGTGCTGGGATTCTGTAGCTGCCTTAGAGGTAAACTGCTGTGGGAAGGGAAATTGTGGAGCCAAGCTGCCATTCATTGGCAAGCAACAAGGAGCTAGGTAACTCCAGCTCGCTCACCTAGATCTAGGAGCATTTTCAGATGTGAGGCTTGGACAACAGCCTTGGAACCTCCTGTTCTGTTTTGTTCGAATGTGAGTTGATAGCATGAAAGAGAAAGCAGGAGAGACCTGAATAGAAATGAGCACCCGTCCCAACTTTAGGTTTCCCACTGAAATGTGAAGCAAGAAGCTCTAAGCTTGTGTGGGGGGAAAAATGGTTTTCTTGCACCGACTGTGGTGCAAGTTTTCATGTAGGTAGTTAATGAAACTATTAGAGGTGGTTCATTTAAACCTGCCTGTGGGTTCTTTCAACATTAAAAACAATCGTCACTATGGCATTAGCATTTTAAGGTTTTACTTTCCCAATCCATCACATAGTTAAAGCTGCAATCCTGTACCCATTTACCTAGGAGAATGCTCTGCTGAACTGAGTAGACATGTATACGATTGCGGTGTGTGTGCGTGCGTGCGCGCACGCATGTGCATCTGGACTGTGGGCTGTGATTGCAGTCCACAACAATTAAATCAATGTGAGATTTGACATAGGCTTCAATATAGCACGAGCCATACCATATATAGATTGTAGGATTCTACATATGTTTTGCTCCTGCGCTCAGAAGTTCAATAGCTCTATTAACCACTAACGCATGCCGAAAGCCTTTATTGCTGGTACTGCTTTTTCTCGTAAAGGGCTGTTCTCAATTTGTCAATTTCTGTGGGAAGTTTATGGTAAATTTTGAACTTCTGTTTTCTATCCTTAAATATGCATTTCTCCTCTGAAGCTTGCCTTCTGCATGATGCCGTGTGCTGCTGCGAAACCTGAAGTCATATTTAAGTGAATATTATATTCTGCTTGCTGGATTGCCGGGACAACCACTTTGATCTTTAATGAGCAAAAGCATTACCTCTAAAAGAAGCTGAAATGAGTCATTTGTCAGACAAAACAAGCATTTATCTTAGGTTCTGAGTCTGTTGAACAATCTCAAGACTCAGGCACTGAGGTGAGGGGTGGATCCAGAGGCCTATGAGCTCCAAATAATAATAATAATAATAATAATAATAATAATAATAATAATAATAAATTATTTATATCCCGCCCTCCCCAGCCGAACCCGGGCTCAGAGCGGCTAACAACAATAAAATAATACAGTAATCTGGTGCCCAGTTACCATGAGTGAAAAATCGGAGGCAAGATAATGCCTGCGGATGTTTGTGCTAATTCCCTGTATCCATTGGTGGTCTTCAGATCTCGTGAGATTTGCAGAAACCAATCAGAAGCACCATTAAGCAGAACATTCAACATGCTGAACAGTGAGATCCCCAGCCAAGCTCAGCTTGAGAGACTAGAGAAAAAGGCCCTTCCTGCGTGGCATGCACTCTCAAGACCTACAGGTCCCAAAGTTCTTGCAGGCATTCCTCATACGTAGGCGGGAGGAACCAGCAGGGCCTGTCCTTAGAAAAACGGGACATCTCAAGGACATTGAGATCCCAGGGAAACTGGTGATGAGATTTACAGGCCCATGGAAGTAAACGAGTTAGGCTTCTGGCCTCCAGAGTGCATACCCTGTTTCCCTGAAAATAAGACCGTGTCTTATATTAATTTTTGCTCCCAAAGATGTGCTAGGTCTTATTTTCAGGGGATGTCTTATTTTTCCATGAAGAAGAATACGGTACACGTTGAACCAAAAAAAAAAGGAAATTTATTACCTGTACAGTGGTACCTCGGGTTAAGAACTTAATTCATTCCAGAGGTCCGTTCTTAACCTGAAACTGTTCTTAACCTGAAGCACCACTTTAGCTAATAGGGCCTCCCGCTGCCGCCGCACTGCCGGAGCACGATTTCTGTTCTCATCCTGAAGCGAAGTTCTTAACCTGAGGTACTATTTCTGGGTTAGCGGAGTCTGTAACCTGAAGCGTATGTAACCCGAGGTATCACTGTATACGGTACAACGCCTTATGGTAGCTTCGGGGGCCTTATATTTCGGGGTGGCCTCATATTACAGCGAGAAGCAAAACTGGAAGTAGGTCTTATTTTCGGGCGATGTCTTACTTTCAAGGAAACAGTAGAATAAGCAAGGCTACCCCCCCTCCCTGCAGTGATGGAAAACAGTGCCTACAGGGCATTTCTCTCTTGTGTATTATTAATTATTTGTCTCTTGTGTATTATCAACGCATGCCCTACTGCCGTGTCTGGCGGCTGCAAGTAGAAATCGGGCAGTTGGGGGCGAGAGTCAGCATTCATACCAAGCTAGGAGGGAAGACACTGGGAAGTAGCAAGACTGAACAGCCTCACTCTTCCACCGAGTAGGATGTGGCTTTGAGGCAGTCAAGTGGTGAGAGGGGTGCTTTCCACTTCTGGTTGCCCCCAGCCTTCTGTGAAGTGAGAAGGCCGATCACTCCCTCCCTCCCAAAGTTCTTTAGAAAAGTGGGGAGCCTTGCACAAGAGACGTTTTCACTGCTGGATGCCTTTCGACCTGGTCTTCATCCCCTTACTTCATCCCTTGTGAACCCTCAGTTTGTGCTAGAGCAGGCATAGGCAAACTCGGCCCTCCAGATGTTTTGGGACTACAACTCCCATCATCCCTAGCTAACAGGACCAGTGGTCAAGGATGATGGGAGGTGTAGTCCCAAAACATCTGGAGTGCCGAGTTTGCCTGTGCTAGAGAGTTGGGTTTTTGTTTTTTTGGAGGGGGGGAAGAGTTAGTTTTCTGCCTTTCTATCCAAACTGGCACAAAGTGAGGTGCCAATTCCCCATTCTGCCCGCCTCACCCCCAAGTTCTGATATGCAGAACTTGAAATCAATATTTGGCTCTGTTTGTCGCTTAAGAAATTCCTCACCACCACCAGAGACCATATTTGTGAGACCTTGGCTCTACAGGGAACTGTTTTCATAGTTTACTAATATAGGATTATTAATCCAGAAACCACAAACTTACCTTTTATCTTGACAACATACAGAGTATAACTATGTTGGCTCAACTTTTTTCTTTTCTTAAAAAAAGTCTTATTTTTATAAGGTAGATTTGAGATTAATGGAAGTGATTTCTATCTCCCTGCTTGGATTGCGCTCTTTGCCGACTCCTGCTGCTGCTGCTGTATTTGGGGGGCTGCATTTTGCCTGTTCTCTTTAAAGGAAGGCTTGTCTGTGTTCTGCTGGCGCAAGGACGTAACCGCACATTTAACTCCTATCTTGGATTTCCTTCCCCTACAGTGTGGGTTCTTCCAGCGTTCCAGGTACGATGACAGCGTCCCACGCTACCACGCTGTAAGAATTCGGAAAGAGGAGAGGCAGATCAAAGAAGGAAAAACTAAAGAGAATTATGCAAAAAAACAGTGGATCACGAAATGGGATGAAAACGAAAGTTATTCCTAGGGATCACCCCTGAACTGAAGGCTCATTTAAAAAAAAAAAAGTGTATTTGATTCACATGATGGAAGGATGGAAGTCCTATGTAGAGAAACAGCTGCCTTAAAAAAAATATTGTTACTTCTATACGAAAGCATTTTTTTGTTTTACAGACCTAACTTTGAAGACTGCTTAAACCAATCTACATGCCTTATCTAAAATGTCCAATGTTCAAAAGCCATTTCAGTTTTAATCGAAATTATCAGGCAGGAAAGGAAGAGGGGAGAGAGTCTGTAGAGGGAAAATAATCTCAGGCTGCTCTGCCTCTGTCTGGAACGGTTGAGCCAATTGTGTGGGAGAGGCGATTGTCCAAGAGCTAAATAGAAATGAAGTAACCTGAGATATGTGGCTTATTAGAACTCTCCTGCGAGAATTTGAAGTGTGCATTAGTTCGAACTGCATGTTCGGTCCTGTCTCAACCTGGCTAACCTTCTTGCCCTGTTTTTCTTGCATACCTGAGCAGCTAACCTATGAAAGATACTATGATCATTTCCCTAAACATGGGTGCTCTTTAACATTTCAGTTCATTGGTCTTTTGTTATTTAAATCTGTGTCTCGGTGGAAGGGGATATTGCCTTGCATGGAATGCAACATCACTTTTTTTGTGAGGAGAGTCCAGCCACACAACACTACACAGACACATATACGGTATGAGACTTGAGTGTGACAGAGAGGCATTGCCTACCTCTCCCATTTGTGGTTGCAACTTCCCAGTGGTAGCAAGCCAAGCATTAACTTTGGAACATGCTTTATATTTCCTGGTTTTTAGGGGCATCCCAGCCCCCCAAAAAACCTGGAAGATACTCTCCCTTACTCTCATGCATATGGAATCTGGTTGTAAGTATTCACTTGCGAGAGGCACTCTGCAAATGGTCGCAAGTTTATTCCTTCCCATTTCTAGGATTAAGCCATGGCACTGAAAATAGGTTGTAAACTTTGATGGGAGTCTTTCATTTTGGGGGGAATGTATGGCTTGGATTTTCAAAGGCTTTTTTGTTTTTTGTTTTGCAACAGAAGCAAACGCTTCCCAACATTTTGTCAAGCTTTCATACATTTGGTTGGTTGTTGGGTTTATTTGTTTTTTGTTTCTGCCAATACATGTGTATGTGTTCTTGTAAAAAAAGAAGAAGTAGGCATTCAAGAACCGATGCAAATTGGTGTGGCTAAATTTCTAAAGGAGAGGTGAAGATTAACTTTGTCTGGAAGTCATATTCATGCAAAAGCCATTCCTTCTGTCTGTGAATATATGGAGAATAGGGGATGTTTCTCAGTAGTGAGAGCATGGCGCTTTGCATGTGTTTAAATAGGGTTGCCACATTACCCCAAGCTGGTTTTTTTTAAGCGTTTCTTAAAAAACGCTTTTCCCCCGATTCATTTTGCCACTTAAGGAAAAATCCACCCTGACTCCATTTTGCAACCCAATTCCCGCATGTGTCCATGGAAAACCCGGACATATGGCAGCCCTAATTTAAAGGCACTCCATCCTTTAACTACTGTACTGATCCTACTGTGGCAAAGGGAGGGGAGTTTTAAAATTACTGCCCTGCCACCCGAAAAATCACCACCCACCAACATGCATAGCGGCATTGACATGTGTACGTCAGGTAATTTTGAAATCTCCAACAGTGCAATCGTATACACGTCTACTCAGGAGCAGGTCCTGTTGAGTTCCATGGGTCTTACTCCTAAATAAGCATCTATACGATTGCACCCTAAATCTGCTAATTCCTTATCCTAACTCTTGTGCGCAGCCATGGTAGCCAGCATTATCTTAAAATGTGCAATAGGCCATCTTTCAATCATGCTTTTTAAAGATCAGTTTGTGTGCCCCTGTTGCTCACACCAAATATACACAGGTTTGTTTTTCAAAGCTTGAATATTGGTTGTACTTTTTGTATATACTGTAAGTCATTCCTATATATTTATTTTTACCATAAATCTTTGTCTTTGACTAACTGTTAAGCCAAAGATTCTTTTTTTAATGAACTTTAAATATAGTGAGCAATAGTGTGTAAGAGTTCAGGGTTTAAGACATTTTCCACCAGATGTGCCAATTCTTAAACCTTTGGATACCAACGACTAAAACATTCTTGTAAAATCCTTCTTTATACATATTTCTGATTGTGTAATAGAGGAAGTATTGTATCTTCTGAATAATTTGTGCACTAATGCATACCTGCAGATGTTTTATCTATAGAAGTTTTATATGACTAACTTATGTGGCAAGTGTTCCATGGGTGGGTGGGGGGACACGAGGGGGGAGGTTTTCTAGCTCTGTATTTCTGTATTTGCAACAAGATCAACTACTGCAAATGTTATCGCACTTGAAACAAAGGATAAGCTACGAATAAATTTAACTATGGATCTTCACCGGTCCAATTTAAGACTACTGACTAAATGTCCTAAATACCTAAATTTTGATTTTAAGAATAGTTCCATACAGTTTGATACTTGTGATTGTAACCAAGGTATTTGCTGTTGTTGTTTTTAAGCTACATCTCTATATATTACAAAAGCCCTCATTGGTACTGATTAAGCAAGGATCATAAATGTGCTGTAACATTTACTATATATGAAATATCAACAGAAGCTTTAGTATGTGCAGATAGTTTGAGATTGGGTGAAAACTATGCAAACCTTTAAATATCTATCGTCAGGAACCAGACTCTATATGCCTTACAGTTACACTACAAAAAAATAAAATAAAAATAAAGCGCTAGCTGCTGGTGATTATTGTCCTTTCCAAGGCTGTCAAGTTCAACTTCTTTCATTCCACCTTGATCTGGGATCACTCAGTCAGTCGAGCATGAAACCCTTAATCTCTAGAGTCGTGGGTTCGAGACCATGTTGGGCAAAAGATTCCAGTGTTAAGAGCAGTAGACTCGTAATTTGGTGAATCGGGTTCGCTTCCCCACTCCTCCACATGCAACTGCTGGGTGACCTTGGGCTAGTCACACTTCTCTGAAGTCTCTCAGCCTCACTCACCTCACAGAGTGTTTGCTGTGGGGGAGGAAGGGAAAAGGAGAATGTTCGCCACTTTGAGACTCCTTCGGGTAGTGATAAAGCAGGATATCAAATCCAAACTCTTCTTCTTCCTGCACCGTTGCAGGGAGTTGGGCAAAATGCATCTATTTTCCAACTCAAGGCTTCATAGAATCAGTCTTCGGACAAACCAAAAAAAAGAAATAAAACTCTGACCACACAGTTTATATAAAAAAGTATTTTTTTCCAAAAAGCCTTTAAAAAAAATTAAATATTTAAACTTATTATTGCCAAATATTTACCAACTCTGGTGCCTCGCAACGTATTCCACCAAATACTGCTGCTTTGTCTCAGCTAAACAGGGTCTCTTACAAGAGCCTCATAGCAGCACTTCTTAAATCATTATTGTTCAGGATCCCACAGCTATGGGCTTTGAAACTTGAAAAGGCAGAACTTTAAAACACTACTGCATCTTCTCATTAAAAAAAAAAAAAATTAATTCTGGTGCCTTGTCAAAAAAGGGGGGCAAATCCATAGGCAATGCTAAATTAGGGCTGGTCTTTATTATAAAGTGTCATCTCAAGTCACGTCACTGGTATATATATTCATTTTATACATTGTCGCTAACATCAAATGTTAAATCACGGCTAAAAATCACCTGTGGATATTTGTATAAAAAGTGTGAAATAAATTTTGTATGAAAAGCTCTTTCTGTGATGGTGTATTGTATACAACTTATACATTTTTTATTTCTGCAAACATGTAACCCATATTAAGTCTGGTTAGGGCCACTCCATACAGTATACAGCAGAAAACACAAAATCAAAACAGCTAAATTAAAAAAAAAAACAAAACACTTGAGATTCAAATTATAAAATGCTTGGCATAGCAAAAGCTATACTGTTCTCTAACCAGGGTATTTATGATTGTAGAGGCAAATCAGGAAAACCTATTAGTTTCAGACTCGGATTTAAACCGATTCCACCACTAAAACAATCTAAAGGTAATTCCTCCAATGGAGGATGAGATTCAGGAATCCTTACTATACTATAGAAAACTATACCTTTCCTGTATTAAATATAATTAAATTCATAGATTATATAATTTAGGCTGCAATCCTGTTCACACTTACTTGGGAGTAAGTCCCATTGAACATACTTGCTCTTGAGTAACAATGAACAGGATTTTCACTGTCAGCAACTCTTAACAAAACATACAGAATTGTCACAAAAAAAAGGATGTTGGACGCATGAGTTACTATGTTACACAACGTGCTATACAATCAAAAGAGAATAAGGGGCCAGGCCAAGACAATTACACCAACAAATTTTCTAAAGTGTTTAAAGTACAGTTTATTCCTAGATTAACTTTTATAATTTTCATGTTGTATAGAAAGAAGGACATTTCCAGTATGCGCAGGGAAATATCACAAATTATTCTATGACCCTGGAAAGAAATGATAAGTGGGGATGCTCAGTGTTGAATGTGGACCACAAAATTCTACCCTCAGTATTAGCAGAACGATTGAAACCATGGACTTTTTTACGCACAAAGATCAGTTAAATGTTTAAAACAACCATCAGCTGAGAGAAAATGAGGGAAATTAGTGTTGTTTCTTTGGCTGATCGACAGTAGGCTGTTGATGCAGAAAAGGCTTTTAATACAGCAGAGAGGCATTTTTATGAGGGAAGCTTTTGAGGGAATACTGCGTGGGACCAGTTCTGAGAGCCTGGGTAGATTACATAGGGCCACTTTGCTTAGGATTCTGAAAAATGCTAAATTTCACAACTCGGGGGAGGGGAGGGAGGTAAGGTAAGGTTATTGCCCATTTTCTCATTGGAAGGAAGTCCTAGCCAATTTAGCCTCAGCCTAAATAATGCAATTGCCAAAAAAAATTGCCAAAAATTTCTGTGAAATCAAACGCTTTGGGAAAAGATAGAACGAATAATTCAGGGAATTATTTGTGACTACTTTACCAGAATCAACAAGCTTGATTATTAAATATTTTCAGGAATGCAGCAAATGAGGACAATAAGGGGTTGGAGGGCAGGAACAAATCTTTGCAAAAAATACTTGAGTTTTTTTGGAAATTGTTGCTGGGGGAGGGGGGAGCCTGGTCATGTCAGAATTGACACAAATTTAAAAGTGCAGGCAAGTCATGGAGTTCTGAAGGGATTAAAAAAAACCCCATGTATTTTGGAATTATAAATATCCTCAGGAACATGACTGACTGGAAATCCTGCCAGTGTTGGCTGATTATTTCCAAAAGCCCTTGTTTATACTTACGATCTATTCATTTATAATTTGCAGGGATTTCCTGTATTTAGAACTCGGTCATTTCAATTCAACTTTTAAACATTGCTTTTGTATGTTCTTTTGTACATTTCTGTTTTCTTACAAGTAAAATATTTTTTTTAAGTCCTGCTTAAAAAATAAAAAGGAACCTCCTTACACAGTTTCAATGGAACATTTTTTTTTATTGGTAAAGACAGGCATGGCTAGGCTGTTAGACACGCCGCTATTAAGGGCCCCTCATTTTCAAACAATTGTGTTTAGGATTACGAAACTTAATCCTATACATGTACATGTGAAAAAAGACTGTAGTTTCACTAATGGCAGATCAGGTCCCATGTTGTCATTATACCATTGCATTTGGGAGTTCCAGCCGGTTACGCAGCTATGCATAATATACTTATTAAATTAGCATGAATAAAAAAACAAACAGATTTTACATGTCCACAATACAGTGGTACCTCGGGTTAAGTACTTAATGCGTTCTGGAGGTCCGTTCTTAACCTGAAACTGTTCTTAACCTGAAGCACCACTTTAGCTAATGGGGCCGCTGCGCCGCCAGAGCACGATTTCTGTTCTCATCCTGAAGCAAAGTTCTTAACCCGAGCTACTATTTCTGGGTTAGCGGAATCTGTAACCTGAAGCGTATGTAACCCGAGGTATCACTGTATAGGAAGCAATTCTGTCACGCTGATTCTACATTTGACAGTTCAGGCAGGTCTCTTCAGCAACCAATAAATGGAAGTGGTGTTTGAGAATCAGCAGCCATTACCAAAGGGAGGAACCAACACACAAATTCATGAAAATGGTAGTTATGCAGTAAGGTGTGAGTCTACTGCACTGCAGAAAACGAAGGCCTTTTCACAGAATGTGTATGTATTGGCTATGTAGTACTCAGTGTAAAGGATGGGGGGGGGGAAGTACTCAGTAAAACATGCATTATGCTTACTAATAACTAAGATACTGACCAGGTTGGGAAAGTAATCAAAAAAGCAGACTTCAATGGAATAAACTATCACGAAAGAACAGTACCTACTACTCAAAATTAATCTTACAATACAATCCTACTCTGCTGAGAAGCGATGTCTAGTGAGAAGTAAATCCAACTGGACTTGCTCTCCGATGTGTATAGGGTTGCATCTTTAATAATGTGCTATAGATTCCAATTCGAACTGCTGCAACGGGGTGAGCTCCCGTTGTTCTGTCCCAGCTTCTGCCAACCTAGCAGTTCAAAAGCATGCAGTTCGAAAGCACGCCAGTGCAAGTAGATAAATAAGTACTGCTGCAGCGGGGAGGTAAACGGCATTTCTGTGCGCTCTGGTTTCTGTCACGGTGTCCCATTGTGCCAGAAGCGGTTTAGTCATGCTGGCCACATGACCAGGAAATCTGTCTGTGGACAAACGCCAGCTCCCTTGGCCTGAAAGTGTGATGAGCGCCGCAACCCCATAGTCGCCTTTGACTGGACTTAACCATCCAGGGACCGTTTACGGTTTTTTTACCTTATAGATTCCAATCCTGTCTGCCAGAACCGATTGCTCTAATTAGCGTAGTCAAGTCCAAAAGACAAGGCTCCCACAACTGTAATAGTTAGTGTAAAAAGGGCAGTATCTTCTATATTTTCTTTTGCATTGCCTTTTATGTAACTGATAACAATTCATTAGCACTGTTCTGTTTTGCATCTGGTCACCCTACTCCTAACAGTCCTCACCAAGTTCTCTATTTAATCATGATTGTAAGCATGTTTATGCAGCAGTCCCAATGAATTCATGTTTATTCAGCAGTCCCAATGAATTCAGTGGGCCTTACTCTGCAGTAAGTAGACACATAAATACGCCCTAATATAGGCCCGCCTTGAGCAGAACCTTCCAGAACAGCAGCCAAAAGCTGTTTTCATGTGGGAACTGGGTGCGTGAGAGTCTATTTATGATGCTACCCCCACGACTGACACATCTTTAAATAGCTGCAGGCCAACAACAAATGGGAAAGTTAAAACTTTTTTAAAAATAAATAAATGCAATGGTGAGAAAAACCTTATTCATGATTTTCTGGAGACAAAAAAGGGTGCGGGGATTTCTGTTCTCCCCTTGCACTGCGTAAACATAATCCTATGCATGTTTACTTGGAAGTCCTACTATATTGTTCAGTGGGGTTTGTTCCCAGGTGTGTTCAGGATTGCAGCCAAAGTCACTCAAGACTACTCCTGTGCACTTAAGAATCATAGAATTGTATTTTGTACATTGCAAAAAAAAGGGGGGGATTGTTATTGTAGTTAACCACACATTAATCAGATATGGTATTTATAAAAACTGAGAGTACCTTTTTTCCTGTTTTGTTTTCCATATGGGTTTTATTTCTTGTTTTTTCTTCATTTTTGTCTTATCTTACTCTGTGCATTTGCAATTTTGTACTTTTTTATTTTTCAATAAAGAATTAAAAAGAGAGAGAGAGTTGGCCTTACTGGGAAACACATCCTACTTCTGAGCTCCGATGCGAGGTGCGTTAAAGCTAACCCAGTTCTCCCTGCCATCCCTGCCAGAGTCGTATCCTGAGTGGCTGGGCCAGAGAGTCTGGGGCAACCCAGTCTGATGGGCGGGGTCTAATAATAATAATAATAATAATAATAATAATAATATTGTGGGATACCAGCTGCTAAAAGAGACACAAGGCACGCACGCAGCGAGCAGCACCGAAACGCAGCCAAAGAAGCGGGTGCAGGTAGCCAAATCTTTGAGGAGAAAAGGCGGCTCGGACTGCAAGCACCGGACTGCCTCAGGTTGGAGCGCCAAGGAGCGGCTCTTCCGGACCCACCCGCCGCACCTTCGCGCCGCCTCGGCCCGCCTCTCCCCCCTCCTTGGCTGGGCGCCGAGAGGAGGAGGAGGAGGCGCTGCTGCTGCTGCCGCTCTTGTCGCCCGGCCCCTTGTCCCTGCCTGGCGTCGCCGCCGCCGCCCACCTCCTCCCTTCTATCTCCGCACAGAGCAGAGAACCTGCCCGGGAAAGCCACCGGTTGTTCGGCTTGCAGCTGCCGAGCCTGGAAATGGCGGCGGGGACGACCTGAAGGGGGGCCCAGAACGAGAGCGGAGCGCGCCGCGCCGCAGCTTCCCGTGCGCCCTGGTGCGCCTTGCGCGCCTCTCCGCGCCAAGGGGTCGCCATGAGGCTCCTCCGGGCGCTGCTGAGGAGCGTCTCCCCGGCCACTATCCCTCAGCAGGTGGACTTCTATTGCCGCTTCTCCCCGTCGCCCCTCTCCATGAAGCAGTTCCTCGACTTCGGTGAGTGAGCGCCGCCGCCAACCCGGTGGGAAAGCGCGGCGCCCCCTTGGTTTGCTCGCGCCCTTCCTTCCTCCCAGCGGCCCACCATTTTCTTCTCCCCGTGGGACACCGTCCCTTGCAGACCCTGCTTGGGGGTCGGAGGGCGCTAGGCCTCCCCTCGGCGACCCTCCCTCCCTCAGCCATGGCAGGCGCCTGGGTGCGGGCAGCCAATGGGAACGGGCGTCCTCTGTGCCGCCTCCCTCCGCTCCCATTCGGGTTCTGGGTTTGCAGGTCAGGAGGAGGAGGAGGCCTCGCGTTGTCGCTTCGAGCAAAACAAATCCGACTAGGCTGCTGCTTCCGGAGTTGCCGGAGAGTTCAAATGTAATGAATGCTGCGGAGGCAGGCGCAGAGTTGGAAGGGGGACCCCCAGGCTCATCTAGCGCAACCCCTTGCAGTGCAGGGATGTCAACACGCGGGCGGGGACCCCATCCAAGTTGACCCCGCTTAGCTTTGCAAATAGGCTCGCGCTTTTATTGCAGCAGCAGCAGCAGCAGCAACAACAACAACACGTTGCATTCCCGAGGCTGAGTAAACACGCTTGTGGTTGGCGGTGCAAGTTTTAATTAAGAGCTTTCATTAACACGCGCGCCCAAATTCTCTTGCTTAGTGTGCAAAGCGACTGATTCCAGCAAAGGGAAATTGCCACGCAGCCACCTTAACAGGTGAGGAAGGGATTCTTCTGGAGTCTGAGCAGAGAGGTGTGATGTTGCCGTGCAAATAATTCAGCTTTATTGAATCTAGCACCTTTTCTCTCTGCTCAGATGTGTCTTAGTAAGTGATGGCCCTTTTTATCCTGGAACAGTTTTCTGCCCTGGTTGTCATTATTGCAGAGGCCTGCACTTCCCAATCATAGTGTGCGGAGTCCTCTTCTAAAGCCAGGATTCCATAATTTCTCCCCAAAGTGGACCATATATAAAATGGACTTGTGTTTGTGTGTGTGTGTGAATGGCTACTTTTCCTCATTGATTGCAAGTGGCCCTGCTGAATGTTTTATACAACATGTGCATATTGCATCAGCTAAACTCTACACCCTTATCTGTTGAGAAGCAGTAACGTCCTATGATATCAGCCTGCAAGCGCCAGGTTTATATAATATCTTAAAAACATTTCAGCAATATTGTTCAAATCTAATCGGGTTTGTAGCCTGCCATTTGCCTCAATGTATCTAATTGCAGCACTCTTAACACTACCATGTGCGACATGGCAGCTGATATGTTGTATTCGAACAGTGTACCTGATAGCAGAAACATTATGAAGACCAATTTGGACTTTATGCGATAATTTCGCTTTTGCTAAGTACACCTCCGTGTTTGGTGTTTACAGTGCTCAGTAGCGTAAAAAATGTGAAGGAAAATGTGTATCTCCAAATATTGACATGTATCAGGCAAGTGTGGTGAATGAGCTCTAAATTGAGCATTAGCTAATACTGTGGTGATATTGCTAGGAAATGAGAAAATCATTTTGCCACTCTTCAAGAGTGTGGGGTGGTTGTTTTTCTTATAGCAGTTGTGTGTTGTTGGCATTTCAACAATGTTACACAAGAAAAATATATTGCAGTGTCAGTGGCTTCTGTTGCATTGCTCATAGAGTACATAAGGATTTTTGCTAAACTTGAGCAAAGCTACGTGCTTGCTTCTTGTCCAAATCCCTTTTGATAGAAACCAATGTTACTAATTTAATGCAGACCTCAACCTAATTTCATTGTGGCAGGTGACAGATGAGTCCGAAAGGATGGGAGTAGGGTAGGACGAGGGGGGAATGGGGGAACAGCTCAATTGGATGGAGTAATGGAAGGAAGGTGAAGGTTCATATCTCTAGCAAGAGCTATTTGACCCTCCCCTCGCAGCCCACTGGAGGAAGAGAGAAAGAAAAAGGGAGACCTGCCCACTGCCAGATTGTGGTCCATAACAGATTACCCTCAAGTTGATGTAGGGGTGACTAGAAGTGTCTTTTACCAACTTTGGGTGGTAAGGAAGTTACAACCATTCCAGGATTGAGATAACTTGACCTTGATTGCCCATGCTCTGGTAACTTCAGAGTTGGATTACTGCAATGGGCTCATGGATAGCTCAGTTGGTTAGAGCATGGTGCTGATACCCCAAGGTTGCAGGTTCGATCCCTGTAAGAAACAGCTGTGTATTCCACAGAGCAGGCCTTTTCATGTGACTGTCCCTGACCTGTGGAATAGAACAGCATTCCTGTTGAATTATTTCCCAGCTGGCTAAATAGTTTTTTACTACCAAATGTTCAGGATTCAGTCATGTTTTATATGCATTTGCTGTTTTTGTGTTTTTAATTATCTTGTGTGTAAATCGCGTTGAGGCAGTGGTTTAGAAGGTGAGTAATAAATTAATTGTCAGAATAAGAATCATTATGTAGCCCTCCTTCACAGGAAAAGGGTTCCCCATTTAGGATTTAAATGTTCCATATATTAGTGTGTGTGTTTGTTTTTGTGGGAGAATAACTACAAATTCTGTCCCCACATTTCCTTCTTCCTCATGAATTTGCACATTTCCATACTTGGGTTCAGTGCTCCCTTTATAAAATAACATCCAGTGCTTCTGCAAATACTGTTTGATTCCTATATTTTTCCCCCCCTTTAGGATCTGACAATGCATGTGAGAAAACTTCGTTTATGTTTCTGCGACAGGAGTTGCCAGTAAGATTAGCAAACATAATGAAAGAAATAAGTCTGCTTCCAGACAACCTTCTCAAAACTCCTTCCGTTCAGCTCGTCCAGAGTTGGTAAGAATCAGTTTTTAAAAACGAAAAGCAAAACTGAACTTGGGTATTTAATAGACACAGCAAGTGATGATAGAAAATGTGAAGTTCCTTCACTTATTTTTTACGTACCTTTGCTGCGTGTTTTCTTCTCACTTGTGAGGAAAGATTTGGAAGCTGAAAGCAGCCCTTTAACCCTCTCCAATGTTATTTTGCTGAGTTAATGATCTCGACTTTGTTAGAAAATGTTAGCAGGAAATGGCTAATAATTTCAGCTAGACTATATATATGACAAAGGCCAACCGTGTGGAAATTGTGTTTATAGGTACGTCCAGAGCCTTCAGGAGATCCTTGATTTCAAAGACAAAAGTGCAGAAGATGCAGAAGCTGTTTCTTGGTAAGTGCATTTTAATGCATCTGAATATATTGTGGCAACGGGTTCTCTAAACTCTTTGTGTGCAGCTGTTATTCTGCTTTGAGAAGATGAGTGTCATCCTTTTATGCCATTGATGTTGAGGGCAGTCTTCAGACTACAGTGGTACTTTTGGTTGTGAATGGGATCCGTTCCAGAGGCCCGTTTGCAACCTGAAAGGAACACAATCCGTGTCTGTGTGTGCGCGGGTTGCGATTTGCCGCTTCTGCGCATGCGCGCAACATAATTTTGCATGAATGTGCGAGCGGCGAAACTCGGAAGTAACCCTTTCTGGTACTTCTGGGTCACTGCAGGACGCAACCTGAAAACGCTCAACCTGAAGCAAATGTAACATGAGGTATGACTGTATTCTGAATGAAGAGAAGTCAGAGGTAGACACATCTTTATTAAGCGTCTAAAATAACAAGGGTTGATGGACCTTGCTCTGAAAATTATCATGGCTATGCTAACAGAGATAGACCCATATTTGAAAGTTCAATTTTTTCCCTCAATTTTTGCTTCCTGGATGATTTGTTGAATAGCAAGATCCTTTTTTTTTTTTTTTAAGACCATTTATTTTTATTAATTTTTTTGCACTGAATAGTTAAGTGGAAGCTGTGACTCTTGAGCAGGGGTGGGGAAATTTTGGCCCTTCAGCACTTGCATCAGCCCACAGTCAGCATGGTCAGTGGGAGTTGTAGTACAGCAATATATGGAAGACCATAGTTTAGCCACCTAGGGCTTTAATGTGCCTTAGACCCATTTCACAGAGCATGCACTTGGTTTCAGTTTTACAGATACTGTGATAACAATCCGGAATCGTCACAACGATGTCATTCCTACCATGGCTCAGGGCGTGATAGAGTACAAGGACCACTATGGTGTTGATCCAGTGACCAGTCAGAATGTGCAGTATTTTTTAGACCGCTTCTTCATGAGCCGTATTTCAATCAGAATGCTTCTTAATCAGCACAGTAAGTACTTCGGTTAATCGCAGAGATGAAACGTATGTGTAGAGCAATTGAGAGTGGTTTTCTTTCAAAGCCAGGGGCTTGTATATGGAGCACCGTGTTTTAGCATTTTCCTTGTCTGTAAATACCTGCCAGTTTTGTTCTTAAAACAATATATTAATTGTTTGTTCCCTGGATGTAAAAGCTGCTGCTCTTGCAGCCCATAAATTGTGAATTCACTTGTTATCTTCTTCCATTTGGCAGCTTTGTTGTTCGGGGGGAAAGTCAAGGTCAACCCTGCTCATCCCAAACACATTGGAAGCATTGATCCTAAGTGCAATGTGGTTGAAGTCATAAAAGGTAACATCAGGTAGACTTATCAAGGAAAACAGATGTAATAGCAAATCATTGGTGGCAGTCTAAACGGGCTGTTGACTGTGTTTAACATCGTTCGTGTTGTCAGTTATGCCGATGGTTATAATCAGGACTGTGTGATACTTTGCCAAAAAAGGGAAAAGGATTCTCAACAAGTTGACCCAAATTATACATAAAGAAAAGATGAATTATAGAACTTGTAGACAATTTTTGTAATTTAGTCCTAAACTAGAGAGTGTGACTTCAACTTACTTGGCCGGAGAGTAAACACCATGGATCTAAACAGGACTGACAACAGAGTAAACGTGCATAGGATCATGGTTACTTCCCTATGCTTTTTATAGTGTGTACCATATTTTTCGCTCTATAAGACACACCTTTTCCCCTCCAAAAATGAAGGGGAAATGTGTGTGCGTCTTATGGAGCAAATGCAGGCTCCATGGCTTCAGCGATAGCAATGCGAAGCCTCCGAAACGCAGTGGGAGCGCTCCTGCCGCGCTCCGGAGGCTTCGCGTTGCTTTCGCTGAAGCCTGGAGAGTGAGAGGGGTCGGTGCGCACCAGTCCTCTTGCTCTCCTGGCTTTGTTTCGCTGGAGAGGCGCTGCACAGCTTTCCCTCTCCACGCAGCGCCCCTTCAGCGAAGTGGGAGGAGAAATGGAAGGGGCTCTGTTTCTCCTGCCGCTTCGCTGAAGGGGCGCCGCGCAGAGAGGGAGAGAATTTCTTGTTCTCCCCCTCTAAAACAAGGTGCGTCCTATGGAGCGAAAAATACGGTATTTGGCTGGTCACCGGGGGCGGGGGCTGTGAAAGGCTACTGGAAATTTTAATCCGCTCTGGCTTCTGAGATTTTACCAAACATTGCTCACACACTTTCAAACATGTTCAACCTCAGGGACAATATATTTGACTTTTTTTTTCTTAAAAAAGAAAAGAAAAGAAAGCTCTGGAAATTAAAATCTGCATTACTATACACTTTTTCTGTACTTTGCACCGAATCAAGGTATGCATGCAGCTGTAGTTAGTAACTTGAGTTGTTGTGGCCAGAAATATTCATAATTGGTGTCAGCTGCAGTCGTCAGCAGTTCATTCCTGAACAGTTAAGAACTGGGCTGTCGTTAGTCTGTTTCCTGACATTTTAAAAAACTTCCGCCAGGATATTGTGCAGAGCTGCGAAGTGTAAACCTTTAAACAAAATTGTTGTGCTTTAATTTTTTTGCAGACGGCTATGAAAATGCAAAGACCCTTTGTGACCTGTATTACATGAATTCTCCAGAACTTGTACTCGAGGAGAGAAACGGTAAGGACAGGAAGTGGAGTGGGTTATTAAAGGAAGTCACAAGTCCTTGGCAAGGATTTATCATACGCTGCCTCTTTTTTGTGCAGGTCTCCCTTTTTAGACTGTGTCTGCGGTAGTAGTGCTCATCTTTCCATTGGTTGGGCATCACGTGTGTGATGACTGTCTTGCTCAGTCTGCAGTGCGAACAGGTGCTGCCTCTGGTGCATAGATTGTTAATCGGGTATCCTGGGCACAGCCTTAAACATGATGTGTCTATATATGCCGATTTCATTATAGAAATATGCTATGGGGGACCTTGGGCGGCTGCAGGTCTCTGCATCGTGTTTGCACAGTGAAAGAAATGTGTTGCAGGGTTTGCTGTGAAAAGTTCATAGCGTGACCTTGTGAAGTAGCTTTCGGTGTCGAGTTACAAGGGGTCAGCAAACCTTTTCAGCAGGGGGCCGGTCCACTGTCCCTCAGACCTTGTGGTGGGGCCGGACTATATTTTGAAGAAGAAAAAATGAACAAATTCCTGTGCCTCACAAATAACCCAGAGGTACATTTTAAATAAAAGGACACATTCTACTCATGGGAAAACACACTGATTCCCGGACTGTCCATGGGCCTGATTTAGAAGGCGATTTAGAAGGCCTGCAGGCCTTAGGTTGCCTACCCATGAGTTCATAACTCCACCAGGCACATTTTGTTGTGAGACCACTTATCCTACAATGATAACTGCAACAGCTACACTGTGGGCGATACTTTTTCTTCAAATACTTCTTTGAAACGAGCTATTTAAGGTTTACTTGGAACTTGCACATACTGAACACATTTCAGCATGACACGGGTGGCGCTGTGGGTTAAACCACTGAGCCTTGGGCTTGCCGATTGGAAGGTCGGTGGTTCGAATCCCCGCGACGGGGTGAGCTCCCGTTGCTCGGTCCCAGCTCCTGCCAACCTAGCGGTTCAAAAGCATGTCAAAGTGCAAGTAGATAAATAGGTACCGCTCTGGCGGGAAGGTAAATGGTGTTTCCGTGCGCTGCTCTGGTTTGCCAGAAGCGGCTTAGTCATGCTGGCCACATGACCCGGAAGCTGTACGCCGGCTCCCTTGGCCAATAAAGCAGGATGAGCACCGCAACCTCAGAGTCGTCCCCGACTGGACCTAATGGTTAGGGGTCCCTTTACCTTTAACACAGCCCTGTAATGCTGCCAGATCAGGATTTTATTTCACTGGGCAGAGAGTAAATCGGACATATATACACCATGTGCGACCTTTTACTGAAAAGGTAAAGAGCTGCAACAACCTTCAGCGGTTACTATTGCAAAGAGGATGTGTCTTTATGTGTGCAAGGCCTGTGACACACAAGCCACGGAGATAGCATTTATGGTATACTTCCAATATACCTTCTCAAATTGGGGAGTGGGCATCTTTTAGACAGATAATAAAATAGAAAAACAAATATTATGTACCTGGATCCAAATAAGCATGTATGTGCTTAGTTCCGACGCACCAGACCGTAAGATGCACCTAGTTTTTGGAGGAGGAAAACAAGAAAAAAAAATATTCTGAATCCCAGCGATCCCTCTTGCTGTTCTGGCTTCTGGGATAGCTGCGCAGCCTGCATTCGCTCCATAAGACACACACACACACACTTCGCCTTACTTTTTAGGAGGGAAAAAGTGTGGCTTATAGAGCGAAAAATACGGTACTATTTTTGAAGTTTCAGAATAATATGGTATTGGGGGGCAGAGGTTGCTTGTGTTCAAAAAGGGGCAGGTGGGAATCCAAAAATAGCCCTGGATAGATATACAAGCTCTGTTTGGCATGCCTAAATAAGCTTTTTGAATCTGAGCCATTGTAAACTTCTAAGAGGGCCACACTGTTTAGTCGTGCTCAGTCAGACCTTGCCAAAACTGATAGTTCAGCACTTGGTTGTTGTTTTTTTGTTCCCCTCTTTTTACAGTAAAATCACCAGGGCAGCCCATGCAGGTGGTGTATGTCCCGTCACATCTCTACTACATGGTTTTTGAACTTTTCAAGGTTTGTACAAAACACACACTGATATGTTGTGGATCCTCCTTCTCTGTTTTCTGTTGCCAAACTGTCAAGAGACAAGACAAACATGGCAATTCCTGACATTTGATACGCTGAAAAAAAGAGTGGGGGGGGGTAGATCACTTTTAAAGACAAGCGCTTGAGGCTTACACACAATCTGCTGTCTTAAAGGAGGTCTCCATAGGTATTCTGATGAGCCCGCAGCACCCTATCTTGCTCTCATGCAAATGCTGTTCTCCTGGTCATACCTGATAATGTCCCACATCTCAGCTAGATGTTTTATTTTCATTCCCTTCAAAAGACTCGGGTGAACATAGTCTCATAGGGAAGTAGCCAGTGCACCAAGGAGCTCAGATAAGGGCAGGCTGATTTTTGAGGCATTGTAGGGCTTCAGGTTATAGGACGTGGGTGGTGCTGTGGTCTAAACCACAGAGCCTAGGGCTTGCCAATCAGAAGGTTGGCAGTTCGAATCCCCACGACGGGGTGAGCTCCCGTTGCTCGGTCCCTGCTCCTGCCAACCTAGCAGTTCGAAAGCACGTCAAGTGCAAGTAGATAAATAGGTACTGCTCTGGCGGGAAGGTAAATGGCGTTTCCGTGCACTGTTCTGGTTCACCAGAAGCGGCTTAGTCATTCTGGCCACATGACCCGGAAGCTGTACGCTGGCTCCCTCGGCCAGTAAAACGAGATGAGCACCGCAACCCCAGAGTGATCCGTCACTGGACCTAACGGTCAAGGGTCCCTTTACCTTTAGGGCTTCAGGTCAAGCTGTGGTCACCAGGATTGGAGTTGGGCTTAGTACTCAAATGTGGGTCTGCAGATGTTGTTGGATTACAACTCTTATCATATCCAGGGTTGCCATATTACAAACAGTGAAAATCTGGATAGTTGTTGAGACTTTTGAGGGGGGCGGGCAAAATTGTTGAGCTTTTTTAGTTTTGCCCAAAGTTGCATAGTGTCACAAAAATTGCCGTTTCTCAGCTATTGTTATGGAAAATCAGGAAAGACGACTGCAATAACATGGGCAACCATACATCTGGAATTTCCCAGACATTTCACCGATTCCCACCCACACGCAGTATTCCGGATATTTCCAGGAAATACCGGACATATTGCAACCCTGTCATATCTGACCATTGGCCAGGCAGTCAGAAGTGGAGTGTCCTCATACATGAACAGGCATTATTCCTCTTATGTTTAGGTGGCAGCTGTGGTCATGACTGCCTTTTAACATCTGGAGATTCCCCACCCCTAGGGGATCCCTTTATGTGCACAGGGTCGCATGTGAGAATAATAGAGTTGTCCTCCAGATTTTGTTTCCATGGATTGCTCTGCAAGTAAAAGGACTCAGTTTCATATCTAAAATACAAAATATACGTTGTTGCCCGTATTTAAATTCTAAAATGGCAGGGAACAGAATTCAGACTACTGTTCCCATTCTAGCGCTGCATCCATGAAATAACATTCAATCTTGAAAGATAGAAATAACCAAATACTAGTCAAGTCGGTTGGGTAGCTTCATAAAATGTTTACAAAGCAGGAAGCAACTTTATAATGTATTCTAGAACAAGTTTCTTCTAAACTCTTTTGAATCATTATGTGATCACAGCTAAATGGAACTGTTTTATTAAATTACCAAGCTAAAATGATATACAGATATGTAATTTGGCCATTACTTCCATGTTTTGAAATCTTAGAATGCAATGAGAGCTACAATGGAACATCACGCGGATCGAGACATTTACCCTCCAATTCATGTCCATGTCACATTAGGCAATGAGGATTTAACTGTGAAGGTAATGGCTTTGTTTACTCTCTCATTTCCCACTTTGTAGTCCTGGCAAACGGTTAAAGCGCTGGTTTTCCAGTAATTTTCACCTTGATGTGCATTTACCTGCCACGGGCATTTTGCATGTTTATTTACTAACGAATTACCTGGTCATAAAATAGCAAGTGGAAGCAGCATATATGATTCAAACAGGACTGCTAGAGTATTTTGCCAGTTCAGGGATCTTCTGATCCAGGATGAGGAGTTCAGCCTATTTTGGATGTGGTTGTGCTCCCCATAACATTCAGATGAGCAGCTGGGAGATGCTCCTGAATCTATCGTTATTCTTGGATATTTGAGTGGCAGCTGTGGTCCTGAGTGCTTTTCACCAGCTGAAGCCCCCTCCTGAACTGAACAGGCCTGGTCACAGTCATAGTAATATCAAGAGTGGACTGTCTGCCATTGAAGAGCGTTCTGAAACTCGATCCAAAAGGCTGCCAGGGTTTTAAACGGAGCCAGACAGGTAGGATGCATTGCTACAATATTGTTTCATCAGCAGCGATGGCCTAGGATTTCTTGATCACCTCCTCTCATATGTAGCTTCCCAATGCCATATTCCACATTTGGAGACCCTGCACTATGTCCCTGTGTCATCTGAGGTTCAGTGGATGGTTGTATGAGCAGACTCTCGATTGCTGCCTCCTCAGCTGTGAAATATCCTAACTGACACTCTCTGCTGGATTCCCAGCTTGTGGTCCACACCTGGCTTTAAAGAGACCTTGTGGGGATTATATCTTTTGTAGATTGGGGTTGCTATTGAAATGTTTTCTGCTGTTTTTACTTATTTGGCATTGAAAAAGAAATCTTTGGTTTTGTATGATTTGCATTATTATATTAGCTGCCTATTATTATTCTATTAGAGGGACGTGGGTGGCACAGTGGGTTAAACCACAGAGCTTAGGACTTGCCGATCAGAAGGTTGCCGGTTCGAATCCCCGCGACGGGGTGAGCTCCCGTTGCTTGCTCCCTGCTCCTGCCACCCTAGCAGTTCGAAAGCACGTCAAAGTGCAAGTAGATAAATAGGTACCGCTCCGGCGGGAAGGTAAACGGCGTTTCTGTGCGCTGCTCTGGTTCACCAGAAGCGGCTTAGTCATGCTGGCCACATGACCTGGAAGCTGTACGCTGGCTCCCTCAGCCAATAAAGCGAGATGAGCGCTGCAACCCCAGAGTCAGCCATGACTGGACCTAATGGTCAGGGGTCCCTTTAACTTTTTATTATTCTATTAACTGTCTTGAACATCCAAACTAACTGAAGAGTAGTGTATAAATCATTTTGAAGAAGTACATTTTGTGCATGCAGGCCAACATTCACCATTCATTCATTCAGTTAGTTAGTATACCACACTATATTCGCAGGTCTCAGGGCGGTTCCCCAGGTAAAAGCACAGTATAAAAACATTAAATACATAATAAAAAATACAAGGTGTATATTTCTGATGTAAGGTTGGGTATGCCAGTGTTTGTTTTTAGCCAGATCTAGAGCATGTGGCATGAATCGTCCCCAAGTCCTAATCCCCCCTCCACATTCTAGATGTGTGATCGTGGCGGTGGTGTTCCTTTGAGGAAAATAGACCGGCTGTTTAACTACATGTATTCAACTGCACCCCGTCCCCGTGTTGAGACATCGCGAGCAACACCTCTGGTATGTAGGCCATTTTTATGTGATACCTTGCATTGGCAGTTGGCAAATTAGTTAGTTGAAGTGGTTAACAAAATATTTCCTTGTACATTAGGGGGGGGGGCTTTTCCGGTTAAGGGCAGCATTCCTTTGGGGTAATGTGGGGTGGGGGGGGGCAAAAGCCAGTAGTGGGTACATGCAGAGCTTCTTGCTCTTTCTTGCTTCTCTCCCCACCCTTCTCTCTCCATTTCTTGCCTACCCAGCAGGCTACCAAGGAAAGGACAGATCACTCTTGCCAGATGTAAATTTGCAGAGAGGTCTTTTGAAATTAGGCAAAAGAGCCACATGAAATTAGGCCATACTGGCTGTAGGTTGCCCATATATAGATCCATTGCTTATGGTAAATATGGGCCAGAATGATATATTAATAACTAAAGCCAGTATCTAGCGTTCCACTGTTGCATGTATAAACAAACTTCCAAATGCAAAAAAAAAAAACCTTCAGTGAAGAAAATCAGGCTCTAGCAAGGCACTGTTCCATCAGTAAATCCCTGCTTTGTGCAGTTAATGATGCATGTAACTTGTTCCAGTTCATGGGCAAGAACAGCCTCACTGCCATTTTTGCTCCCTGCTTTCTAGAGTGGTGTGCAACTATTTTAAATGCTAATAAGTTTAAGGCTGAAGATTCTGTGAGCTGGTGCCTATATTGTTTTGGTGGCTTATCTGGGCATTTTTTTATACTCCACAGCAAGTCAAATAAGAGCATTGTTCAGCGAGACAAATTCATACACCATTAGGTCCTGCGTCTGCTTGTTCTTACATTTCATCTGAGTTTCTGTGCTATCTTCTACCACATTATCTAACACTTGTCTTTCCTTATGCCTAGTGGTTATACATCTGATAATGCCAGTCATGTCACACAGTGAAATTACTGAATATCCATTTCAGATGCCCATGCGATCCTGTCAGAAGAGAAAATTGCATGCAGATGCAATAGGGATAAATGAACAGCTTTTTTTCAAGGGCAACTGAACAGAAGAATGAACAGGAGAGGAAGACCCAACTGGTGTGGCTTAGTGGTTAAGGGTGTTGCATCAAGGGCCTGGAAGACTCAGGTTCAAATCCCCAGTGTTGAAGCTTACTGAGCGACATTGGGTCTTTCTCACAGCTTTGTTGTGAGATTAAAATGGGGAATAAAAATGTATTGAGCTCCTTTCAAGGAAGGCAAGTTATAAATGTAATAAAAATAAATAACTGCAAGCTTCAGTTTCATCTGAATAGGAAGCCATTGGCATGGATCGGGAAGAATATTAGAGAACACCTACCTGCAGTTTTGTCTTCATTTTCTTTTCACTGTAAAAGTAACTCCCCTTTTCTCATGTTTGTGTCCAGCAACAGAATGCTTTTTCTCTAGCAAATGTTGATTATATTGGGCGGGATTCAACAGACAAGTCCCAGTAGCAGAAGCTCACACAAGGACACGATGGGGGTTTCCACTGTCCTTCCCTCGCACCCCCCAAAATTGGCGGGGGGGGGGGGTCAAGAAGACCCCAGAACGTCGCAGGGAGGGAGGAAGGAAGGAAGGAAGGGGACCATTCTGGATGGCAAGCTAAAATGCTTGCGCTGGTGCAGTGATCAGAAGAGTGCAACTAGGAACTCCTCCCAGTACTATTTTTGTTTTTCATGTTTTAGCTAACTCTCTTGTTGTCGGTTTTTGTGTCTCTGTGTGTGTTATGTTTAGGCTGGATTTGGTTACGGCTTGCCTATATCCCGTCTCTATGCTCAGTACTTCCAAGGAGATCTGAAGCTCTATTCGCTAGAGGGTTATGGTACAGATGCTGTTATCTTCATAAAGGCATGTTATTTATCACCCGCTTTGACAAATGTCTTTCCATTTAAAAGGCAGGATCTGATGATGGCTAAGTTATATTGAACATTGCCCTTTCCTTCTCTCTGCAGGCTTTATCAACAGAATCTGTTGAAAGACTGCCGGTATATAACAAATCAGCTTGGAAACATTACACAGCGAATCATGAAGCAGATGACTGGTGTGTCCCAAGTAGTGAGCCAAAAGACATGACTACATTCCGCAGTATATAGCCATATGGGACAATATGTGGTGTGCAGAAGATAGCCTTAGTACACAGTTCATGTTAGGACTGTGTAAGTCTGGTTTACTACAGTACAGCTCTAATATTTTGTATGGGGGAGCACACAATTTCACTAAACAGGAGTCAGAAAACCACGTCTTTTCTAGAGCAGCGTTCGTTTAAAAAAGTGAGTATGCTAAATTCATTTCAATCATTCCATCTTAAATTGCTTCAGCAGGTAGATCTGGTGTATCAAGTTCTAGATTTTATATAAAAAGGTCAGTGCACAGCTTGTTCAAGTATTGTACAATTTCACTTGCCAAGCATTCTAATGAGACTTCCATGGAAAACTTAGTTGAATTAAAGAACTGCAATGTTGTAAACCTTATCTGGGAATCAGTTGCACTAGCACAGACAGCATTACAATGTGAGAAATACTAGATAAAACGTGATCATGCTTTTTTTCTAGGAATCAAACAGTTTGAGCCTTCTAATATTAGACACCATAGTTCTTCTAACAAACCACATGCATTTAATTTCATACATGATCCAGCTTGAGTTTCATTAATATTAATTGGGAAGTTTAGCACGTAATTAGATATTTCCCACTAAAATCAGTGGCACTTGATAACATTTACATTTGGCTAGCTTGCGCCTTGTGTTTTTACCCTCTGTAGGAAGTTTGAATGAAAATCTCAAATCTGGTAGTGCATAAATATGTTATTTAGATGGAGTTCCAAGAATGAATATTTGCCTCTCTTCAGAATATTCAGGCATAATGAATTGGATCCCCAAAATGATGAGTTGAACTTCACTTATGTAGTGGGACTTTCCTGCCACCACCAAAGTTGGTTCTGAGAATTGAAGGACTGTATGGAATGGCATATGATGGGGTACAGGGGCTGTAGTGGGATAGGGAATTATGGAGAATTCAGTGGGGCTGACTTGTGGGAGTGCCTTGCCACACGCACAGGACATCTCTGGATCCAGCCCTTTTATATCAGCAGTTGCAATTAATGCAAAAACGCTGAACATGATCTGGACAAAATGGAATTGCTGAAGAGGCTTAAGCAAGTCCTCAATTCTCCTGTTGAAATTAGTGGTATTTGAAAGTGCTTAAACTTTTGATGAATTTTGCTTTTCAGTAAATGAAAGTTGTTAATAAAGCACAGCCTGCCTCCTAATTTAATGCCACTGATACTTGCACTGATTTTTGCAAAAATGAAACAGGCCTCAGGTTGTTAAGAAAGTTTGGACATTATGCACATAGTACTTTTGACATCTAATTGCTATGGCTATGTTTCTTTGCACTATTATAGTATTTCTTTTAAAACATTTGGATATGTTCAGCTTCTTAAGAATGAAAAGAAACTGGAGCAATAACAACGTATTAGTTCTTTTTAAAAATGTGGTATACTGATGTTTCTTGCTGCTCTAGCCTATTAAATACTTCTATACATATTTAACTTCCTGTTAAATGCTCTATCTTCTATAAACATGTGGCCAGCTGCCAAGTAGTAGAATGAAAGTCATTTAATTTCACTGAATTCAGCCAAATTCTGGGGTATTTGGTAGTATCTAATACTGTCATGGTAACTTGCAAACTCAACAAGAAGCGGATGAACAGTTGCAGCCATCGTGAACGTAATGCCAGTATTGCAAGGAATAATCAAGACAGGAGCTATCTAGTAAGTTGTGCATACATTATAGAAAGCACAATTGGTATCTATCTGAAGGGTAGTTTCCCATTGGCAAAGCAAAGCCTATTGAGTTGGGTTATAGTTCCAACTGGTGGTTGAAGGTAGAACAAACATTTTGGGAAGTAAAGAGCTCCCACAATCTAGTTTGCAGACTTGCTAAGCCCAAAGTAGGTCACAGGAGCGAATCTAAAATGTAAGTATAGTACAAGAAACTGAGAGAACAAGGATCAGCTAGGCCTGACTTCCACGTGTGTATGTCTGTCTGTCTCTATATATAAATAAAAATTCAGATTACTGCATGGGAATGAGTGAATATTAAAGTTGCAGTCATTAAAAGTAGGGTGCAGTAGCCTTGTGGTGCTAATGAAAGCTACCCTTAAGGTAGGTACCAATTGGTATTTTTTCCCAACTGGCCCCACATGGCTATATAGATGGGATGTACCAAAAATTACCCCCAACTAGGCAGGGACCCCCACTCCAGCAAAGAAAAAGAATTTTTTTTGAGAGAGATGCTCTTACCAAACGCTTCTTCAGCCTAAGCACAGGAACCAATTTTACAGTATCTCGTGAAGATACTGGGAGAAAGATCACACAGAGAAAGGAAAGGGAAAGGCTAAGGAGCTGCCAGGGGCTGCAGAAGGACTGCTTTCAGAAGCCAGAAGCAGCTCTGCTGTCTGGCTGTAATCGGGTTGTGTTCAACATATGTGCCCGAGGTAACAGGCCCTGATGGTGCAAGTAAGAGCATGTTTCAGCAGCTCCACTACACACACAGCTACCTTCCTCAACAGTCAGCGCGCAAGGGAATGGTGGAGGGACGAGAAAGATAGAGACAGAAGGATTTTTTAAAAATTAAGCAGAGAGAGAAGGGCATAAAAAATAGGTCATGACAGTAAAGTGGGAGCAGAGAAAGTGATGGGTTGAGGAATGAGAAACTAAAGTCCAATAGAGAGTGGGACTGAGAAAAACAGTGTAGGACCAAGAAAAAAAGGGGGGAAAGGTAGCAAAAGCAAGAAACATTGACCTGAGGACAAAAGCCAGTGGAAGTTTAAAGTGGCATTGCTGCTTTTGCCAACAGCAGGAGTGAACTGGATTATGGGAACTGCCTACTTCTTAAAATGTTCATCCTGCCTTTGACCACCTGGTGGAGCCATAAACCAACCAGATAGTCTTGCATTGCCAGTGGGGAAAAAACAGTTGCTCACACACCCGGACATCTAAAGCAGCTATGGTACATTTTTACTCAACAGACACAAACTCTTATTTGCTGCATAAACCTCAGGTCCTAACTTGGTGTTGCATTTAAATTCCTTTATATCCAGCAAATGTGGCATAAAATAGATAATGCTCTCTTCACCTTCTCTTTGGTTCCTAGCTCTCCCTTGACAATTTTTGCCGCCAACGTTTAATTCACCGCCACAATTGCAATGTTCATGTGATGCCTCCTAGGCAAGATCCTCCATTAAGATGCACACGCAGAAATCAAAGAATGCAGTTTAGCCACTTTGCAGTAACTGAGATGCCGGATTAAAGAGTACAGTGCCATGACTGTAAACATATTTACTCGGGAATGAAACCCTTTTCAGAGTAATGGCAGTGCCAAATGATGTGTTAAGATTTTTGGTGATAGTGGGGAAACAGCAAAATAGACCCACCTGCACTTTGGAGCATCTTGTTAGGAAATTCATTATGTCAATTGGCTCATAGAATGTGCTGTGCAGAATGAAACTGCCCTTGGCTATAAGCAATAGCAGCTTAGTAGGGAAGTTTTCAAATTAGAGACATACCAAGCTACTGCTTTAAGGTATCACAGTCTTTGGAAGTAAAACTTCTGCTCTGTGAGCTAGTAAACAAAGAGTACAGTAGGTTTGGCATCATAAAAAACCAACAACACTCACATTTGCACCTGCCTGCCGCTTCTGAAGGTTTGATCATCTGGAGGTGGAGGGGCTGAACGAGATACTGGAATTAGTATCCTCTCTTCATGTAAAATATGAATTGTAATCAGGGCTACAGTCCTGATCCAGTAGTCAGAGGAACTGCATGTGCACTGCTGTACTATGGATGTTTGTTGAGCCCACTTCCACGCTTGCCTTCCAGACTGCCAGGGAATTTGCATGTACACATCTGGATACGCATGCACATTGTCCCAGCTGGATGATTATTTTAAGTATGTTCAACAATCAAAATCTACTGAAGGTTTACCACTAACCAAAGCAACTGTTCGGTCATAGGCACAATGAGTTCATTTGCTATTTTAAGGTTTGATTCCTATGAATAAAGCATTTCGGGAGAAAATAATTTATAATGCTACTTTATATTCCAGGCAACTCCCTGTTTGCACAGGGGTTGCGTTCTGGGTCATCTTGTGTGTCAGTGGAGTGCGCATAAGCTCGCCCCATTCCGCTCCCTTCGGGGGCTGAAAACAGTGCTCGCATTGGCAGTCGCATGCCAATAAAACTCACACAAAATGGTTGCCGTGTGTATTCCCTTGCTAGAGCTAGATTTGGAAAGAATTTCTATTGCAGGTGGAAGAATAACATTACAACAGCCAGGCATTTTGTATTCGGAATTTTAACATTGTACTGTGAAAATTTTGGCTTGCAAGAAAGAGGCTTACTGTGATTTTTATAATAATAAATCCTAAGCATTTTAAAAAATATGGCACTCCATTGATTAATTGCACGATAACTCCTGGTGTCTGTCTTGTATTATCACTTCAGTGTGGAAACACTGGGTCGCCCCTTGTTAAGGCTGTAACTTCAGTCATCTAATTGGTTATGGTTGCTGAGGCTGGTGAGAGTTGGGAGTCTGACAACATCTAGCGGCCCACAAGTCCTCTGCTGTGATAATCTTCAGGTGTGTTACATCTATGGACTGCCAGACAGGCTCACCTTGACAACTATCTTCCTTACATGCAATGGGAAAAGGTACTCTTCCATAGTAGTGGGGTAGGAAAGCTGAGCAAACTAAGGTTCCTAGAGCAAAAACCTCCTGGGAGGCTTAATTCGGTCAGAATCAAGTATACACTTCCATAGTTATGTGATAGAAACGGCACTGGGAGCAAAGTGACTCCAAATCTAGAGACATTTTTTCATTGCACAAGTTCTCAATACTCTAGCCCACTTGTATCCAATGTTAGTTATACTCCAAGTAAGCCCACAGTAAGGTTAATTCCAGCAGGTCTACTCTGAGTCAAACCTGGATGACTAAAACCCTGTCTCTTATTCATGCAATAATACCAATACACATTTTTTCCTATTCTTGGTTCCTTGAATCCAAGATATTTTGAAAATGCTCAAAATGTGCATTTCATTTACTGTAGGCAGTTTTCAATGTTTTCTTACAAAATAATCATTTCATTAGATGGGAGCATGTTACTAATTCATGCACACGTAAGTCATAATAGTAAGAATTTCAAAATACAAGTTCTTTTTTGAATGAAATTTATTTCATTTCTCAAAAGTGCCACTCCAATGTAGTGTATTTTTTCCTACAACAGATTATGTGTTACCCAACAGCACATGGCAATTGTGTTTGACACTGTTCTGGAAAACAAATGCAACTCATGAACAGGAAGACATTTCGTAGTCTACAGTGTAATTATACACACTGCAGAAACCCAGTGCTTCAATTCATACCTCCTCCGGCTATTCCCATTCTGGTATTAGGAAGACCAATAACATTGAAAGTTTAGTAAAAATATATTTTTGGTCCTCAGTATCTTGAGTAGGAAAGTGTAATGCATGTATTACAATTTGATCTTACATGGATTATAAAACCCCATAGTCCATACAAAAGTGTATAAAATTGATCAATAAACTTTGAAATCCTGCTTCAACATACTCAGCTTAGAAACTTAGTGTTATCTTATTTTAGAAAATAAGAAAGCCAAGATGCAAGTCATGAATTATATTACTACAATACATTTTGAATTTAAAATGAACTCTGGAAAATACAGGATTTTAAACACATCATTAAGTCAAAATACGATTAAATTAATTTTCTATTATTTTTTAAACTTAATTTTTCCTCTATACAACACTAGTGGCAACAAACTTCTCTTCAACAGAACATAATGACCTGATACTGTCTCTCTATACCAGATACCACCCAACATTATACTGCAATTTATGTTCACATCCTATTCATCAAAACTGTATATACTTCTGATAGACACTTCAGGGACCTAGAATAAGTAATACATATATACACATTACTTAATGCAAAGTTAATTTACTGTTCATTAGTACAAGTTAACGATCTAAATATAAAAAATGGAAAATATTTCATTTGATGAATCATATAAACAGGGAAGGACTGTAGAAATGGGAGATTAAAAAACCTATATTGTAAAAGCTATCACTTCCCACCTCCCCCATTCATAATTATACAGTAATATACAATTGTGACACTTCTTCAAGCTGAAGGGAGTCTGATAAAAATAAAGATATTGAAACATTACCTTGGCATAGTTCCACTAGCCCTTGTGACTACACCAGATTAAGTAGTTGCATAGGATATTTTAAAGAATTTTAGCAGCTTGATTCTACAGTGGCCACCACTCTGCCAGTTCTCCGGACTTCTTTCTCTTTCTTTTGAAACTTTTCTTTCTGTTTCTCCAGCTTCTCTTGTGCTTTCTTAATATCTTTAATTTTCTTCTTTATTGTTGATCGGTCATTTTGACTGGATACTCCCAGGGCCTTTCATAGAAAAAAAACACATTTTATTATATTCTACGAAGTAGAAATATTTGCAGCATAAACAATGCCCTTTGTTACTGCATGAGTTTTGGATTTTCAGCAGTACTCACAACCATTAATTATCATTACAGTACAACGAAAACAACATCCAAACTAATTTTCCCCCCCGCAAACTACAAAATTCAGCAAATCTATGGAAGGAATACAAATGATTTAAACAAGCTGAAGAGAAATGTTGTAGTCAGAACAAAAAGCATCTTAGCGCAGACAAGAATGGTTTGCAAGTAGTACAAACCTGGGACAGCTTAATGTGAAATACTTAAATTTCCTTGACTCCTAAATACATAGTTGGAAGAACCAACCTTAAGGGGCGAATCCACACATTTCCCTCATATTCACTAACAGTCATAAAATGTCTTCATGAGTATACCCATGATCATGCGAGTAAAGATTAGTGTGAACTGGACTGTTCAACAACAATTCATGGGGCTTCAAAAGATGAAGGGAATGCTTCAATAGCCATGAAAATTGCTATCAGTAGTTATCTGTATCCAGGCCAGATCATACTAAAGTTTACCTACTCAGGCATGGTGCAGTGGCCATTTGCATTCACAGTGCTGAGGTACTGGTAGTAAGAGGACAAGTTGCTTGCAGCTACCTTAAAGCCTATTAATTTTGCTGGGCTTCAGAGCAACTTCTTTGGACTGGCACAACTCTCTTCAAAAATAACCTTACGGTAAAAAGGTAAAGGACCCCTGACAGTTAAGTCCAGTCGCAAACAACTCTGGGGTTGCGGTGCTCATCTCGCTCTACTGGCCAAGGGAGCCAGCGTTTGTCCACAGATGGTTTTTCCGGGTCATGTGGCCAGCATGACTAAGCCACTTCTGGCGAAACCAGAGCAGCGCATGGAAACACTGTTTACCTTCCCGCCAGAGCGGTACCTATTTATCTACTTGCACTTTGACATGCTTTTGAACTGCTAGGTTGGCAGGAACTGAGACCAAACAATGGGAACTCACCCCGTCGCAGGGATTCAAACCACCGACCTTCCGTTCGGCAAGCCCAAGGCTCAGTGGTTTACACCACAGCACCACCCGCGTCCCCCAACCTTACGGTAGCACCCTATAAAAAAGAACCCCTGGACGGTTAAGTCCAGTCAAAGGTGACTATGGGGTGCAGCACTCATGCTGCTTTTAAGGCTGAGGGAGCTGGTGTTTGTCCACAGACAGCTTTCCGGGTCATGTGGCCAGCATGACTAAACCGCTTCTGGTGCAAGGAGGACCATGACAAGTGCCAGAGTACACACAGAAACACCATTTGCCTTCCTGCGGCAGTGGTACCTATTTATCTACTTGCACTGGTATGCTCTTGGAACTGCTAAGTTGGCAGAAGCTGGGACAAAGCAACAGGAGCTCACTCCATCGCATGGATTCAAACTACCGACCCAAGAAACTCTGTGGTTTGGACCACAGCACCACCCGTGTCCCAATAGAGTAGCACCCTATAGTTAGGGTCTAAAGAAACATTCTACATGCTCAAATAGGGTTACATTACTTTATGTGACTGCTGTGAGGTCCCTAAAGGAAGGCCAAACAGATGTGCTGCCATGGAATATGAGAAGCTAGTAACATTGTGTTAGCATGGTGCAGTATAGTTTTTTATCAGCAGATGGCAACATCTGATAAGCCCAGAAAACCTTTTTGACTACTTTTTAACATACTAACATTTCATACAGTCAAAGCTTAATGCATTAACTTAGGATACGTTAAAAATGTGTGTCCTAATTCAACAACAAAAACACCCAGTAAAATGAATCTATTTTATGTAACAAGGAATTGAAGGAAGCCAACCCCTAAATTATCAACACATAACACTATACAGTACAGTACTTATAAGTATATTAGGGACGCGGTATTAAGGACTTAATTAGGGACGTGGGTGGTACTGTGGTCTAAACCACTAAGCCTCTTGGGCATGCCAATCAGAAGGTTGGCGGTCCGAATTCCCGCAATGGGGTGAGTTCCCGTTGCTCGGTCCCTGCTCCTGCCAACCTAGCAGTTCGAAAGCACATCAAAGTGCAAGTAGATAAATAGGTACTGCTCCGGCGGGAAGGTAAACGGCGTTTCTGTGCACTGCTCTGGTTTCGCCAGAAGCGGCTTAGTTATGCTGGCCACATGACCCAGAAAAACTGTCTGCAGACAAATGCCAGCTCCCTCGGCCTGTAAAGTGAGATGAGCACCGCAACCCCAGAGTCGTCTGCGACTGTACTTAACTGTCGGGGGTCCTTTACCTTTTTGTACTTATATTATTAAGTGTGTTCAGATTTTCAGTGCATAGTTTTGGCATGGCATAAGGCAGCAGGTATACAAGCTTACCTTCAACTTGTCACTGTCAAGCAGCATTAACTGCTGTCCATCTATACATTTGGCTGTGAATTCCGCAATGTACTGCTCCATATTCATTCCCATTAGCCAATGGCACACCTGTTGTGTTGTCCATTCAGAAATGGGCCGACTGTGCCACTGGTTTTGTTTCCCTGTAGTTGATGGTTCATCATCGGAAGTCTAACAAAGCAAATCAGCTTTTACTTAGGTACATAGCAATTTAACTTACTCCATTTCTGATATATATATATAAAATATAAACATTCAAGACTTTGAATTGTTGAGTGCATAGCTGGTCTCCCCTCCAATATTTCAGTTTGTTTTATTATTTAATTCCAATAGTGCAAAGTGTCTGAACACATGTATCAACGCACAGTAATTTAAAGAACGCTCATTGTAAATACCTTTATGAAAATGTGGACTCGCTGAACCAAGTGTAAATTTCCAGGTTCGTGAGATATAGGATTTTCAGACCCTGCTCGATAACTTAGAGGTATTCTCAAATTCACTCGTTTTATGGTATCACTGACCGAATGTCCAAAAGAGAGTTTTAAATTATTGTAAAGGATCATACAGTTTCTGGTCTTCTAGGTGCAGCACTCTAGGTGGTAAGTTTTACTCAGAGTAGATCTACATAAATTAATGGCCCTCACTTAGTCATGTTCATTTATTTCAATGGGTCTACTCTAAGTAAAACTTGATGGCATACCACTCTCTATGTTTGTGCCACATAAAGTCCACCTATATTATACTGTTTCCATACATACATCACAAATGCCCTTGAAATGGAAATTAGGCCAAAGCAAATGAACTGCTGGTGAAAGTCCACATCAGAGTGAACACTTCATGCTAGAGAGAAGGGAACAAAACACTCCTTTTATCTGTTGGGTAGGTCTCTCTTGCTGAATTCATTTTATGGAGATAGTGAGTCAGTTTTTACAACTTATCACTTAAAATACCACCTCGGTCTGGATGTGTCATTAGCGGAAAAATACAAAACTATTATGTATTACTGTATATTCATTTTGTACAAGAGTGCCACGGTTTCTTTGGTTCCCCAACTTTTATTAGGAGTCTGTAGCTAAGGGGACAAAGGGCATACTTCTGACCTACCAAGGCTAGAAACAAAAACTATTTTTCTATTTTTCTAAAGCTATCATACAGTGTTTGGTTGAAGAGGAAGTTTTTCTTTCTTACTCAAGACAAACACTAAAAACTCTTTATTTCATCCTGTGCCGAAAAGAAAAGGATCACAATACATAAAGACTAACCATGCTGATTATGCATCTTCATTGAACTTTAAAAAAATGAAGTACTGATAATACAATTTTTTTTGTTAAAATTCAGCAATGGCATTTGCACCACTAACTCAAGGTTGCTTTCTATATGCTTGTAAAAATGTAGTATGTGATCCCTACTTTTGTTATTGTACTTGCAGCTCATTTTTTTATTGGTTTACTGCTTATTTCTTTAAATGATAGCAATGGTTTATGAACTAACTGCTGCATTGCTCTAGATCAAACTATGCATGCATATGGGGGCAAACAGGTTTCTTACAAGTTTCCATCATAGCACCTTACAGTGCTGAAGAGGCAAGGCACTTTTTCAGTTAAATTTGAGAAATTTAACTGGAAAGGGAAACTACCTCTTTGCTACAGCATGCAAACTTCACACAGCCTCCCCACCTGGGCTCTTCAGCATTTCTTTTACTTTCAATGTAGATGCAAGGACCACCTGAAAGCAGCAGGGATCACGAATGCAAGAGCCACTTGTTGTTCAAATTTAAAAGCAAAATAACTTTTCAAGTTATAATATAAAAACAAGGAATTAACAAGTGATGTCCGTGAACACAGAATACTTCTTCCGAGCCTGTTTCACAATGCCAGGCTTGTCAGCTACTCTTGTAGACATACCGTATTTTTCGCCCTATAGGACGCACCTTTTCCCCTCCAAAAATGAAGGGGAAATCTGTGTGCGTCCTATGGGGCGAATGCAGGCTTTCGCTGAAGCTTGGAGAGCGAGAGGGGTCGGTGCGCACCGACCCCTCTCGCTCTCCAGGCTTCAGGAAGCTATCAGCAAGCCTGGGGAGCGCGCGGGAGTTCCTGCAGGGCTCCCTAGGCTGCGGATAGCAGCCTGCTGTCCGGTGCACAGGCGCCCTGAAGCAGAGCGCCCCACCCGCTGGGCAGACATCCGCAGCCTGGGGAGCCCTGTGGGAGTTCCCGCAGGGCTCCCTAGGCTGCGGATAGCAGCCTGCTGTCCGGCGCGCGGGGCGCTCTGCTTCAGGGCACCCGCACGCCGGGCAGACATCGGCCAGCCCCACAAGCTCGGGGGACAGCGGGGAGGCACAGTGCCACCATCCCGCTGTTCCTTGACCTGGTTTGATTTCCCCAACCTGGTTTTGCGGGGGAAATAAAGTGGGGGGAAATTCCTTTATTTCCCCCCCAAAAAACTAGGTGCGTCCTATGGGACGGAACGTCCTATGGGACGAAAAATACGGTATTTTTTAAAAATACAAATAAACTGCTCCTTTTGTTACATTAAAATGTTTAGCACAAGCAAGTATCCAATATTTACTCAAAAACATTAACTTGTGTTACTGAAAGGAAACTATCTCCATCCTTCCTTGTAGAGATATGCAAATTCCATTTCTAGAAATCAAGTAAAGGTCAGTTTCTGAAAGCCCCGTTGATGCAGAGAGAGAAAATGAAGAATAAAATCCGGCCCTATTGTGCTGAGAGTGCAAAATCCTCAAGACAACTGGAAGAGAGTCGCAAGGAACAGTATCCATCTAAACTGAATTACGGAGTAATTTGAAAGAGAGGTGAAAGGTCAACATAGTGTATAGACACAAAACTGTTCAAGAAAGAACTATTCATAAGAGTAGAGTACCTATAGGGCCAAATGCCCAGATGCTACATGAGGAGCTGTGAAACTCCATACTGAAGGCTGAACTTAGCTGGCACCACAAAACCTTCCTCACTGAAGTCTGCAAAGTTTTGAAAGATCCAATTTAGGAAATTCAAAAAATGTTTGGCTTTATAATGATCTAAAAATATTTCAAAAATAACGCAGCAAGAATTAAGCTCTACAGCCAAAAGACTGAAATGAGGAAGACAATGTGTATTCTGTTAGAAGTACTGATGCATGCCATTCACACAAATAGCAGAAGCATAGAAAGCAAACTGCATTGGCTGATGGTACTATTAATCAATTAGCTGTCTTATAATGTTAGGAATTTAATTAAAGTGTTTTTTTTTCTTGCAATGCAAGAGTAGAGCAGATGCACATTCAGTCCTGGTTTGGCTTCGGTTACATGCAAAGTAGCTCAGTGTAAATGTTGTCAACAATATATCAAACCCAAAACTAATAACAAGAAAAATACTTTTTGTCTCCTAGGTACATTTTTCAATGTGGGCTTATAAAAATATTAAGGTGCAATGATGATAACCTGCTCTTTTCATAGAGACAAACTTAAATTGCATAATATAGTCTGAATTGTGATATCAACAATACACAGACACACTGAAACTCACCTCGTTTGAAGAGAAGGTTAAAGTGTGTGAACGCCCTGAAAGATTTGGTTCTGTCACTAACCCTGACAGATCACAACTTGGCTTGCTATCGTATGAATCATCTATGACAATTCTACTCTGCAAACAAGTGAAAATAATGTGTTGTTAACTTCCCCCTTGGAACAATAAATCACAAGGAGGCACAGTGTCTTATTTTTTTAAAAGTAAAAATAACTAATCATTTATTTCCAGTAACTCTGAACTAAGCTTATCTACATTCATCATGACTCTCTCCCAATTCACAATACACAAGTATTGGGCTCTTATCATCTGATCTATAGAAACATTCAGAGAGTTCTGGGAGCTATTTTCAGCACATAGGGTTAGTCAGGAATGAATAGGGTTAGTCGTGAATTCATTCCCTTAATGGGGGCTAGGGAGGGATTACACTTTGACCTTAGTTTTCTGATTATCAGAGACTGGAACCAAGACCTGCACCATGGGCAGCTCCTGGTCTTGAGGAGCACAAATGACTCTGCTTCCAAATGTTCCATCCCTGCTTTCAAGTTGCAGGCAGAGTAAGAAAAACAGGAAGCAGTATGGCTTCCTGCCATGATAACTTTTCCTTTTGCTACTGTCCTTGCACCACCTGCCCTATTTAGAGCAAGCAGGCCCTACATTAGCACCCACAATGGTCAAGCAAATGCTGAGGGGCCCCCCCAGGACTGACACTTGCCTGCTGCACCCTTGCTGACTCCCCCTCCCCTAAAGCTGGCTTCCCTAATCTGCCACCCTCTCAGATACTCACCGCCCTGAATCACAATTTGGGAGAAAGGCAGGATATAAATACATTAAGTAATAATATTCAGCAGCCCAACAGGCATTGGCTGAGTCCTCTTCCTGTCTAATATGGGAGGAGAGAATAGCTAGTCCAAAATAACACAGGCTGAGGGATGGCTGGAATGAAGCACCAAAATCGACAGTAACATGTATTTCTATCCTGCCAGCTGTCTGTTACACATATGTATGGTGATGGTTATGGGATTTCATGGAGGCAAAGATGGAACAAGAAAATTGGGAGGACCGGGTATTTTAGTAGTAATTATGCCCCTTAGAGAGGGGGGGACCACTGGATCCTGAAGATCTACCACTCTGCAGGTGGAGTAGATGGTCCACTACTAGAGGCCAATGGTGATAGGAAAAGAATAGGGCCACATTGTGATGGATCAAGGAGGCCTTGGATTCAAATCCATCTCACTCCCAACAAGCCCACAAGAAGCGAGAAAAACTATGCCTGCCCAGAGGCGTAGCATGGGGGGGCATTGGTGCAATTTTGAGAGGGGGCCCAAAAAGGTGCCCCCACAGCAGGCTCCTTCATCGGAGCAGGTCTGACCTGCCGGCAGAAAGCAGGAGAGGCAGCAGTAAAGCTGCTGTCCACCCTCCTAGGCGGCAAGGCGCCTTGCGCCTGGCTGCAGTAGCTCTGCCTCCGCCACTGGGTCAGGCTTGACCCGGTGGCAGACAGCAGGGGGAGAGAGAGTGGCAAAGCTGCCTCCCACTCTCCTCAGCCAATTCTTGGCCATAGCAGCTCTCCTGCCAGGTCGGGCCTGACCCAGCAGCGGAAAGCAGGAAGAGAATAGGCAGGAGCTCCCCACCTCTCTCCAACCTTGTACTCTGGCACACTGGAGGGTGCCCTCCGCACTCCTCGGGGGCATGTTCTGCAACCCGCCACAGGTAGCGCAGGCATACGCTCCACTGCTGTGCCTGCCTTATAGCTGGTGTATTTAGTTTCCTTCACTCAAAGGCACAAAAATATAACGGCAACAAAGCCCAACAAAATAGGAGGCAGGAGAAGATTACCTGGGGAACAAAGGGCTCACATGAATTGAGGTGTGTCTGTTACCTTATTTTAGTAGTGTATATGAAACAAGCTATGGAAGGAGGAAGTAATTATGGGCACAGGTAAACAGGCACAAAGCCTTTATAGCTTCCTATATTTTAATGCTTCTTCAAACTTTAACCTTCATTCCTTCATTAGATCAGGGAAGTGCAATCCTTCCTACCTGGTCCTATTTCTTTAGAAACATGCATTTCCCACTCTGAGAACCACAGCACAACAAACCTGACTTTAATAAAACTGAATGTATCACTGGTATTTATCATAGGTACCATGTGGTGACAATTCTTACATAGCTTTTGAGGTCTGCAATAACAGGCAAGACTTATCTATGCAAACAGAAAACAATGAACCACTCTCTCATAACAGTACAAAAAGATGTGGCTCAAGCACAGAAAGGTGCTTTTAAAGCCATATACATTCAAGTGTAGTTAAGCACTACTGTGCTCACTGCAGTTGCAAGTTATCAACCCTGGGTTGAACTGAAAAGGCTAGAGATACAGAATCAGAAAGTTCTAAAGACAGACCTACAACTGTCTGGACAAAGACACCATGCATTTTGTTTTAAATGACTGGCAGTGCAACCCTATACATCAGGAATGGGGAATGTCAGACAGAGGAGCTAAATTCAGCCCTGAAGGCCTCTCTCTATGCAGCCCTGGGGCCACACCCACCATTAGCATAAGACATCCAGAAGGTTCCTCACAAGGGAATGTGGCCATAGAAATGAAAAACGTTCCCCACCTCTGGTCAGAAGTAAGCATGATGGGTTCAAGAGAACTTACTCCCAGGTAAGTGTGCATAAGATTGCACCCTGAGTCAATTCCCTGCATGGGAAGAACTAAAGTCACAATCACACTGTCTCACCTATCTGACAACTCACAAGTTGATGTGAGTAAACTGTTCAACCATTGAATGTGGACACAAGCAGGCATAAAAACACTTAAGGTATTTTATGTTGGTTAAACTTCTGCTGGCATAGATTGTACACACTTCCGAGGTTTAGAAATCTTTTCCAAGACCAAAACATAAAAAATGAGATGCTGATGGCTTGAAATGCACATGTAGATTAATTTAACAAACTGAAACAAATATGGAATCCACAAAACGAAAGAAAACTATGGGAAGAGTAGCACATTTTTTTTGTCGAAGTTATTACCATATAGAAAGGATCAAGCATGCAACAACATGCACATTTAATGGGTGGCAAGGACAAAGTAGAAAAAAGCATCATGTGACTGCAGACAGCTTTGCCATAACCATTGTCTTTTAATGTGCAGATTTTCGATTTTCATTTGTGTACATGCAAAGCCTTTAGTTTTTTCAGAAAGCAACATGATGATGAACTCTTTAACAAGGAATTTCCACTACACCATTTCCTCCAGTGGAAGCCTCCGTTGGTTCAGAGTTCTTTCTGTGAACAGAATAAGCCCTTATGTTCATGGGAGGGCATGCTTGGATCGCAATCCATTGTTCTTAATAGGCTAGCCTTATCGTAATTGGGAAAGCTGGAGAAAATAAGTCAGCACTAGTAAAAATACTTTTGAATGCCACAGGGGATCACTAGTCATACATAACATATTATTTCCTAAGGTGAACAACTTGCACATGTTTCGTTTTTACGATACTTGTCACAGCATTTAACTCTTGAGCAACATTAATCAAATCTAAATGTGCAAAGTATATACAAATAAACACCATTTACCTTGTTTCTGTTCTTCTCCTGGCTCTGTTCCAATGCAACATCATGACCACCCTGAGAAAAGCTCAGGGTGCTACTAGAACTATGCTCTTTATGGCTGTCTCCAAACCAGGAGAAAGGCATACAAGTTGGGATAGGGGAATCTGAATCTGACGCAGATAAGTTGTTGACAGAGTCTTCCAGCAATTCTCGAGAGCCCCTGAAAGAATGTAATTTTTCATGTATGAGCTTTGACAATCTATGGTACAAATAATCATACCATGTGGAACAGATATGACATAAGAGTCATATTTTCATCATCAGTACACGACAACACATTATACACCACACAGTTTAAAGCAATTTAATGTTATTCAGACTAGTAGGTCTAAATTATTATGTATAAAATATTTCAGAAGTAGCTTTCCTGCTATGTTATCTTTTTACAAACTGGGCACTAGTATGTTACCAGCTATGAAACACTTTAAAAGTAAATCTGATTGCCTTTGAATACTTTCCTTTTTCAAAAAGACTGAAACTGAGGTTCAACATTCTAACAATGAACGCGATATAAAATTGAGAATGATGTATATTCATTCAGATGACTGTTCAAATTGCACAATTCATTGGAATGCATAGTTAAGAACATAAAATGCTTCTCTAAGTACCGGCTATCTAGCGAACTCCTTGCATTTTCTTTTTCTTGCTTCTTCCCTTTACCACCAGATTTTCTTAGGCCCCTGAAATTAAAGAAAGTAGTTTAATAAAACGCACAAATTAGCTAAGTCAAATCTGTCCCAATATATCTGTGGCATACTGCAAAATAAATCAATAGGTTTCACACAATTGTCAATTCACACTAGTCAAGTATAGTAATGGGAAGTGGGGTAAATGAGAGAACAAGTAGATCAATCCCCAATTGACCACAAGCAATCAAGTTAAACTGAAATGACCCACTATCTTTGAACCAGCCCAATTGTCAATTATAAATAGAAATATGGTTCACATTTCAAATGTATTTCACAGTGCAATCAATTATAACAAATATTTTGTAATATTCCATTATGAGAATATACACTGAAGGAAAAAAAGAAGCAACTCATCATCATATAACCTAGTAAATATAACTCAAGACACATAGGTGCATCCTTAGCTGTTGATATCTATGGTCTCTCCCCCAAAACAAGAATTGTCTTGAACACCCACAACTTTACATCCCATCCCATCTGTGCCTTCTTTGCTCTGTGCTACAATGGTGGCTGCTGTTATGAGCCAGAGTTCATGTCTTGGGTTTCAAAGGAGAGGGATACAAAGGAACGATTTCCAGACTTCTCCAGAGTGAAGCTGTCACTACACATGAATAATTATTTCAGTTATGAGCTATAGACATACACTGTAATTTTACCCTCAACTCTGACAGGGGAACCTGTGCATCCTTCTCTAAAGATGCACAAAGTTAAACAACAATAAAAGCATTCCACTTTAAAAATAACTTGCTGGTCTCATACAGAACCAACTGCAATTTAGCTAGATTTATTATCTCAAATTTTAAACATAAAAGCCCTACAATAAAAGATATAACCTTTATATGTTGTCATAATGCAACAGAACAACGTTCTTTATTTATCTGAATGTGTATGGTCTGATCCTAAAGGTGCCTATCCCAAATAAAATTTATTTCTTATTGAAGTGTGTTTAAGATTGCAGACTGAGGCAAAGCCATTCCCAAAGATCAGTCACTCAAGCACTGAAGGACCCTTACGGCATGAAGCAAATTATTAAAGCTTTGAGATGCCAGAGGAACAAAGAAGTTTGAAGCGCGGTTATTTCCACTTACGCGTATTCTTCAAACCAGTGTCATCTTCAATTTTGAGACAATCATGCACACAATTATTCCCAGCTGCCAGTTATGCAGATTAGCATCAAATTTGTTTTTGACACATGATAAAACTGCAGTTCAGTTACAGGAACTTTTAACAAACATTCTATCATTTAAAAACATGCACTCCGTACCCAAAATCTGGGAAACGCCTTTTGGACTTGCCCGCAGAGGCACCTTCACTTGATTCAGTCTTTTCTTCACTTCGTTTGTCATCTGTGTAAAATAAAATAATGACATAAGAAGTCTAACACTGATATACTTCCTAACTTAAAAGAAAGCAAAGCCTCTTCTATAGATAAGCGCAACAGAAACTGTACTGTGCTGACAAACATTTTGCAATATATTGTTCTTTGCTTTTGCAAGGTGACATCAAATGACTGAAGCATACTGACTGTGCAATTTCTTGCATTTAAATAGAAGATTAAATATTACATTAAATTTACAGTGTTGCTTACATTAGAGGCATAATGTACAAGAATGGAGAAACAGCAATTGTTTAACTTTTAATAGCAGGAGGCAAGAACCACTCTGTGTATCAACAGTTTTTCAGGACTTAAAATTTTTAAACACTAGGAATTTTAAATTACCTTTATTCACTCTTCCTTTGCCTTTTGAGTCTCTATGCTTGACATTTCTGCTGCATCCTGAAGGAGAATTTGGAGTTGTATCATCATTAGAAGCTGGCTGAGTTGTTTCAGGACTATTTTCTGTGTTTGGTTTATATACTGGAGAAGAGTGCAAGGAAGTTGATGGACTTGATTCTAATAAACTGTCAGTGCTTTCAGCATGCTCATGCTTCTCATCTCTTTGATCTACATCACTCTGCTGATGTGATGAAATGATCTTCTCTGTCACTTCTGAAGATCTGCTCTGGATTATTTCCTCTGTATTATTATCATCATTATCCACATCCTAAAAATGTATTAAGAAATAAAAGTTTTTAAATTTAAAGTTTTAATAATTGCCTAAGTCCAAGGTACCAAATGCTTATGTACTTCAAGTAATCATACAACCACTGTTCAATACTTTTTTATTTAATATATTATTTGTATTAAATTACATGCCTCATACTTGGCTATATTAGGGGTGGAGTTTTCAGATAAATTTGTTGTGGTGGCAGCAGGAAGAGAGATTTACTGAAATGTGCAGCAAAAACCCAGCTCACAGCAGGACATTTTATTAAGGGTGGAAAGGTGGTACAGAGGAGTGTTGGGTAAATGATAAAATTAATCTCATCAGTGAGTGCATTTAAACAAAGTTAAATTATATCTGGAGGGGAATCAATAAAGTGAATACTGTACCAGCAAGTTTATTTCCTTCTGTCCAGCCCCAAGAGATGCTTTCAGCTTTGACCGAGAAGGTGGCTGACGTTTCACTTTCAAGGCAAGCTGGGCTTTTGCTTTATGTGCACTGGTGTCTAACCTTGGTGTGTCCCCAACAAAAGTATCAAAATCTGTAAACAAAACAAAACAAAACAAAACAAAGTTACCTTAAAAATGATATTTCAGCAACAGAACCTCTGTCTCCCCATTCCCTCCCTAACAAAATTAGTCAGTGCTCTTTTATAAGCTTGCATTCAATGTCTTAAGTAATCTGACTCTCTATAAATTGAATGGAAACACAGAATTCAGACTCCAAAGCTTGCACACCCTTTTCAGTAGCGCAGCTGGTTCAATAAAATGCACTTTTATAAGTTGTTTGTTAAGTTCTTTGTTAGTACACAACAGTCAGGACCATACCTGAGTTTTACAACAGAAGGCATTACCTTGCTGAATTAGCAAACAGATGGCAATTCAAAGTGGATTGTATTAAAGAATATATTGAAGAACTTAAAAATTTTGCTTGTACTGTGCACCTTTTACAGGTTGATTAACAGTTGTCTAACAGTTGTCTAATACTACATACCTAATTTATTACTTCACTGAGGATACAAAATGTATATGTTCTTCTCATTATGTATGCAACTTCTGTGCATACCATGAGTAAGGATATCAGGAGATCTTTATTACAGGATGTTGGGAGATGCATATCCCAGTGCTCCTATCACTTAACTCCAGTTAAGGATCTGCCCTGGTCAGATTTAGATTGACTTTTAAGATGACCATTGCACTTTCTGTTGGAGCAGCTACAAGCAAGTTTTCCCCTTAGAAAGAGGAAACATATTTCATTTAAAAAAAAAAGACATATTCCTTAGCAGGGACTCTTTCAGTTAGGAACCCTGAAGACAACTAGACTCAGCAATACAGTTGTGGTGAACCTTTTGATGCCAGCAGGCTAAATTGTTACCTCCCCCAAACCCTGTGGGCCATTTCACAGCAATCATCTGAAGTCACCATTCTGTCAGGTGAAATGTTTTCCTATGCCCACATGATTTAAAATCAACATTGCAGGCAAAGGCTTAGGGGGCATGCAGACGCCAAGAGTCAGTTGATCTGTGTGCCTGCAAGCAGTTTCCTGTGCCCAATGGTCTGGAATCGGTGTTAGAAACTGAGAAATGAAAGCTAGGAGCTAAATGGCACCTTAAACCTAGGTTATGGGTGCAACAATGGGGGGTCGGCAAACTAAGGCTCGGGGGGACGGATGCGGCCCACCGGGCTCGTTAATCTGGCCCACAAACCTTGCCTGCCGCAAGTCAGCCCCCGCGCTAACCAGCACAGAGCGGAGGCCTCGTCGCATGGGGACTGACTTCCGCGACACTGGCACGGCTTCAGATTGGCCCCAGGAAGCCCCTGCATACAATCCAAAGCCGTGGACACCTCTGGGCAATGCCCCTTCCTTCCCGCTGAGATGGCTGTGCATGGCCAAGACCTGAGCGGGAGGAAAAGGCAACGGCAGGGAGGCTGCCTTCGCCGCCAAGGCCAGCGGCCTGGGCTCTGTGCCCCACGGACCCCTAGCCGAGGCAGAGAACGACGACGACACTGCCGAAGACAAGGCGGTGTCAACAGCTGCGGTGTGAGTGGAGTGGCGGCGGTGGGGTGCTTTCAGGAGAGGGTGGGTCCGGCCCCCCACAAGGTCGAGGGACAGTGGACCGGCTCCCTCCTGAAAAAGTTTGCTGACCCCTGGTCTAGGTGCACTTTTTTAATAGCAAGAATACAAAGCTGAAAAGGAATGAACTGCAGCTAAAATATTATGCTCATTTTTCACATGGTGTAGTCCTCCTCCTCCCCACCCACCCTAATATTCTTAAGAGGGTATCTTCTCCAGTCCTCATAGAGTAGCTGGAAGTGGGGAGGCAGAAAAAGGTCCTCCTTTCCTTCAACTCCACAGTTTTAATCTGAAATCTTTGGTGCAGTACTGCGCCCAGAGCTCAGAAACTACTTGTGCTAATGAAATTCCCTGTCGCAAAATGCGCCTAGAAAAATGGGAGTTTCGAACGCTGGCTGGAATCAAACAATACAGGGGAAGTATCCAAGGTTTTCAGGGTTGGAGGTTCCCACTGATGCAGTAAAAGTGCAGTAAAGGTTTTAAGCCCTGAAATAGCCCTATTTATACACAAAGGGAATCAGTATTATTCCTGCTTCATCAGACTGAAGCTTCACCTAGGGACTAACAGTTCTACTTACTAGCAAGATTGACACCTTCCACTGTAAAATTCATAGCAACAACATATAGCACATATTTAAGAAATCAAAGAAATAAATGCTGCTGAATTTCTACTTTTACTTACCAGAAAAATCCAGTTTCTCTATTGAAGACTCAAATTCTTGAACATCATCTTTTACTTCAAGGTTTTCTGTAAGTTGTTCAGGACTTGGAGTTGCAGTTTCAAATAAACTGCTATTTCCAAACATAAATGGGAGTCTCTCATATATTTTTAATTTATCTTCAAGCTCTGAAATCTGAAAATGTTACAATGCAATTTAAAAATCAATAAAGCAGTTTTTAACATATTTAAAGCCAGTAATTACTAAGTCATCTTGTCTAACCTTCTCCTGCAATATTTTCAGCTGATTTACATGCTCCTGGTCTCTCTCTCCAATAATTTTTGTATGATCCTCTTCCTTTTTCATGAGTTCTACTTCTCTGGAAGGGGAAAGAAACAGTCACATTATGCAATTCAGAAGGAGCTAGTTGAGCTAGTTATCATGTTGAGCTAGTTATCAACGTGCATTGAAAAACTAAAAATAACTACCAGTATATATTGTTAAGTCTTCTACTTTTACAATCTCATCTCTTACACAGTATTATTCTGGTTGTTATATACAACTAGTGACCACCAACATCTCCATGAAATTGCAGCTTCCTGTCCTCTTTCTTACTACTTGTTCTTTGTTCTCCCACTCACTCCCTTCCTGCCCACATCTACTCTTTCTATTGCCACTGTCCTCTCCTGCTTACCAAGATGGCCTGTTCTTACCAGCAAAATACATTTTTAAGTAATCTCATTGTTTTTTATTAACCTGACCAGTTCCATTTTTCCTTAAGACCAAAACATTGTAAGCAGCCTGATGGATTCAATTTTCTTGCATGCCTCTGAATGCACATACAGAAGACCCTGTTGCAGGATTTGACTAACCAGTCTAAGGAGAAAATGTGTTGTGGTTTTCTATTCTACTCCCACCTGCCACCCTATTTTAAATGTTAAATCTGTTGCTTAGCAGATGTTCCATGTGACCTCCTGGTTCCTTTAAAAGTTCTTTATTTGTTTTTACTTAAAATTTACCTTTAGATTTACACACTCTGAATCCTATCCAATTTACCTCTCTGCTGTGTTTATTAGAGAATTGAGGTGCCTCAAAAAGTCTCTCAAAGCCCCTCCAAGATAATAGCAAATGATACACTATCAAAGTATTGTCACTTTGTTTTTAAATACTCTGTAGAAACTACATGGTGTATCTGTCAGATGATGAGATAGATGTTGTAAACGATGCATTTTCCCATTGTGGCATCAACTTAGATAACTTCCCTCTATTTATGCTTTCCATGTTTCAGAGTGTTTTCACTACTGAAATCAAACTCTCTTAGATTTTTCTGCATCATCCAAAATCAACCACTGACATATATGCATAACTTATAGTACATGCAAGAAATGACATGGAATGTCCTGTATGAGATTAACTGAAAGAAAATGACAATGAACTTACTTTTGCTGAAACTCTTTGAGTAATTTTTTGGCCTTGTTGTATTTTTTCTCCAGGGCATCATATTGTTCCTGAGTTTCTTTAAGATGTTCATTTACTGTTTTGCATAAACTTTGTGCTTCTAACCAATAGGTCTCCAACTTCTTTATTTTTTCTTTGTTCTCACTTAAAGTTTCCTGGAGCTGGGATTTAGTTAACTCCCATTCAATTTTTTCAGCTTCTGATGCTTTTAACTTTAAAAAACAATTCATCAGTATTAGGTATCAGCTATGTAACTCTTCACAATCATTTATGAGTCTTAAAAAAGAATAAGTCAGTTCTAATGCAGCAACATAGCTGTCAATGTTTCCCTTTTTTTAAGGGAAATTCCCTTATTCCAAATAGGATTCCTCGCAAGAAAAGGGAAAAGTTGGCAGCTATGTGCAGCAATGAAAATAAAACAACAACAGCAACAAAAAGCTACTGACTTGCATATCACTGATACAGCTAATATTGCTTTAGATTCATAGAAGTCCTTCTAGACAAAATCTGTTCAGGATTATTCATTTTACAACATATTCTCATTTTATTTTTTATTTCTGGCCACACCCCAAATAAATGAGGAACCAAACTTCTAAGATTCAGACTGCTCCTGTCAGTATGGAAGACAAATATGCTATCCCACCTTCAGAAACAAACTCATTTCTAAAGGCCTACACCATCAGACAGCTTATTGCTAGCAATATTTTGAGAGTTTCATACAAGTCATTGAAGCTGCAGTATACATTTACATTCAATCCGTATCTGCATCGGAATTTGGGGGCTTTTTTGGTTGAAGAGTGGGATTAAAAGGCTTTAAATAAATGAAATTGGCAATGGTGTTGTCAGATCCAAGGCTTGAGTAACATTTACGAGTTTCATAGAAGATGCTTTTGCAGAGGTTCCTGTTTTCTCCCTACCATGTAAGCAGTTGTCCCAGTGCAGCTTGAGATTTACTTTTCATACTGTACTTTAGATAGAAGGAAAGAGAGTAGCCATAGCCGGAACTGGTCTGTGACCGTAATAATAAAATTCATTCATTCAGTAGCCATAGCTCACTCTGTGCGACAAGTCATTGCCACTCTGCTATTAAAATGATAATGTAGGAATAATATTGACAGATCAAAGACTCCTATTGAAATTTACATAGAATGAATCTACTTTGCCTGTCAGATATTTTCCCAACACAGTTCTGCAGTGATTGAAAAATCCACACCTGGTACAGTTTTTTATGCTAACATTCAATTTATTTGTGTGTGTCTGTGTGCGCACGCGCTTTCCTTATCAACAAATGTTGCAATTCTCCATCTTAATAAAACTTTCAGCACATAGACAACATACCAACATTTCTACAGTGCACCTGGTAAAATTTTCCCTTCTGTAGCAGGAGGTAAGAAATCAGACTGCACCATGTAATTCTCAAGCCTGGCACTATAGATGATGAAGGGAAAGAAGGTTGTTCTCTTCACAAAGTGAGAATAGGCAGCAGACAAAGGTGTGTTGGAAATAAAACTGGGGTGCACAGAGCAAGATCTAATGCAATCTTCCTCCGATACAGTTGCCATTTCTACCTGGATGGTTCTGAGCTTGCTTTTGTTTCCAAAGCATTATTACATGGAATAATTTAATAAACACATCATATTTATATTTAAAACAAAAATACCAAGAGAAAGGAAAAAATATACAAGGACCAACATCCTTCATCAATCATCATAAATAATTTATTTAAATAATGAGCTTACTTGCTTTGATTAAAGTTTGGTTTCACCATAGCTGTCCTCAGCATATCCACATACAAACCAAAACAATTTTCATTTATCATTATATATTAAAACTGTACCTTTTCCTTAAGTTGGTTAACTTCAGCTGTCGTAACTGCATGCTTCAACTGTAGCTACAAAAGGATAATAAAAAACAACTTGTCAGAGGAGAAAACAATGGGTATATGAAAGGTGGTTGTTTTTGTAAGATCATTAAGTCCTTAAACACAGTAATTCTATACTGCAGTTTCTACTGCTATGTTCAGAGTATCTCTAAACATAAAAAGGATCTATGAAGCAAGTGAGATCTATTTATCTGCAATGTAATATTTATGGTGAGCACACTGTGCTTATTGGATGAGTTTGCTGGTGTATGTATTCCTATTTCTGAGTCAACCACTCATTTCCAACTATTGCTGGTTCAGGAATGTAATGCTAACACATACTTTTTACCGAATATCTAACATAAAATATGAAAGCAAACATAAAATCTAACATAAAATATGAAAGCAAATAAAAATATGAAAGCAAATAAAAAAGCTTTCTGGAAAAAAAGATCTGAATTTAAATATTTTTTTTTTTTTTTAAGGCAATTTATTGGGTTTTACAATAAAAATAAACATATTAAACAATATGACCTTTGTCTTGACATAATTTCACATTTTCTTTGGACTTCCTCACATCTCCCGCTCCCACTTTCATCGTTATAACATTTTGTCAGCAATTTATCATCTTATTTAAATTCTTATATCGCTTCTATATTTCATAATCTTATAATTTTCAAAGGGAATTAAATTTTCACAGTCTTACTTATTTTCATAGAAAACTTCTAAATTTAGTGGTGCTCAGTTATTTTAGTCTAGCATCTTATTTAGCATTCACTCAAATTGCAATATTTTTGTAAATAGTTCTTAAATTTCTTCCAATCCTCCTCAATCCTTTCTTCTCCCAGGTCACGGATTCTGCCGTGAATTTAAATATTTTTAAAGGTAAGTGATCAAGTTTCATTATTCACTGACAGAATTCTAAGAAGGAAAACATTTCAGACTGATTATCCTTTGCAAGATAACAATAAAAGAAGTGATCCACTACTAACTTATGAAACTCTCAGGGTTGCAGCATGACCAAAGGAGCATAATTCAAATGAGAACAAACAACCAAGTCCCTAGCTCACACATGTGGAGACTGAAAGATTATACTTTCGGTCTTGAATAGTTTTGTGTTTTTTAAAAAGCACCTCTGGAGAAGTATATTCTGAAGGCTTGATATTACACATGCCAATGCAAAAACAAGTTTTGTTTTTTATATCAGAAAGTTAGTAAGGTCTATCTGATAAAGACTCAGATCTAAATGTCCCCTGAAGAAGCTCAACGTAAAGATTTTGAGGCCGCTGAAGACATCACCCATAGAACTCAGAATAACTGTGAAAGCACACTTCAGTACTGCTCTCCCAGTGCAGATGAGGAAGAAACTTCAACCAAACAGGGAAGCTCCTGGATGTAAACAGAAGAACCAATATGGATCTAAGAGACTCTTTGGATTTCAACCTATGTTTATTATTACTTGCTCAGTTGATATCACCCTATGTTTTCACCTATCTGCAGTTTATCCATGTTGCTTTAATTTAAATGAGTTGCCTTGAGCCTCACTTCTGGGGGAAAGGTGTGAAATAAAGGCAGGCAAGCAGGCAGTGGAATGGATATAGTTCTGTAATCAGTAAAATATACTGCCAATATATAGCTAACATATATTGATAAATTTCTGCTAACTTGCTCTTTTTCCGTGAAATCTACCATTTGAGAAGTGATTTGCTAATAAATTATTCTTTTCATAAAGGAACAGCAGAAGATTTAAGGAGAAAAATATCCTTAGATCTAGAATTACAGTGTAGATGCTGTAACCAAACCTTGGTTAAGTAAAACTGAATTAACGTGTCAGCTCCTGGAGAGTTGATTGCAGTCATTTTGCTGCTCCCAGTCCTCTTTGCAACCATGCCACACTAAGCTAAATTGCCTGAACTAGGACTCATGGTTAAGGTTTGCTCTTTGTTACAGGCTCATGGTTAGGGAGGAGGGAGCTTAACCATGACTCCCAGCTCAGATGACATGTTAAGCCAAACCTTAGCTCAGTGCAGCACAGCAGCAAAAAAGTGTCAGGGAGGAGCAAAGCAGATTTAAGGCAGAAGCCTGCACATTTGTGCAGTCTAAGGCAAATGTGTGAATCATGCTAATGTCTGTAGACAATAGAACATGTAACAGGGACATGTAATGGAGTCCAACCAAAATTAATTACCCATTTAATAGGCAGCAAATCATTGCATCATACCTCTTTAAACTTCAACAGAAACTGTGTAGAATCCATGTCTAGTGGCAAATTAATATCCTCATTTTCAGGAAGATAAAACACTTCCACCGATTTTCCATGTAAATGTGATTCAAAAGAATCTTCATCTTCATCATAATCATCATCCTGAAAAGGTATTATGTATTATAGAAAATAAGTACAACTTTTTCTAACAAAGATAAAATGGCTTTGAAATGTCACTTCTATATTTTTGCATTTAAAATAATAACAACAACAACCTGTGTAAATCCATACACAATTCAACTTGAAATACTCAAAAACAGTTGCCTCACTTCAAAAAGCATATTGTAAAGTTGGAAAAGGTTCAAGAAAAGACAATCAAAATGATCAAGGGAGTGGAAAAACTCCCATTTAATAAGTTACAGAATCTGGGGCTTTTAAGTTTAGAGAAAAGTCAAGCAGGAGGCTACATGATAGCAGTGTATAAAATTATTCATGACATGGAGAAAGCAGGTGGAGAAGTGTTTCCTCTACTCTCTTGTAACACTACACATTTTTCTTGCATTTGCTGTCCAAAAAAGACACATACTAGTTTTGAACTCCATTGTATTTGATCATTATAGGAGGGCACTTCTCAGGTACAAACATATCCAAAAGCTTTTAGTTGCATAGATTACTTTATTACAGCTTTTACATTAGAAGTCAGCAACCAGAGTCCGCTGGGACTAAATCCGGTCAACTGAGGAGTGCAACCTGCCCCCTCACAGACACCTAAGTTGAAGAGAAAAATACAGTAACTGGTAACAAAAAGCAAGATACCGTATTTTTCTGTGTATAACACAACCCCATGTATAATACAACCCCTACTTTTGGGAGCCCAAAATTTAGAAATCGTTATTTTAAAGTTGTTCAGCTTTTGGGGGAAATCACCCAAAAGGTTGTTGAGTTTTTTTATGGCGATTCCCCACTCGATCCCTTGCACCTCAGCACAGCCTCGCCTCGCCTCTCCAGTCTGTGTCTGGCTTCGCCTCACCTCAGCCAGAGAAAGTTGACGGCGCCACGGCCAGGCTCCCTCCTCACCTCAACACCGTCTCACCTCTCCGTGGCCCTGAGTACCAGCTCACCCAAGACTTACTATATAAATCTGTGCATAAGACAACCCCCAATTTTGACTAAAAATTTGGGGGGGAAACATTTGTCTTGTACACAGAAAAATACTGTACTTTATAGGCTGGTGGTTAATATACTGGCCCACTATCTCTCTCATTTCTCAAAATAGCTCTTTAAGAAAGCTACTTGCTGGCTAGGGCTATAGATTAAACATCTGCTGTCCACTCAGCATCCTCCAGGAAAGGAAAAGGTTTGCTGAAATATTTTGAACATGTACAGTGGGAAGTTGTAATATTTCTTTCTATTACTGGTGTTCAGGGTAAGTGACAATCTCTACACATTCAAAACATCACCACCCACAAAGATGGAGCAAATGCTTGGGGGACCCTGGGAGTTTACTTGGGTGAAGGAATAGAAAGCAAAAATGGCAGTGGATTCAGTCAGCAAAGTTGCCCATTCACATTATGAACTATATTTGACTGGTAAGGCTGAACGTGACTGTACCGCCTCGTGATTATGTGGACAGTTATGAGGAGTGGAGAACACAGCAAGATCAGCAGGAAACGGGGCTCAGAATGAGCCAAGAGAAGAACTTGGGAGCAGGGCATAGGAGAGGAAAGGTGTACAACGTACATGCAATGTTGTATTTTAATTGATACCTGTTCTGTATCATCATGGGCATACTGATGCTCATACAAACATCTCTCCTGCTCCAATGTCTCACTTATAAGTCGAGCTACTTCACTCTGAGTTCCTGGTTTTTCTCTTCCAATCAGAAACCTACAGAAAACCATCAACCACCATCAATAAGTCAAATATAAAATGACAGTGTCACCAGCAGGAAATAATTTTAATACTTCCCCTTCAACTCTATTACTAAAAAAACCCTGCTTAGCTATTTTATAAAATTACACATACCTGACTGTGCCTTTTGTATTTTTTAGTACAGTTGCTGCAAAAAACTGGGTTACTCCAACAAGACTTATACCATCAACTTCAACAATTTGATCATTTACTTGGATTCTGCAAGGCAAAGAATAAACGTATTTGGTATTACACACCACACTATATTTGTTTTAAAAAAAAGGGCATTTGAATGAAAACAATAAAAAGCATATGAGTAAGGGCCTGTCTGGTCATTATGTTCTACAGAACACACCCTACAGAATATTTTCAATGGTAACTTTTGGATAGATTATTAATTCTATTTATATCCCACCTTTCCTCACAAATGAGCCCCCTCCCACAGGGAAAAAGAAACTAAAGATCTAAACCAGACTCAAATATGCTTGCTTTAAAAATGAAAGTATATGTTTAAAGTGCAGGTAGGGACTTGGAGAGTATATATTTAAACTAGTTATGAACTTCTTAAGGAGGCAATATGCACTTGCTCGATTCCAAGTGATACATTTTTGATAACGAAGAGCTTGTGTAAGATCCTATCTGCACCTTCCTTCTGTTACAGTGGTAATAAGCAAGCTTCTAGGGGTTGGAGAACCTTCTAGAATGACATTCAGCACAATATAGGGGCTGTAATCTCATAGGATATTTAAAGAAGACATCCACCTTTGCACACTAACACTGCATGAGTGAAAAAATAGAATTTACATGGCCTACTGTGTTGTGCAACTATCTCTCTAATACACAATATCCTTATAGAAGGAAAACATGGTTTCCCATTTCACCTGAACTGAACCAGTGAAACATTAAGATACTGAAAGTAATAAAACTTAGTTCATATACTTTTACTCTGGCTTGGTTTTACTAATATCTGCAAAACAGAATAAGCATTCCTAGCGGAAACTTACCGACCGTCTTTCTGAGCAGCTCCACCTTCAGTAATCGTTTTTACAAAGATTCCCAGCTTTTCCAGTCCCTGATCTGCACCAACACCCATTCCAATAATACTGATACCTAAACCACTGTCACCTATGGGTTACAAAAGAAAAGAAAAAGACTGTGTATTTTTAAAATTAGATTCATAGCTAATAATTATTGGTCATATGTGCAAAATGCCTTACTGGCTTAATATAGTATTTAAATCATAAACAAGAAGTCATTCTATGATGACTGAAGTAAGAAGTGCATTTATGCATTCTTAAAAAAAGAATGATGTACTGTGACAAACCAATGAATTCTGTTTTTGCACGCATTCCCGTACTGTACAATCTTCCATTCAATTTTCAAAAATATTTCTATTTCAGCCTTCCAGGCTTTATCAAACATTCAAGAAGCAATCCTAAACTCAGCTAACAAGGCCTTTCATTAGTCTTCTATGTCTACTCACAATTCCCATCAACTTCACCAAGGCTTAATTCTAGGCCATTTTGACCACTTTGGCCTGAAAGTAAAAGTTATTTTTGCAGGATAAATGTTTAAAATGCATACCTTTTTCAATTTCCACAGGAAAAACCTCCATTTTCTCCACCCTTTTCTCAAGTTCATACTCAGCTGATGCTGACACAGGGTCAACCTCTTCATTACGTCTATCATAGTCTTCATTTGAGTAAGTACTGAATACCTAAGAAAATAAGAGATGGTTTTAGAACAGTTTTGCACTCATGAGAGTTCACTAGATCTAAAAACCAGATACTATTTGCATGTAAATACTAATACAGAACCCTTCATTTTCCTACCCCTTTTGCAATTTCTCTAACCAATGAAGTATATGAAGTCTTTACCCAAAGTCATCAACTCCACACAAAGTTAACCAAAATTCCACATCAAAGGAATAAAAGATTTAGTCTTAACATAAGAATATGAGTTATATCTCCTAACTTAAATAATTTGGTCTGCTTCCATGGCCCAGTTTTCAAATGAACGAATAATCAAAATTATTTTAAAAACAACACAAAGAAACAAAAGGTATGAAGATTGGGTATAGGCAGCCCACTGAGCTAAGACAAAAGAAAGAGGTAGAAAACATGCAAAAAGGAAAAACCTGTTCTCAAAAGTGTCAATGAATAAGATTTATTACAATTCAATGTATTTCAGGGTGCAGTTCCTTCTTCAGGAACAATGTACAGATAATTAAAAATATAGAAGTCAAATAATGTGATAAGAACAAAATACAATACAGTGGTACCTCGGGTTACATACGCTTCAGGTTACATACGCTTCAGGTTACAGACTCCGCTAACCCAGAAATAATGCATCAGGTTAAGCACTTTGCTTCAGGATGAGAACAGAAATCGTGCTCCAGCGGCGCGGCAGCAGCAGGAGGCCCCATTAGCTAAAGTGGTGCTTCAGGTTAAGAACAGTTTCAGGTTAAGAAAGGACCTCCGGAACGAATTAAGTACTTAACCCGAGGTACCACTGTACAGTGCTTATCAATGGCTTGTAATAAAACTTATCAATTTGCGCTTTTGAGAATAGGCTTCTATTTTTTGCATTCTTTCTGTTTGTGTGTCTTCCTCTTGGATTTTTGGCAAAAGACAACAGTAGTGATAAACAAAAAAACAAAAAGGTGCTGACAGGAGTCAGGGAGTCCCTGACTACTGAAAACTCTTCACATCTACTTTTTCAGCACATTTTTTGAGCTCTACTTTGGACAGGATAGTCTGAAAAACATACAAGCCAAAACCTGGTTTGAAGTATGCTAGTTTTTTCTGTTTGCAGATGGCAAAAATCTGCATTGAAAGCTACTACACTTTTTCAAAGAAGGGTGTCTTTGGTAAAGTATTTTTAAAAACAAAACAAAAAAACAAAACTTATACATGTTTGGTTTTTTTCTACTGAGTTATTTTACTCAGTTCCATCTATTTCATGGGACATATTCTAATATTATAATATAATTTGTTAATAATATAATCTTAGTAATGTGTTTGTTCTGTGCAGAATCAAATTGTTTCCAGGAACAGGAAACATGAAGTTTCTGATAACACTATATTTAGTAATCTTGGCAGTAATCCAAAATGCCTCAGAAAAAGTAGACAAATATTTGTTATGTATTTACTACAGGAATGAAGATGTCCTTCTTTCAGAAAATGCTTTTATTCAAATTAAACCTGTTTCTGAAATCAAGCCACATAGCAGAAATAGCAACTGCTATATCTTGAGATCCTTGGAAGATAAAGGTGGTATATAAATGAAATGAATAAATAGATAAATAAACAAATAGTATGATCTGTACCAGCTTCTTTTAAAATAATCAAGTTACTAGACATGGACGAAAAAAATTCTCATAATCAAATTTCTTCATATAAGAGTTTTTATTCCCTAGGTATCACTGAAGTGCTATCTAACTAATTCAGAATTCTGGGCTGTTACACAAAATTTCCAAGAACAGTCTTTGACGTTGCACACAAGTAGTAACGGGAAGTATTAACGATTCACAATTGCTGTATACCATGCAAAGCAGGAATTCAACCAAGTTCCATATCTAGAACCTACATACGTCAATGCATGGTTGATGCAAAAGTTCTAGCTTTGTACAGGAAGCAGAAAGGGAAAGTAGCACAAAAGAATATTACTGTATTTATATATTGCCAATATTTCTGGACATTGCAAAAAAAAACACCAAAAACTAACAAAGAGGTAGATGGGTTTCCACAGCTTACAATCCACTCTTCACAGAAGTAACAATTCTGCAAAAGTGGGAGTGGGTGGTTGGAGGAAAGGCAGTTGTCCTCTGAGAAAAGTCTGTTGGTGATGGTTATAAGACAAAGACTAGGGTTACAGAGAAAAAAGGGGGGTTGTATTAAATAAAACAGGTGATAGTAACTGAGGTTACAATTTGGATTATACTAAGCACGCAATTTACACAAGGGTTACATTCTGTGGATTGCACTTAAAGCCAAAATATTGTATTACAGTCAAAACCAACTGGGTTCAAAGGTGAGTGGGATTGCCAAAGCAATTCTTCCCAGAGCCTCACCTCTATTCCACCCATTATTATTATTATTATTATTATTATTATTATTACATAAAGCTGTATGTGCACAAGTTAAATGTGTGTAAGTTGCAGGGTATAGAGAGTATAGAGATAGTGCAACAAAACCTGTTATAGCTTTTGGGTAGAGAAATATATTTACCTCAGTTGTTTTCTTCTCAAGGTTCATGTTAGTGAAACATATTTTATTTGTAATTTATGTTTGAGTGTTTTGCTTTGGTCCTAAGAAAAAATGTTTTTAAAGAAACCCTGCTAATCACTATATTCCAAAAAGGTGCCAGCTACAACTCCTGAGATACAGTAGCTGTGAGATACGATGTGCACAGGAACCTAGTAGTGTCATGGTCAAGGCAATACAGTGGTACTTACCATAGATTCCGGCGTATAAGATGACTTTTTAACCCCGGAAAAGAGGTTAAGAAGTTGGGGGCCGTCTTATACGCCAGGTATGTCTTCCTCCCGGCGCGAAGCCCAGCACCCACTGCTGCTTCGGAAGCTGCCGCCGCCGCAGCAGTGGACAGCGGGCTCCATGCCGGGAGGAAGCCGCCCAGCGATGCTAAGCTGGCTTCGCTGGGCGGCTTCCTCCCAGCGCCGAGCCAATATATAAGACAGGGTCGTCTTATACGCCCAGTCGCCTAATATGCCGGAATCTATGGTAATTTGTTCTGGAGGTCTGTTCTTAACCTGAAGCACCACTTTAGCTAATGGGGCCTCCTGCTGCCGCTGCGCCGCCGTTGCACAATTTCCGTTCTCATTGTGAAGCAAAGGTCTTAACCCGAGGTACTATTTCTGGGTTAGCGGAGTCTGTAACTTGAAGCGTATATAACCTGAAGCGTATGTAACCCGAGGTACCACTGTACCTTGATTGGCTATCTAGGCAAGTAGGTCTCACATGTACACATACCACAAATTGCTACATGAATTATGAAGCTTCCCAGACAATAACTTCTAATGAACTGAGCTTTTAACGGAGAGAAACTAGTTTTCTGTATGTAGAGACCTATGGACAACAGCTTTGGTGCTTTCATGAATAGTGGGTGTGTGCAAATCCCAGAACTGTAGAGCTGGAAGGGACCCCAAGGGTCATCTAGTCCAAGCCCCTGCAATGCAAGAATGCATTTTCTGAGCAATTTGCTTGCCAACTAGAAATATGGGCCCCAAAAGTTTCCTATAGGAAGGTTAGATTCTGAAAACACAAACAACATCCACTGAGTTCTCCCTCACTCCAACCACACTGTCAAGGGAAAACCACCCCCTTAGCACTTCAGCACTGTGTTCACTCCCACCCTTACTGGGTACCTTTGACAAAAGTAATTGCAAGAGCCTTGCTCTTTCTGTTCCTGTGTCACAAGTGAAATAGAACTTTTACATCACACCCATCCAGGAAATGCATAAGCTAAAGTCACTGGATGATAAGCAATATTAGTCATACTCAGAACAGGACCATTGAAATCAGTGTATTTAAGTACATAAATTTTAGTTGCTGTACTCTGAGTATGACTTAGCTCTCACTCACTTGCTTTTAATCTACCATAATTATGAATTTTGGCTGTCAGTGGTTACTAGGGTGTTTGCTTTCAGAGGTTAGAGCTTGTGTGATCATTTTGGAACAAGTATTTCCCCCCCAAAATCCACAATCTTTTAAAATGAGATTTCATTCACAAGCACCAAGATACAATTAGGCCTATGGTTATTAAACTTCAGCAATGATCAGTTTATTTCCTGTTAACATGTTTTGATGTGGCAGGATGAATCAGTATGGATGATATGAACATTCCAATGTAAGTTATTTTAATTTCCATTTTTCCAGCGCCTGTTCTAATTCTGCCATTTGTAGCAGATTGTCCCCTAATAACCAAAGCTACTGGTAGTCATCTGTAATATAGATGAAATTCTATTTCTCCTAATATAAACACAGGCTCATTCAAATCTCTTAAGATCATTTTCTGTAAAGACATTTATTCTCAATGTGCTCTGAAAATTTCCACACCATCTACAGCAGGGGTGAGAAACCTGTGGCCCTCCAGATGTTGTTGAACTTCAGCTCCCATCAGCCCAGACAGTGTGGCTAATGGTCACAGATGTTGGCAGCTGTAGTCCAGCAGCATCTAAGGAAGCACAAGTTCCCTATCCCGTCTTCATTTCTAATTACGCCAATATTGGTTAAGGTATTTTAAAAGATTATCGAGTAAGATGTGTGGATACAATGGTGAGTATGAACAGAACTTCACATTCCCCAAACAACTTTGGCAACAACTGGTATTCAAAATGCTTGATGAGATATCATGCCATGTGTATGGCTGCCATTAACACCATGCAGCTAGCAGGTTAAGAAAGCTTCCCAAGCCTTCACTTCCAGCTCACAAATAACAAATGCAGTTTGTGACTTTATTTATTTTCTGCTGCTCCGGAGAGTAAGACTGAAACCAATAACTTCAAATTACAAGAAAAGGGATATAGACTGAGCATCAGGAACAACTTCCTGGCAGTATGAGCTTTTCAACAATGGGACACACTGCTATTGAAGGTGGTGAAATCTCTTTAGGGTTTTAGCAGAGGTTGGATGGTATTAGAGATACCTGCCACTTGAGGACTTTGGCAGGGGGCAGTGTATTCAGATAAGGCTGTGAATATTCTCCATCCAAAATTCTAGAGAGCTACTACCAGCCAGCATGGATGATAATGAACCAGAGGAACCAGTAGTCTAATTTGGTTTAAGACAGGTTTCTATATTCCTAGGCCCTTTCCAACTTCAAAGCCCTTTGAAAATAAAAAATATACCCCAAATATGCCAAATCACCTTTGAGAAAACAGCAGAGACTATTACATGATATGTGCAGTTTTTAGTATTATAACCAAGTATAGTTCAAAAAGCCAGAAGGGCACAAATATTCTGAGGTGACTATATTCTTCCCTTTATTTTCATAATCCACGGGAAATATAATCAATACACTTTCTGCTAGGTATATGCTTGCGCTGAGAAGTGTTCTCCATGATACAGAAAAAATCATTTTGTCAACCTCATATTTTCAAAGAACCATTCTAGAACTTGATTCTCATTACTATTATGCTTAGCAGGTTCATAAACCACAACCAAAGCATCACATTAAGGTATTCCTTACTTCCCATTTTTATTGCCACAGCTATTCCTTTTTTTACTGCCCAAACAGAAACAAAAATTTGCCTTATTACTGTACCACTGACAATGAGAAGGTTTGAATGAATTTACTCTGCTCTTCCAATGAGTAGCTTACAAAGATCTAAATGACATGACATACAAAGAAAAGGAAAAACCAGTTCTCATAACATCCAATCACAATCCCCACCCCAAGCTGAAAAGAGGATCTTTCAGTCTTGTTCCATCAAATTGGTCACAGTGAATGAGAACATTTCTATTATTAAATTTTATTATTTTAATATTATTAAACATTATTATTCATTAAATTATGAATCCTGTATAAGCTACTAGAGCTATTGGTGCAAGGAAGAAAAAAGTATGTGTCACTAAGCTGTACAAGGTAGTACAAGAGAGGGGCCTTTCAGGCCCAATTTAAGTAAGAAGCGAGAATGTCCCAAAGACTAGTTTGGGTGGGAAACCCCACCCCATTGTAAAGCGTTGATATGATAGGAAGTAGCTTATGGAAGATAATGTCAAACCCTTAAAATAAGGTACAGTATATCAAGTACACAACATTGTGATTAGCTTTCACCAAGAATTGCTTATTTACGGCCATCATAGTAATTGCCTACAATTGTATAGATTTTGAATGGTTCTATATAGGACCCCCTACATGCAAAATCTTAAGAAAGAAATGTAGCTTAGCACAATCCTAACCATCTAAGTGCAAATGCAAGAGAGGAACATTAGCATGCACTATTCTGCGCACCTGGGTCAATTACAGGGAACCATGTTAGTTGAAGAATACTGCTACTCTTTCTGAAAGTAGCAAAAAAGAGAAATAAGAACAGCAGAGAACTTCTCCCACCTCCATTGTGAGGTAGGTCAGGCTGAGATACAGTGACTGGACCAAGTTCACCCAGTGAGTCTCATGCCTCAGTAGGGATTCCAACCCCATTTTTCCCAGGTCCTAGTCTGACACTCTAACCACTAAACCATTAGGTAAGAAGGAACCTTTTTCAATTAACGATGGTTAACACTGGTACAGAGATAAACATTGACAACAGAAGGGAGAATCATGCCATAAAGGGGAGGAGATAGGCAAAAGGACTATGTGAGCTTTCCATCTACAGCGGTACCTTGGTAGTCGAACAGTGAGGCTCCCAAATACTGCAAACCCGGAAGTGAGTGTTCCAGTTTGCGAATCTTTTTCGGAAGCCAAACGTCTGACACGGCTTCTGATTGAGCACGGGAAGCTCCTGCAGCCAATCAGAAGCTGTGCCTTGGTTCTTGAACCATTTCAAGAGTTGAATGGACTCCCGGAACGGATTAAATTCAAGAACCAAGGTACCACTGTACTCCCAATCTCTGAACCACAATGTCAGATGCTCTGGGAATCAAAAATGAACTGTAAGAAAGACAAAACTGATGCTTACTACAGCAAAGTAAAAACATGTTGGCCCAAGGTAACATATGTTAGAGCAGGCTTCCTCAACCTCGGCCCTCCAGATGTTTTGAGACTACAATTCCCATCATCCCTGACCACTGGTCCTACTAACTAGGGATCGTGGGAGTTGTAGGCAAAAAACATCTGGAGGGCAGAGGTTGAGGAAGCCTGTGTTAGAGAAATGGTGGGAAAGGTATCAGCTGATTCTTTAATAGTCAGTCAAACGAAGATATCATATGATCATCAGTTGTCAACATTAGTTTACCTCAAGTTTGCCCATAGGCTATGAATGAGGTTTTGGATTCGGAATGACCAACAACTGGCTGCAATCCAGAGCAGTTCCTTTTCAACATACTCTTCATTAGTTTCCAAAAGTTAACTGAGGCTGAGATATTAAATGCTAGCATTTTAAACTAAACTGCATTTTATTTTTGTCACATGATCTTCAGAATTCCTTTTTGAAACTTTACTGCTTGAACATGAAACCAAAGTGTTGGGCCTTTACTGCATAATCACAAAATTAATAGGCTACCTAGGTGCTTATTAGGATAAGAATAAAAGCATCAATCCAAAGGTTCCCTGTGCACAGTACTTGGCTGCAGTGGAAGTATCTTCAGGCACAGAGCAACTGAATTATCAGTATGGGGTCAAAGCAGACCATAAATATGTCTATGTCTCCCATTTAACATGCAGGTCTTGTATGAAGCAAATAGCAGCATGTCGGTGGTATAGGCTGATAAGCAGCTGTGGAGGACAAATTAACCCTTTTCCTTCTGTGCTATGATCCTGAAGAAAACCCCTCCTTTGAAAGTGCCATTTTCTCTTGGAAATCCCCATTCACACCAATAGGGAAATCTCTCCCAATTCAAACAGCTCATTCTCAAGATCACAGCAGGTGAGAAAAAGGTTAAATTCTTTCTCATGCCTTCTGAAATCCAAGTAACAATAATTATCAGTTCCCCTTCAATGTTGCTGCCATTTACATTAAAACAAACACATGTTAATTGCAAAGACACTTTAACCTCATGATCATGTCGGCCCACAATTTTAATATCAACTACAGTGGTACCTCGGGTTACAGACGCTTCAGGTTAGACTCCGCTAACCCGGAAGTAGTACCTCGGGTTAAGAACTTTGCTTCAGGATGAGAACAGAAATTGTGCTCCGGCGGCGTGGGGGCAGTGGGGGTCCCCAATAGCTAAAGTGGTACCTCAGGTTAAGAACAGTTTCAGGTTAAGAACCGACCTCCAGAATGAATTAAGTTCTTAACCCAAGGTACTACTGTACCTGTTTGGAGGTGAGAAGGTGCTTTTGAATTCTTCTTCTTCTTTTATATACTAATTTCAGGTGACTGGTACAGTCAGAGCTGGATACACTGATTGAGGGATGCAAATAGGAAGTAACCTGGCCCGTCATTGTTCTTTTTTACTGAGGTAATAACAGGGTAAAAAACACATATAATTCACATAAATTAGGGCATGGCTAGCAAAGGTATTGCCCTCCAGCTGCTTTGACTAAAACACCCATCTGCCCAGCCAGCATAACCAACTGTCTGTGTTGATGGGACTTATAGTCCACAAAATGTGGAGGTCACCACACTACCTACCTCTGCATTAGGCACATTGTGTATGAGCCTTATAATTTCTGGTTACAGTGATACCTCTGGTTAAGAACTTAATTCATTCCGTAGGTCTGTTCTTAATCTGAAACTGTTCTTAACCTGAGGTATCACTTTAGCTAATGGGGCCTCCCGCTGCTGCCGCATGATTTCTGTTCTCATCCTGAGGTAAAGTTATTGACCCAAGGTACTAATTCCGCGCTAGCGGAGTCTATAACCTGAAGTGTCTGTAGCCCGAGGTGTCTGTAACCCGAGGTACCACTGTATATAAAACAGCTATGGAACAGAATTGATTTGGAGTTGTGAAATTTTACTCCTACTTCAAGGTTCTAAACATGCTTATACATACAAAACTAAGTCCCACCAGTTTCAATGGGACTTACTGCCCAATCAGCATGCTTAGGACAGCAGCCTCAGACATTTAACTAAAGTTTAAAATTTGCCATGTATTAGCAGCACACTACCAGAAGGCTTTATAAATATTTTTTTAAATTCCAAAGTAGGGGTCAGCAATCTTTTTCAGCCATGGGCCGGTCCACCATCCCTCAGACCATGTGGTGGGCCGGACTATATTTTTTTTGGGGGGGGGAGGAATAAACAAATTCCTATGCCCCCCAAATAACCCAGAGATGCATTTTTAATAAAAGGACACATTCTACTCATGTAAAAACACGCTGATTCCCAGATCGTCCACGGTCCGGATTGAGAAGGCGATTGGGCCGCATCCGGCCCCCAGGCCTTAGGTTGCCTACCCCTGTTCCAAAGCATAAATAATTCTGGGTGCCCAAACTACATTCTACCCACTTTTGTCTGTTTCTTCCAGTATTAAGGGCTCCGGGTAAACTGCTGTATGCAAATTAATAAAACTAATTTGTGTATCATGTAACCATCCAACTAATACTGTTTAAATGTTAACTTTCAAGCTTTAAAAAAACACTTGTTGCAAAAGTGAATCTAATTCAGTACTGAAGTCAAACTTCTTTTAGGAAGACACAAGGTTCACATCACACTTGCAAAAGTAACTGGGAACAATCTTGGTTAACAGTGCCATCTTTTGCAAACCTTTATGTTGCCACACTTTTGAAAACACACAACTCCCTAACCTCCCCCGAAGCTCTACAATATTCCCAATCCGTTCTACCCTAAAATGGTAATCCATGTACAAGCCTAGCAATTTGAAAGTTCCAGATAAATGATCATCTTCAAACATTAACCACTATTGGGAAATATTTCCTTAGATACTTTGGGTGATATCCAACACTTCTCCCCCCTGCTGACGAAAGGCATCCATCAGGAGAATGGGAGAGAAAAGAATTTCTCAGTAATTCCCTCTTCCCTTCAGTCTCCTGTGGCTCCTCAAAATCTGGAGGGCTGAGAAACCCTGTGAAGCAGTTTTTGAGTGACAGCAGAGGGTGTAGAGAGGGTGTAGAGAGGAGTCACCAAAAACTGCCTTCTGCCACTGTTCTGCTGACAGAAGCTTTCCACTAGTGAAGAAGAAGCAGTGGATATCACTCATTCAACCCAATTATAGGCATACTTATTTGGAAGTCCTATTAATATCAAAAGGGACTGGCCGCTAAACAAACCAGGTGGATGAAGCCAAGGGGTTCTACAATTACATTTAGTATTATTTGTCACCATAATTAAATCAAAAGCAACAATGATTATACCATACAACATGTAATCTTCTGGAAATGGCATCATCACATTAGGCATTAGGAAAAAGGAAGGAAAATACAATTATCCATGACACTTTACCTTGATTGGGGCTGTGGAAAACTTTACTTTCCTATCTGGATCGGGATCTTCTTCTTCAGAAAGTCCAGGAAATTCCTCATAATTACTATCATAGTTGTATTCCTCCTCTGGCAAGGTATCCTCTCCTTCAGGGCCCTGACTATAAGTCTCTGTTTCTCTGTCATCGTCAAAAGCTGCATTCTCTATCCCAAAAGCACTGGAAGAAAATCCACTACAATTTTCTGGCCTTTCTTGTTCTTCATCCTCTTCTTCACTATCTCCTACTTGTTCTACATGATCATGCTCTCTTGTTTGAACTTCCACCGGTGAGGCCACATCTTTTATTCCTTTTTGATGGGGCTCACTGCACCCACTAAGTTTCTCCATTTCTTCAAAGGTGAGGCCATTTCCTTCACCTTCCCAGCTTGGAAATCGGAGTGGTTTCTCCTTCTGGAAGACATTAACTTCCCCCACAATTTCACCATCATTCTCTGAAGTTTTATTCTGCACCATTATCAATTCAGCTCTAACTACTTCTACCTGAGAGATTTTTATTGGGGCTCTATCTACTTTAGTGGACACATTGTTTGTATACTGCAGATTCCTCTCAGAGGTTTGTTGCTCTCTTCCAGATGCTTCTTCAGTGACCCTACTCTGTTCATCCTTTTCACTAGTACTGCTGCTGCTCAAATAGGAAGGAGTGGCAAGAGGTTGATTTTGCTTCAAGTACAGCTCTTCCTTAACCACTGGTGATTCCCAACTGCAGAACACCGACTCGACTGGACTTTGAGTACCCTCATTTTTCGAAGTGTCTTTACACTCTTCACTGTCACTGTCTCCCAGGAAACTCTCCAGTCTTCTAGAAATAGGTCCAGCATTCAATGAGGACAATCTAGAGCTGGAGTGCTGCACCTTGTGTTCACTGTTCTCTTGATCCTCTGCCTTGTCTATGGTGACTTGAGAGCCAACATCGGTATTGAAATTAAAGTGATCAACCACACTACTACCGTCAGAGGAGGCAGAGCCATGCCTCCTCCTATCTTCAATCCTTTCATTTTTGCTAGGAGTACATCTGTCCAATGAGCTTGGTTTTTTTGTGTTCCTTTCAAAAAGTTTCCTAGTCTCAGAAAACTTCTCCGCTAGGGCAGCTTTGTCTAGATGTCCTTCATCACTGCTACAGATAATTTTGTCAGTAACCGAAGAAGCAGGTAAAGAATCCTGAGGACCACTGCAAGGGACAGAGTCAATATTTAGGAGGTTGTTTTTTTTAACACAGAAGAAAGATGGGCTACTGGGAGAAGGAGGAGCAGGGTCACTTGCAGCTGTTTTGGTGATGATCTTGGGCTCAGAGGGTGGGCTGTTCTCAGAACAAAGTGGAGTGGAAGAGCCACCCATCTGCATGAACATATTTTTGATCTTATGCACCCTGTTGCCATAGGTGACAGCTCTGCCCCGAACATGTGGGTCATTACCTCCACCATTGGATGAGCTGGTCAGCTTTTGCTGGGAGCCAGATCTATTTGAAGCATTATCCGCGTTCACAGAATCAAAACTGCACTTAATAGCATGAAAATCAGCTTTATAGGCATTTCTGTGTGGAGAAGCACTTCTTAAAGTCCTCTCTCCTTTTCCTTCAGTTTTCATCATTGTCAAAAGGAGAGACCCTTCACTCATTTACAGTGGGGAGAGGTATGAAAACCAACAGCAGTTGCCCTTGCTGTTCTTCACAATGCCAGGATACAAGCCTCTTACAAACTGGAGACAGAATAAGACTGGAAGACGCCTCTGACTGGCTTATTCCATGCAGGCACTGAAGTGAGTTGTGGGGAGAGCCAGAGAAGAACACACACAGAGAGAACAAGCACTCGAGGAATGTATCTGGAAAAACGGGATCCTAGCGCCACGGCTGATCTACTATCCTGAAAGCCATCTGCAAAAAAAGAAAAGTTAATGAGCCGAAGGAGGAGACCTCACCCTTCTACGTATCTCAACTTCTCTCAAACACAATTCCATACCCTGAGGAGCAGTGGGAAACTTGTCTCCATTGTGCTCTGCCAATCAAAGGGGAAGCAAAATCAAAATCAAAAAACGATTAAGTCGCAGATGAAATAAATACAAGCTCTGAATTAACGCAGACCAAAGCTCACTAGGGCTTTACCCTGCAACAGTGTTGGAAATAGTGAGGAGGAGAAAAACTGCTTTAAGCATGTGGAAAGCAGTTGCCTCTTTCTCACTGGCCATTGAATAAACCGTAGGCAGCTCTTCCTCATCGGGGGATTAAGAGGAAAGGCTTCCAGGGCAAGAGGATGCGGCTTCCAGGCAAGGCTGGGGAGCCCTTTCCACAAGGGGAACAACATTTGCTCTCGCGCGGCAAACTTTTCTTTCTGGACAGACCTGCTGGCCCAAAGGAGGCCAATTTCTCCCCCCCACCCCATGAAAATACTCTTTTCCCTCCTCTGCCTCCAAGAGGCTTGGTCGTTCCAAGTTCCTTGGAGGCCCATCTCTGGCTGTTCCTAATTCCTGAGGCGGCGAGGGGGGGCGGCGGAATACGGGGGGGGGAGAATACGTGGACGCCACAACTTCAACCCCCCCTTACAAGCCCCGCCAGCCAGCCAGCCAGCCCCCGCCTACGTCCTTCTTCCCTCACTCGGTGTCTCTCCCTTTCTTGCCTAGGGCCAGGCAGGAATGCGAACAATTCCGGCCCGAACTTTGAGGCTTCCTTATGAGAGAAGCGGAGATAGAGAGTCGTCGTCGTTGCCGTCGTCCGTCCCCCCCATGGGAAGGAAAAGAGAGCCAATTCCGGAGGCTCACAATGGAGAGCCGCTGCCACGAAACTCGCCGGCTCCCCCCCCCCCGGGGGGAGAGTTTGCCCGCTTTCCTTTCCCTCCTCGCGGGAACCCAAACAACAACAGCGCGCCCCCCCCCACACACAAAAAGCACCTCCGAACTTATTACCTGAGGTAAAAAGCTCATATCCCGCGCGGCGGCGGCGGCTCTTTCCCCTCCGCCCCTCCGAACAGCGGCCCCCGAGGCTCCGGCTCCGGTTAACTTCTTCTTATTACTAGCTCTTTTCTTCTTATTTTTTACAACTCCGCCCTCCTCACCCCAAAACAAACAAACAAAAAAAACTATTCGCCCGCCCGCCTTTCCACTATCAACTACTCTCCGTCTCGCGCGCCCGCCCGCACGGCCAGTTTATAGTTCTACGGTTTTCTTTCTCGCTCTTTCCCCCCCTTCTTCTTTTCTCTCTCTCTCTCTCGTTCCACAGCCCCCTCCCCTCCTCTCCAGGCCGCGCGGGCGGGCGGGCGCGCGCTCAACCCCCTACAACAACAAAGGGAGAAGGAGGAAAGAAAAAAAAAAGAGTCCCCGGAGCGCGAGCCCCGCTTCTTCCTCTTGGAGGGAGGGAGGGGGAAGAGGGATCAGAGGTGAGGGACCGGGAGGCGGGGAGGAGCGCGAGCGCGGCGGCGAAGTTCTGAGGGAAACGCCTGCATCCGTTGGGATATACCATACTCGGGAGGAGAGGGAAGGCTCGGGCCGTACCATCTTGACTTGAGGGAAAAGCCGGGGAAAGAGGAGCTTCGGCGCCTATTGTTCCAAGTTTGCCCCCTGCTGCTGGTGGCATCTGCGTGTCTCTCTCTTTCTCTCAGCAACGCAAGGAAACCCCCCTTGGGACTTGTTTTATTTCCATATTTTCCATTTTCAACACCCTCGCAGCAGCTCATAGATGGAGGGGAGGGGGTTGGCTGTTGGATTCAAATCCCAAAGCAACCAATGGACCATATTTATTTCTCTATTTCTCTATAACTATATACGTACAGGCCAAATGTATATAAAAATATACTTTTTAAATTGGAAAAATGCAAATTTTTCAACCCTAATACTATATAATAGATTAGGCTATTACTGGACTGGGCCCTGGCATCTTAGAGAACTGATACAATTCCCCCAAGGCTCCATATTATTTTATTTTTAATGGAATTTTATTAGAGGACACGGTGCGCATATGCATGTAAATTCCGTTGATAAAAATGGGGCTGACTTCCGAATAATGTGGATATACAATCCTTTGGTAACTGTTAAGGCTAGTACAATGGTGTTTACTTTGGAGTAAGCATGCAGGATCAGACTCTTAAGGTTGCAGAGGTCACCTGCTGCATCCAGAATTATGGGTGCCTGTCAATGAATGGCAAAGTTTAGGAAAGGCAAACTTTCTCTCAGCCTCCAGCCTCCCACCCCTCCAATTCAAGATTCATGTATGGCTGCCTGTTTGCTTTAAGGTGCTGCACTGGTCTTCAAAACCCTAAATAGCATGGGACCCAAATAGCTGACGGAATTTATTGAGAATTCAAACTTCTCTGCTGTATGAGAAAGTAAAATTGAGTCCTATCAAATGAGGTTTTTTCTTCCTCTTTTTCTCTCAGGTCTTCTTTTCCCCTCTTAGGCTGGATACTGAAGGTCATTTCTGTTAACTTGCAATAGAAGTTATTACTGTAGCACAAACTCTGATACTTGTACATACACAATGGGGAAAGAGGAACCTTGCAGCCTGGAGAAAAAGTGAGTTCATTCTGTCTTCTTATTTCCTAATTCCTAATTGCAGCTACTCTCTCTAGCCCCATTCCAGCAGATGGAGTTATGAAATTGGCTACATTAGATTTCAGGCAGCACCTGGTATTGTCAATTTCATTTCCTTAAAATATGTTCTCCAGTGTGACAGAAAAGGGCAGTATATACTGTTCAAATAGGAAAAACCTAGAAAATGTTTTTCAAATCTATTCAGGCCATGAAGGAGCATGTGCTTCCACTGCCCTTTTTATTTATTTGTATTTGTTTGGAGAAAGATACCCTGCCTTTCCAAAGCTTTATCACAACTCAGAGCAGTTTACTCTGAAACTGAAATACAGTGGTACCTCGGGTTACATACGATTCAGGTTACAGACACTTCAGGTTACAGACTTCACTAACCCAGAAATAGTACCTCGGGTTAGGAACTTTGCTTCAGGTTGAGAACAGAAATTGTGCTCTGGCAGTGTGGCGGCAGCGGGAAGCCCCATTAGATAAAGTGGTGCTTCAGGTTGAGAACAGTTTCAGGTTAAGAACGGACCTCCGGAACGAATTAAGTACTTAACCCGAGGTACCACTGTACTATATTCCCATAACAAAACAATCATTTTCAAAGGCTCATAGGGAAAAGCAAATATGAACACATTGCAACACTGTGGAAGTGGGCGGTGTTTAAATAAGAAACTTTAATATCTTGTCTGGGCAGAGGCTGAGGAGAAGGAAGAGTGTGTTACCCATCTCCAGTGATGTTATACCCAGTAGCTTATGCAGTGATGCCAATGGGTATCCAATGGGTATCCTTTGCGGCCATTCAAACATATTGCTGCAAAGCTACTTGGGCCATTCAGTGTTTCACTTTGTGTCATGTGTTTAAAATTGTTGAAAGCCAAGCCAGTAGAATTCCAGTAGGATGATGGTGTCCAAGTATGTTTACCTGGATAGGCAAGCATTTCACAGAATCATAGAATGGTAGAGTTGGTTGTTCAACATTTTTCTTTCTGCAGACATGAAGTCATCTTGTGCCGTGCTCTTCTTGAATAAAAATGTTCACCACCAGAATAGAACTGGGTTTAGTTTACAGGTAATTTCCAAGCAATAATCATCATTGACAGAAGAGGCCTACCAAAATTGATCCAAATACAAACTCTGAAGCTTCAAGTTTTGACTCTGCGTTTAAACTGACAGCCAGCTGGTCAACTGTAACCAGGTGAACTTTGTGAACTTCCCACCAGAAGTTGTACACCAGGCATTTTTTCCTCCCATGTGCCTCCCCTTCTCCCTGCCCCAGACTGTACACAAGAGTTTGAAAGCCTTGAATCTCTTTAACAGCCATATGGGCTGCATGGGGACAGGATGGCAAATCCTAAATCACAAAGTTCAGCGAAGAACATAATCTAAATCTGCATTTTGTTTTCCTCAAATACAAACCAGGGGAAAACAATAAAAAGGGCATGGTGGCAGGAGTCAGAAGGGTGGGAGAAGGGAATTTCCTCCACATTCTAAATGTTAAAAATGCTGTGTAGCTTTGCATTTACAGAATAATGTATAAACTGGTCCATTATTACTTTCGAACAGAGAGGCAGTGAGAGATTCCAAGATGATTCCAGGCAGTATATATTAAAGTGCCCAGGGGTACAGACTTTCCTCAGGGATATTCCAGGCTGTTTTCTGAATGTTGAGCTTTTACTAAAGGAAATATGAAGAAAGTATTGGCAATATTCTCTCCCCCAATTGCTCATTAATGAATAAAATGTTTCCACCTTCCCATGTTCTAGCCGTTGAGCTCAATGACCCTGGGATAACTGACAAACATGGCTACCTCATTTCTTTTTGTAAAAAACACCCCACTTTAATTGTATTTTATTTTACTTGTATTTATTAAGATGCTAGGCTACCTATATATTCTGCTCTGCAGTGTTTCTCTGATCTCCTAAAGCAGGCTTCCTCAACCTTGGCCCTCCAGATGTTTTTGGCCTACAACTCCCATGATCCCTAGCTAGCAGGACCAGTGGTCAGCGATGATGGGAATTGCAGTCTCAAAACATCTGGAGGGCCAAGGTTGTGGAAGCCTGTCCTAAAGTCTCACAATAAAATGTCTGGCAACATATTTGGTTCTTTGTTGTTCTTTGAATGTATTAATCAAGGATACCACTGACTGGTTGATTTTTAATATTTCATGGGCGCAGCATAAAAAACCATCTAAAAAATTATGGAAGTCTAAAAGACTTCCTGATGAGTTTTACCGCTCAGTGTGCCTGGACTACAACCTTTGTAAAGCCTTGATGTGAGGAAGAAATATGCCTGAAAGATGTTGCTTCAAATATCATTCTTTTCTGATTTCCTGCATGCATGTATATCTGAAGTTAAAAAGATGTATGTGCTGTTGTCAACCAAAGTGATTTTGGTTAAGAAAAAGGCTTACGTTTTGAAGTGGTACCAGGTTTCAGTGGTAGATAGGCTTAGTAAATTGTAAGCCAAAGAAAACTTCTCTTCGGTATAGAATTAGACCACATTTTCTGTAAGCTTAAACTAGGTCTCTAATTATAGATTACACTCTAGTCAAGCCTGAAGGTTATAATTTAAAAGTGTCATAGCAACTATAGTTCAAGTTACACAAAATCCTGTCATGGGGACTTAGTAGAAGCATGAGAAAGAAACCTTTAAAATGTAGTCATGTGTCTTTTTAATGGGATGGGATGAAGCAAAGACAAACAGTAAACTCAAACAGAGGGAAGAAAAGGAGGCAACCGCTGCCTCTTCTTAACAGCAGAGCACAATTGTATCAAGAACAGGATGTGCATTTATTTAAAAGCATTTCCCAACCATTGTCCAAAACACACACTCAAAAAGGAAAAATAGATTTATTAACATATGCAGTGTGGTAGTGAACTAGCTGATTATGTGCGAACTTCTATGGAGTCTGGAAGTATGTCCCATAAAAAGTTTGGAAGATGGTGGGTGATAAATATGGAAACATAAGGTGCCATATGCAAAGTCAGACCATTGGTTCAGCTGGCTCAGTATTGTCCACACTGTGCGGCAGCTGCTCCACTGTGTGGGTTGCAGGCAAATATATTTCCCTGCCCTATCTAGAGATGCCAGGAATTAAATTTGGGACATCGTTAGTTAGTTAGTTAGTTAATTTATATTCCACACATTCAGTATGAGTTTATGCTCTCAGGGCAGCAAAGAGAATCATAAGAAACAAAAGCTACCATTTTTGAAATGAAATAGATTGGAAAATCAAACTGCTCTAAGTTAAAGAATGCTTGCATTCACAGTTCTTCAACTGGGAAAACAGAAATGTTTTTGTCTGACATTTAAATGATAGGGAGGCCTCTTTGGGGAGGGCATTCTCAAGATGAGGAGCCACTACAGAAAAGCCTCTCCAGTCACTATCACCCACTGAACTTCAGATCAGAGGCATAGCGTGGGCAAGGGGGCTGTTGCCCCAGATACAGCTTTTTTTGAGGCCACATTTTGCTCCTCACACCACCCCTGCCAGCCCCGCACTGCTTTGTGAGTCCGATCCCTCATCCCAGCAAAGCAGCATGGAGCTGGCAGGGCATCAGGAGGACACAACGGGCATGTGCCCTTCCAATCAGCCCAGTCAAACCGATTTTAAGGGCACCTGCCTGCCTTGCTACGTCCTCCTCATGTCATCCTCCGCACCACCACCACCCTGGCGTGTCTGTCCCGGGCGCCTTGAAGACACATTCCACTGCTGCTTCAGATGGTGCAGTTCCCTGGAGAAAGATCTCAGATGATGATCTCAGTGGATGAGCAGATTGATACAGGAGAAGGTGGTCCAACAAATATATGCGTGGTCTTCTTCTTCCTTGGCAATCACTCATAGCCGAGTAAGATTGTCTTCCATAAACAGGGTTTTAACAGTGAGTCCATAAGTGACTCTGGAGGCCAATTCTGGATCCCCACGTCCTTCCACAGTGGAGACATTGGTTTCCGGGTGGGAGTTGATCACGGTGTGGATTTGCCAAGCGAGCCTTCCTCTTAGCACATTTCTCCATTGCGTCCTGAGTTCAAGTGTCTTCAAAGCCCATGACACTTTTGGTAAAGGCTGTTCTCCAATTGGAGCGCTCACGGGCAAGTGTTTCCCAATTGTTAGTGTTTATACTACATTTTTAAAAATTTGCATTGAGACAGTCTTTAAACCTCTTTTGTTGACCACCAGCATTATGCTTTCCTTTTTCAAGATTGGAATAGGGTAGTTGCTTTGGAAGACGATAATCAGGCATCCACACAACATGACCAGTCCCACGAAGCTGATGTTGAAGAATCATTGCTTCAACACTGATGAGCTTAAGCTTTAAAGAGAAACCACTTTGAAATGAGATGAGAAACTCGTAGGGAGCCAGTGGAGTTGTTCCAGTGCAGACAATACATGCTCTCTTCACCAGATCCCTGATAGCAACCCAGCGGCCATGTTCTAGACTAGCTTCAGTTTACAAACAATCTTCAAAGGCAGCCCTACATAAAGGGCATGGTAGTAATCCAGCCTCAAATTTACAACAACATGGATAACTGTAGTTAGGCTATCTTTGTACAAGAAGGGGATCATAGTTTACCTATAAGTCTCAAACTGATAGAAGGTCCTTTGGACTACCAAAGCTACTTGAACTTCAAGTGATCAAGATGTCATTTCCCAATGTTGGTATCACATCATTGTGTTCAAATTCTTTTGCTTTGGAAATACAGTGGTGCCTCGCAAGACGAAATTAATCCGTTCCGCGAGTCTCTTCGTCTAGCGGTTTTTTCGTCTTGCGAAGCAACCCTATTAGCGGCTTAGCGGATTAGCGCTATTAGCGGTTTAGCGGCTATTAAAGGCTTAGCGGCTTAGCGGATTAGCTGCTAAAAGGCTATTAGCGGCTTAGCAGCTTAGAAAAAGGGGGGGAAAGCGAAAAAAAATCTCAAGACTCGCAAGACATTGTGAAGCAAGCCCATAGGGAAATTCGTCCTGCGAAGAGCATCGAAAAACGGAAAACCCTTTCGTCCAGCGGGTTTTCCGTCTTGCGAGGCATTCGTCTTGCGGGGCACCACTGTAATATACGTATTTGTCATGGGATTCTACTTAATATTGATCCAGAGCAGAACCTCAATGTATAGTTAGCAGAGTAAAAACTTAAGCACGTTGCAGGATTCCCCCCCAAAATAGACGACTGAAGGCAAATGAGCATAATGGTCACAAATCCAATACATTTAGGATTGGCACTGTCCATAAGAAAACAAGTTGCAGCAGACTTAATTTAAACTTACAACAACTTACAAGTCTAAACTTTAACACTAAGCAAACTATGTACAGAACCCCACCCCAGAAGGAAAAGAGATAGAAAGAGAAAGTGAAAGCCAGGCTCCTTCTGGCCCTACTTTTATAGCCAGCATGACCTTGACAAAAAGAGATAAGAGAACCAGTTAAAGCCAGCTGTACTCAGCTTCTCTGAAGAAATAACCCAAACATCATGAACTTTCTGCTTGTTTCTTTCACACAGAGAAGCTTCCAGGACCCTCTAATTAATTAATTAGAATAGGAAAGATCTCTACACATCAGACTGATACTTTCTGCACTAAGAAATGCAAACTGACAGTACAGTGGTACCTCGGGTTAAGTACTTAATTCGTTCCGGAGGTCCGTTCTTAACCTGAAATTGTACTTAACCTGAAACACCACTTTAGCTAATGGGGCCTCCCGCTGCCGCCACGCCGCCGGAGCACGATTTCTGTTCTCATCCTGAACCAAAGTTCTTAACCTGAGGTAATATTTCTGGGTTAGCAGAGTCTGTAACCTGAAGCATATGTAACCTGAAGCGTATGTAACCCGAGGTACCATTGTATTGTTGTTTTTAGCTCTCCTTAGAAACTTCCCTTAGGCGAATGGCTGGTTATTGTGAGAGCACGATGTTGGATTAGATGAGCCACACTGGCCGGATCCAGCAAGGGTCTTCTCAAGCCCAACTCTGCATGGTAGCCATGGCAGAAGGGGGAAGGTTGCAGGGTGTAGGCTGCAGGCTGGCACAGAAACTGGGTTTAGATTGGGCCCAATGGCTATGATACCATTTGGGGATTCAGTGCTTTCTCTTGCCCCCTCTCACTCTGGCAGGGATACCACCAGTAGGTCTACCACCTGCCCACATTTTCAGCAGAGCTGACTAGAAGGACCACTCTGCTCAATCCAAGGCCCTCACAGCTCACCATAAGGAGTAGCAGGTTGGATTGTTCTGTAAAGTAGCAGGGTGGAGAATGGTGCTTCTCAGTGCAGATTTGATACACGCAAGCTACCAGTGAGGAAAGAGTAAGCGTACCTAATTATAGTTTTAATTGGCTATAAATACCTGATCAACAGATTTAATATTCAGTGGAACCATCTGGCTACTGCAGAAGTACATAATATATTTGGTTTATTAGTGAGAAGCAGAAATGGGGGGGGGGGGAGGACATGATAAAGAAACAATGAAAATTCTTCTCTAGCTGAAGTGGCAAATTTCTGTCTTTGTGAAAGTATTTAATAATGTTCTAATTGTACCAGCACTGTGAAGTTATAAGTAACTCAAGTGCGCAGTGATGATTAGAGGATCACAGTTGGCTAAAGACATGTATCCAAGATTAGATTAATGGAATCTTTATTTAGCATAAAGTTAAAATTGTTTCATGACAAAGCCAAAAAGAAAGAAATGAAAATACCCTATTAACATTTTCACAAGCATTTTTCTTTTTAAATTGCTGCTAGTAAAGCTTTTCTGCTATACCATTTCTTATCTAGAAGCATTATTCTTATCATATTTGCCCATTTTTTCCACAATACATATTTATTTCATTAGTATGTCTAGACAAGAATGTGAAATCACCCTGATGCCATATGTTTAACTGTTTATTTTATTTTAGTATGACTGTAGCTCAGCTGAATGCCTACTATTATTAAATCTTCTGAAAGAACAAACAAACATTTGAACTCTGTGACACCTCAAAAATGTAATACATGTTTAAATTCTACAGTAGGTAATAAGGCCCAGCAATTTCATTCAGGCTTAGTTGTGAAAGAGTTGGACAAAATTAATGTAAACATCTGTTATAATCCTATACTTGAGA